TTTTTTAAGGAAGGGTTAAGACATCGCAAAAAAATGATACCAAAGAGGATTTTCCCCAAAGGTATGACCTAGAATAGTGGGTGGGTGGCCGAAGGAAATCTTCTTGGCAAATCTCTTTATGCCGAACATTACTGCAAAGATTTAGAAAAAAATAAGAATAAGAAAAAAATGGAGAAGATAAGAAAACGTGAAAAAAGTCTTAATTACATAGAAAAGCTGCGAAAATAAATACGGCGCCCAACTAAATGCCAATCAGGGCAAAAATTGGGAAAATTTCAATAGAAAGAAGTAATGATTTCTGGGAAAATTTTAAGAATAATATTTCCATGGAAAAATTAGAATTTAGATAAAAAATATTAAGAAAGCGAAAAAAGAAGGAGGGAGAGAGAGAGAGGGAGAAATGTAAATTGTTGAGAATTGTTTGGGGGAGAGAGAAATTAAGACCTGGAGGCAAATAATTTTATATCAAATTTGTTACATTAAATTGAATGCAATATATTATAGTTACAGAGTTCCTATGTTCGGAGACTTCTAGTGAAATTTGATGAGAATATTTTCTTCATTGGCAACAAAGACCTAGCATGGAGTATTTTGGGAGTAATCGGCTCATATTCGAAAATATATAAAATTACCAGCCAAAACCAAAATATTCTTTTAATTCAGGTTTTGTCCTACAATTTAAACGGTTCATATTATTTCTAAGTCCTCCAACTGTTCTGGGACTCCTAGTAAAATTTTATGTAGAATATTTTTTCTATTGACCTCTACCTTTGAAAATTTTGTATTTTGGGATTAATCGGTCCATATTCGGATATATATGAAAACCAAAGCCAAAAAAAATTTTTTTTTTTCAATACAAAATTGACGCTATGATTTAACATGTATATAATATTTCTATTGATTTCATTTGTTCGTGGACCTATATTGAAATTTTGTGGAGAACATTTTCTTCATTGACATCATCGTCCTTAAACTTAGTATTATGGGAGTTTTGGATCCCCAATTGGAAATATATAAAAATATACCGCTAAAATAAATATATTTTTTTTTACTTCAGATTACTTCAATTTAATTTGTATATATAATATCTAGGGGTATACTTCTTTCGTGGACCTATAGTGGAATTTTATGGAGAATATTTATGTCATTAACTTCGACCCTTAAAATTGTGTATTTTTAAAGTTTCGGGACTAAATTCGGAAATAAATGAAATTGAAAGCCAAAATAAAAAACGCTTTTTTATTCCGATTTGTTTCTACAATTTAAAGGGTATATACTAATTCCACACCTTTTGTTTCTTTGAGGACCCAGAGTGAAATTTTCCGGAGAATATTTTCTTCATTGACATCAACATCCTAAACCTTAGTACTATGGGATTTTAGGAACTTCGTTCGAAAATATATGAAATTAATAGCCAAAATTAAAAATTACTTTTTTATCCCGATTTGGCTCTACAATTTAAAGTATATTTATTATTTCCAGGCTTTTCATTTGTTCGGCAACCCATAGTGAAATTCGATGGAGAATATTTTGTCCATTAACATCAATTTCCTAAAACTTAGTATTATGGGTGTTTTGCAGCCTCAATTAAATATGTGTGAACTTAGCAGAAAATAATTAAAAAACACTTTGTTTTTAATACCGATTTGGCTATACACTTTCAACGATAATACCTATGACTTTAGTTTGTTCCGAGACATATAGTCAAATTTGGTGGAGAACATTTTCTTCCTTAGCATCAACTTCCTTAAACTTAGTTTTATGATAGTTTTGAAACCTTAATTAAAAAGTATAAGAAATTAACAGGCAAAATTAATATATATTTTTTTCGATTTCCGATTTCACCACAATTTAAAAGGTATATATTATATATACAAATATAGTTTGTTTGGAGACCTATAATGAAATTTTGTGGAGAATATTTCCATCATTGGCATCTACTATGTAAAATGCAGTATTATGGAAGAAATTGCTTCAGTATCAAATATATTCGAAGTAACAGCAGAAAACCAATAAGGAAAGTAGTAAAGTCGGACGGGGCCGACTATATGATACCCTTCACCACTTTAGGTATATTCATCAGATGGAATCCTAACAGACGTTGCATTTTTGAAGGACCAGTAACATGAAATTAAACATGTCATTCTGCAACCTATACAAAATTTTGGTCAGATATAGAGTTGCTTCTTACAATGGGACAACATTATCTAAATAAATTTAAAGCAAAATATCGAAATCTAAACCGATTTCATCCAAACTTGTCACATGCTGGGTTTCACTTATTTCAGTATGTTTTGTACATTCGGCCACATTTTGGTTTCTTCATTTACTTATAAATTCAAATTTCGTGAAAATCGAATAATATATAGGGTCTTTGGTACACCATTTACATAAAATCGGATGAAAATATATATAGGAGCTATATCTAAATCTGAACCGATTTTTACGAAACTTAGCACACATCATTCTGGACTCAATTCAGTGCGCTATGCCAAATTGCAATTCAGATACGCTGTGCCAAATTTTCCATTAAATCGGAATATATATAGGAGCTATACATTGGTGTACACCATTAGACTTAATTCAGTACGCTGTATGATTTTCAATGGTACACCAATCTATATATGGGAGCTATATCTAAATCTGAACCGATTTTCACGAAACTTTGCACACATCATTCTGGGCTCAGTTCAGTACGCTATGCCAAATTTCGTGCAGATATATAGAACTTGGGTACAATATATCGGAATATCGAAAATATCTATGGGAGCTATATCTAAATCTGGACCGATTTTCACGAAACTTAACACACATCATTCTAGACTAATAAATTACGCTGTGCCAAAATCGAATGATATATAGGGACATTGGTGCACCATTTAAAATATATATAGGAGCTATATCTAAATCTGAACCGATTTTCACGAAACTTTGTACACATCATTCTAGACTCAATTCAGTACGCTATGCCAAATTTCGTGCAAATCGAATAATATATAAGGTCTTTGGTACACCATTTACATAAAATCGGACGAAAATATATATGGGAGCTAAATCTAAATCTGGACTGATTTTCTAGACTCAATTCAGTACGCTATGCCAAATTTCGTGCAAATCGAAGAATATATAAGGTCTTTGGTACACCATTTACATAAAATCGGACGAACATATATATGGGAGCTAAATCTAAATCTGAACCGATTTTCACGAAACTTTGTACACATCATTCTAGACTCAATTCAGTACGCTATACCAAATTTCGTGCAAATCGAATGATATATAGGGACATTGGTGCACCATTTACTGAAAATCGGATGAATCTATATATGGGAACTATATCTAAAGTTGAACCGATTTTTCCCAATAGGGTTCGTCCTTGGTCAAAATGAGTGACCTGTGTCAACTTTCATCCAATTCGGATCATAAATGCGACCTGTACTTTGTTTACAATTTAACATGGACAGACAGACGGATGGACGGACATGCATAAATCGACTTAGGAAGTGATTCTATGCATATTCTCAAAAGGAACCATGTGTATATCTCGTTTCCTTTTGTCTGTTACAAACATATGAAAAAATACATAATACCCTGTATGTGGTGTGGTGAAGGGTATAAAAATTTGCTATAAATGTATATGGCAAGAGGTGACATCTAGTGAGAAAAATATAAACTAAAAAAATTAAATTCCTTTAAGACTCTATTTTATGGCCTTACCACATTAAATTCGTTGAGAGAAGTGAAGACAACAACCAAAAAGAATGTTGAAATTTAGTGGCAACAGCAATGGTCAGTGTGTCTATTAGTCAGTATGTGCCATTAACAAGTGGTGAGTTTATAAAAAAAATTAGGGATCCAATAAAATAAAATAAATTAGGAAAATATGGAATTTTTCGTTTATAAAATGTGTACAAGACCTCTCATAAATTCGATCTGCATAAGCTAGCCTTATCTATATATTGATGATATATAGAAACCCTTAAATTTATAGGGGACGTATTGAAGGGTTTTGAGATATAGGGGACTTGTTGCAAATTTTCTGCCCACAGACAACAGATGCAGAAGGTTCTCTGTCCTGTGGGAAGTATTATATCAGAGATGAACAGAACTAAATTGAGAGTAAGTGCGTGAGAGCGTAACTGAGAGATAATAATTGAAAATTACTGACAAAAAGAGAATAGGTGATTAGCAATTACCGCTATTGTACTTTTTTGTGCATTAGCAGAATTTTCGAAAGATGATATTTAAAATGGTATTTTTTTAAACTTCAACCCAAATATTTTTTTTTCAAATATTAAAAAATACATTTTAAGGTCCTTCTAAATGCGTAAATATTTAAAATTTATTTTTCAAAATTGTTCTAAGAGCTTGAATTAAAAATTTTTTAATTAAAAAAAAAAATCAAGATTCTTGTAAAGCTTTGCCCTAAATCATATTTTTCAATATCCATCTACAGGCGTATTTTTATATAACATTTTTGTCATTGCTTTAAAAAGCTATCATCTAAGAGAATAATAAATAAATTAAAGCTCCACCCATTGGTGTTGAGAGAGCATAACAATACATTAGCATGTAATAGTAATAATAACTTCTTAAAAAGCCAATCACAAAAAAAAAAAAAAATCACCACCCTAATATTCCACACTACCTTAGCACATCACTTGATATTTAATTATAAAGTCTATTCCGACAATTATGCAGTACGATTTTGTAATTTCATAGAGAAAGTGTAAACCAGAATCGTGTAATAATTTAGAAAACACACAAGCAGTTGCACATAGAATCAAGAAACAACAACAACAAGAATGTCTGATAAAATATCAAACAACAATATTCAAATACAAATAATCCAGACGGAAGATTGTGATCGTGTTATTAAATTTCTATTCGAAACATTTTTTCCTTATGCTCCCTTGGCTGGCAGTGAACCCAAATGGATACCCTCCCAAGAAGATGCGGATGAACTGCGGCAATATATAACCCAATACAAGTGCAGTATTATGGCATTGGAAAAGGCGGAAATAATTGGTGTTTCAATAGCCTTACCGAAAAATCACGCCTCAATTGGAGAATATTTTGAAGCAGCCCAAAAGGCTGGCAAAACTAAACATGGTTATATAATGCAGCTATTTGGAGAGATAATTTTAAAAACAGACGTTTTCAAACGTTATGGTGTTGAAGAGGTTTTGTATTTATATATTGCTTCGGTGGCGCCCAATCAACGTGGTAGAAATATTGGAGCCCTTATGCTGGGGGAATTGATGCAATTGGCGAAAGAGAAGAATTATAAGGTTCTGACGGCGGACTGCAGCAGTTATTATTGTGCTAAAGTTTGTGAACGTATGGGCATGGAATGTCTTAGCACGGTGGCATTTGCGGATTATTTGAATGAGGAGGGTGAAGTCATATTTAAACCGCCAGCACCACATGTTGCTATGAAAACATATGCGAAACGAGTGTAACGGGTTGTGAAGAGGAGAGAGAGAGAGAAAAGAAGAGGGAGATGGAGTTAATAACAATTGTTATATGTTTTTTGAGATGTCATTTTTAATATTATACACTTCCCTTCAAAAATATAGAACACATATAATGAGAAAAAATATATCGATGTGTTTGATTTTATTTTTATTTTTTATACCCTTCACCACACTGTGGTACAGGGTATTATGTCTTTATGCATATGTTTGTAACAGGCAAAAGGAAACGTGATAGACACATGGTTCCTTTTGAGAATATACATAGAATCACTTTCTAAGTCGATTTATGTCCATCCGTCTGCCTGCCCATGTTAAATTGTAAACAAAGTATAGGTCGCATTTATGATCCGAATTTGATGAAAGTCGGCATAGCTCATCTATTTTGCCCAAGGACGAACCCTATTAAAATTAGGAAAAATCGGTTCAGATTTAGATATAGCTTCCATATATAGTTTCGCCCAATTTAAGGTAAATGGTATGGCAAAGTCCCTATATATATTTCGATTTGCACGGAATTTTGCACAGCGTACTGAAATGAGTCTATAATGATGTGTTTAAAATTTCTTGAAAATCGGTTCAGATTTAGATATAGCTCCCATATATAGTTTCGCCCGATTTTAGGTAAATGGTGCACCAAAGTCCCTAAAAATCATTCGATTTGCAAGAGTTTTGGCAAAGCGCACAGACTTAGGTCTACAATGACGTCTGCTAAGTTTCGTAAAAATCATTTCAGATTTAGATATAGCTCCCATATATTGTTTCGTCCGATTTTAGGTAAATGGTATGCCAAAGTCCCTATATATCTTCCCAGTTGCACGAAATGTGGCATAGCGTACTGAATTGAGTCTAGAATGATGTGTGTAAAATTTCTTGGAAATCGGTTCGGATTTAGATATTGCTCCCATATATAGCTTCGCCCAAATTTTAGGTAAATGGTGCACCAAGTCCCTGAAAATCATTCGATTTGCACGAGTTTTGGCATAGCGTACTGAATTAAGTCTCGAATGACGTGTGCTAAGTTTCATAAAAATCAGTTTATATTTAGATATAGCTACCATATATAGTTTCGGCGATTTTAGGTAAATGGTATTGATATAGCTTCCACATCGATTTTCATCCGATTTTAAGTAAATGGTGCACCAAACTCTTCATGTTTGTAATATTGACATTAAATTTTGCACAAGGTACAAAATTGAGCATATTGATATTTGCTTTAAATCGATATACAAAATGTTGTCCCATTGTCACAAACGAATGACATGTTAATGGATTGACCTAAGTCACATTAAGATAATTATATGTTAGGATGCATTCGTTTAATATACCCATAGTGGTGAAGGGTTTCATATCCAAATCCAAATTTACTACTTTCCTTACTGGTTTTAAATCCACGCCTTGAGTGGATGGTTGAAAAAATATATTTTTAACAAATCCACGCCTTAATTGGAGCTTGAAATAACAAAATGAATATACCCTACCTCGTCTATACAAGTGATCGATCAAATCCATTATTTACATATTTAATAATAACAATTATCGTTGCCATTGCCATTATTTTAATATTCATAATACGATACGATGCATTTTTTTTCATTCTAAAACCAAACATGACAAAGTTCTCCAGTTTAGATCAGTTTGAAAGCAAATCTCCGTCGAAACAAAACCAATTATGGCGCTTGCCGCTTTAAAATTCCGCATCATAAAACCCAGCGATTTGGCGAAAATACAAAAATTCTATATTGATAATTTCTATGCCTATGAACCGGTTTTCAGTTCACACCCCAGGCTAATAGCGGGTAAACGTGATCAGAATGATATTGCCGAGTGTGTGCATCAAGGTACCAGTGTTCTTCTGCTATCGTGATACCCGAGATGGAGGTGAAGAGATTGTTGGTGGCATTCTGGCAATGCCCAAGACGCGTTCCTATGTTGATGAGCTATTCCAATCCGCAGAAGAAGAGCATAATACCAAATATGGTACATATTTAAAGATGTTGGCAACTCTACACCAGCAGGCGGATATTTGTAGGCGTTATAATGTTGATGAGCTGTTTTTCACTTTAATGGGAAATGTCATACCGTCATTGCGTGCTCAAAATGTTGGCAAACGTTTGCTGGATGAATCCGTTACCTTGGCAACGGAAAGGAGATTTAAAGTCTACACGGTGGATTGTACAAGTAACTATTCGGATCGAGTATGCAGCGAACATATGCGTATGCATAAATTGGTTTCATTGAAATATAAGGATTTTGTGGATGAGCGAGGAAGACCTTATTTTGTGATTCCTGAACCCCATCAAGGGGTTAATACCTATGCTGCAACTTTGCCATGGCCTATAAAAGCTTTTCGGGAATATAAATGTTAGATTTGGGTTTTTTAAATAACTGAATATTTAAAAATAAGAATAAATAAATCAAAATTAAAAAAATCACAAAAAATTATAATTTTAAAAGGTCTATGAATGGATCCTTAGCAATTTTTATTTTAAAAGCCACGCCATTTATGGAGGCTTTAAAAAAATATTTTTTAAAAATCCACGCCTTCTATGGAGGCTTTAAAAATATTTTTTAAAAACCCACGCCTTCTATGGAGGCTTTAAAAATATTTTTTAAAAATCCACGCCTTCTATGGAGGCTTTAAAAAATATTTTTTAAAAATCCACGCCTTCTATAGAGGCTTTAAAAAATATTTTTTAAAAATCCGCGCCTCTTATGGAGGCTTTAAAAAATATTTTTTAAAAATCCACGACTTCTATGGAGGTTTTAAAAAATATTTTTTAAAAATCCACGCCTTCTATGGAGGCTTTAAAAAATATTTTATTAAAAATCCACGCCTTCAATGGAGGCTTTTAAAAATCTACGCCTTCTATGGAGTCTTTAAAAAATATTTTTTAAAAATCCACGCCTTCTATGGAGGCTTTAAAAAATATTTTTTAAAAATCCACGCCTTCTATGGATCCTTTGAAGAAATATTTTTTTCTAAAACGCGTCTTCTGTGAACAAGTCGGCAGCAATTAAGGCCATGTCAAACGCCACCATAACAAAAATAAAACAAAAACAATATTTAATAATAAACAAATAGTTGTTTTTGTTGTAAGTGGGGAATCCACTAAAGGTTTTGATTCTTCAAATAAAAAATATTTTTCTTCAAATCGAACCCTGACATGGATTTTTAAATTTAAAAAAAAAAAATATGTTTTTTCAAGTACGAGGTGTAGATTTTTATACCCTTCACCACTCTGTGGTACAGGGTATTATGTGTGTAACAGGCAAAATGAAACGAGATAGACACAGGGTTCCTTTTGAGAATATGCATAGCATCACTTTCTGAGTCGATTTATGCATGTCCGTCCGTCCGTCCGTTCGTCCGTCTGTAGATGTTAAATTCTAAACAAAGTACAGGTCGTATTTATGATTCGATTTGGTTGAAATTTGGCACAGCTCACTTATTTGGCCCAAGGACGAATCCTATTAAAATTGAAGAAAATCGGTTCAGATTTTGATATAGCTACCGTATATAGTTTCGCCCGATTTAAGGTAAATGGTGTGTCAATGCCTCTATATATCTTCCGATTTACACGAAATTTGGCATAACGTACTGCATTAGGTCTAGAATGATGTGTGTTAAGTTTCCTGAAAATTGGTCCAGATTTAGATATAGCTCCCATATATATTATCGTCCGATGTAATGTAAATGGTGTACCAATGCCGCTATATATCTTTCGATTTGCATGAAATTTGGCCTAGCGTACTAAATTAGGTCTAGAATGATGTGTGTTAAGTTTCCTGGAAATCGGTCCAGATTTAGATATAGCTCCCATATATATTTTTGTCCGATTTAATGTAAATTGTGTACCAATGCCCCTATATATCGTTCGATTTACACGAAATTTGGCATAGCGTACTGGATTAGGTCTGAAAGTTTCCTGAAAATCAGTCCCGATTTAGATATAGCTCCCACATATATTTTCGTCCGATTTAATGTAAATGGTGCACCAATGCCCCTATATATCTTTCGATTTGCACGAAATTTGGCACAACGTAATGAATTAGGTATAGAATGATGTGTGTTAAGTTTTTTGAAAATCGGTTCAGATTTAGATATAGCTCCCATAAATATTTTCGTCCGAATTAATGTAAATGGTGTACCAATGCCCCTATATATCTTTCGATTTGCATGAAACTTGGCACAGCGTACTGAATTAGGTCTAGAATGATGTGTGTCAAGTTTCCTGTAAATCAGTCCCGATTTAGATATAGCTCCCACATATATTTTCGTCCGATTTAATGTAAATGGTGTACCAATGCCCCTATACATCTTTCGATTTACACGAAATTTGGCATAGCGTACAGAATTAGGTCTAGAATGATGTGTGCCAAGTTTCCTGAAAATCGATCTAGATTTAGATATAGCTCCCGTATATTTTCGTCCGATTTTAAGTATATGGTGTACCAAACTCATATTTTGGACTCATCTATTGAATATAACCAAAGTGGTGAATGGTATCATATAGTCGGGCACGTCCGACATCACTGCTTTCCTTACAGGCTAAAAAATATTTTTTTTCAATTATCCAAAGAAGGCGTGGATTTTTTAAAAACTATTTTTTTCTAACATTCACACAAGGCGTTAATTTTTTTAAGATTATTCTATCATACTCTTAATAAAATAAAATACAAAGAATATTAATTTTTTTGTGATAAAAAATATTTTTTTCTTTTATAATAAATATTTTAAAAAAGAAATTAAGCAACAACAAATATTTATAATTGGTTATCTTACACAACTAAATACATAATAAAAATTTTTCAAAAAAAAAAAAAAGATAATATTCATACATATCTACTGACGTATATATGTATGTACGGGTAAGTATACAAATAAACATTTATTTTTACTAACTTTCACAAGAGTAGAGCACAGAGTCACACGACACTGTGGTTTCACTGCTACAGAAAAAAAATTAAACATTAAAAAACAGGCAGAAATGGTTATAACGAAATTTTATATTTTTTGTTATAATATATAAAAAAGTAATTTAGAAAATAAAATGTAGATCTTCAAATTTAATAATTTTCCTTAAATTTAATGATCATTCTAACCATGCCTACCTGTATTTTATGATATAAAAAAATTAAAGAAATAATGAAAACAGCAGCCAGAAAAAATAAGTAAACAGATTCTTTGAATCACAGTTGTGGGAAAAAATAAATAGAAATAATTATCTCTAAAAAACAAAACCATAAAGCAAATTGTTGCCTAACAAAGAAAACAAACCATACAAAAAACAGTAGCCAATAAAGCTGTTTGGCCATAATAGTATTACATACATATACATATATATAGCAGTTAAAATTACATGTAAGTGTTTCCTAACTTAAAATTTAAGACTGCTTAGTTTTGTTTTTACTTAGATTCCGCTTACGAAGTATTCCCCTCTTCATAGAATATTATTGCGTGCATTATAGGCACCCAGAAAGGTATTACACTTGGGACAATAGTGATTACCCGTGCGACAGCTGTTCATGCAATAGGGTACCACACAGGCACAGCAGCACCATCTAGATGTGAAGTAAAGAAATGTCGACATAAAAAATATTCAAACATATTTAATCCTTAAAACTTACCCCACAAGACACAAAATAAATGCACACAAATGTGTCTTCGAATTGGGTGTATAGGCCATGCGTGAAACTTTCGAGGCACCACAGGAGGGACATGTGACTTTCGAGGGATTGGGACCCAGCTGGGCAGACAAAGGTGTTGATGATTGGGCTGGAATAAAAAAAGGCATAATTTAAATTTCATTGAAAACAAATTCTGATTAAAAATTAAACATCAATGAAAATATAAGGCGTTCATATTTTTTAAGCATACACAGAAGGCGTGAATTTGTATACCCTTCACCACACTGTGGTACAGGGTATTATGTCTTTGTGCATATGTTTGTAACAGGCAAAGGGAAACGAGATAGGCCCATGGTTCCTTTTGAGAATATGCATAGAATCACTGTTTGAGTCGATTTACGCATGTCCGTCCGTCCATGTATTTTTGTGAACAAAGTACAGGATGAAATTTGGCATAGGTCACTTATTTGGTCCAAGGACGAACCCTATTGAAATTGGGAAAAATCGGTTCAGATTTAGATATAGCTCCCATATATATTTTCGTCCAATTTAATGTAAACGGTGCACCAAAGTCCCTAAATATCTCTCGATTTGCATGAAATTAGGCACAGCGTAATGAATTAGGTATAGAATGATGTGTGTTAAGTTTCCTGAAAATCGGTTCAGATTTAGATATAGCTCCCATACATATTTTCGTCCGATTTAAGGTAAATGGTGTACCAAAGTCCCTTAACATCTTTCCGTTTGTACGAATTTTGGCACTGCGTAATAACTTAGGTCTAGAATGATGTGTGTTCAGTTTCTTGAAATCGGTTCAGATTTAGATATAACTTCTTTATCTGACCAAATAACAAATCGGTTGCAGAATGACATGTTTACGGATCCAATTTCATGTTACTGGTCCTTTAAAATGCGACGTCTGTTAGGATTCCTCTGTTGGAAATACCCAAAGTGGTGAAGGGTATCATATAGTCGGCCCCGTCCGACTTTACTACTTTCCTTACTGGTTTAAAAATATTTTTAAGCATCCCCAGATGGAATAACGAAAAATGGGATTGACTGGAATTAGCAGAGAAAAAGAAACACTACGTAGTAAAGACATCAACCACTGTACAAAATTGAAGGAGGCGTTGTTTCGAGGTAACGGTAGATGGCAGCTATCATCAACTGGGGCTGGCTATAACAAACTAATCATTTACTTTTTTGGTAGTCTTGTGTCGTTCGTGAATGACCTAGTTCAATTGAACGCGTCAGACCACTGAACGAGTGAACGACATAGTTCAGTTTTTATTATTGTCGTTCACTGAACGATACCAAACTCAGTCGGTCTCTGAACGACTTTGCTCAAGGAATGTCGTCGGTCACTGAACGACATTGTATTTTCTTCTACACCTTCAATGTTGTTCACAGGTGCACTGACTGTCTGAAATAGTCAAATAAGAACAATTTTGATATTTGAATGAAGTTACGTGTAATATGCGGTGATTAAAAGATCAAATGCTGCAGTAGTGTTTTACGTATAGCTAAAGGGTCAGTTAAAAATATGAAGCGACATTTAAAAGCACAGCACTCCCATAGATAACCGTGGAGCTGGAAACCACGGAAAATAGGCAAAGCGGGTCCGGAGCAAAAACTGCAGCACAAACAAGAGTGCTGCCGAATATAACGGAGTTATACCATCGACCACCACCCATTAACAAAGTGGAGAAAATATATAGGAAAGTCCTTTGAATGATTGTGAAAGGTAATCATTCTTTACGGTTGGCTGAACTGCCAAAACTTTATTGGAATACGCTGCCATGCCAATTGAACTGAGTATCCATTTGAACGATATAAGCAACTGAACGAGGTGACCGACCTAATTCACTTTTAAAAAAATTATCTAGTTCGTTCGATCTCTGAACTGAACGAGATTGCCCAAGACTATTTTGTAGTGAACCAGAATACAAAATCGATAGATACAGATTTCGAAGAAGGAAAGATTTTTTAAAAGAGCTTTTCGAATATTTTTTGTTCAAAAAAGGCTCACAACTCATTCACATAAAATACACAGGTAGTCTCCTGACAATATAATCAACCTCGACATCAACACATACCCCTCCAAAAGGAATAAATACAACAGTACATAAGCAAGGACTCCAACCAATGCATAACATTCAATGAAGCACTGTTTCTAGACAATAATAGATGGCAGCGAGGATTTTTTTAAAATTTTTTTTTAAGAATAAGGCGTGGATATATAAAAAAACATTTATTTAAGTATCCACAGACCAAGCAGAAAATTGTAACACTAAATAGCACGGACTTCAACCACGGTACAAAATTGAGGGAGGCGTTGTTTCTAGGCAACGGTAGATGGCAGCCACCATCATCTGGGACCCATTATAGCAAACCACTCATCATCTAGTAATAGTGAGCCAGAATACATAACCGATAGATGCAGATTTCGAATTCCAGCGAAGAAGGAAAAAGTCTTTCAAAAAGTCTTTCGAATATTTGTAAAAAGAGTCTCACACCCGTTTCACATAAAATACACACGAAGTCCCCTGGCATTGTAATAACCAACCTCGGCATCAACACATGAGAATAACTTGGAAACATGAAAAATGGTAGTAGATAGCGCCACCAAATAAGCAAGGACCTTAACCAATGCATAACATTCAATGAGGCGCTGTTTCTAGGCAACGATAGATGGCACCCTCCCTCATCAATTAGGCCAGACAGCAGACCCCTTAACCTATTTAGCTGGAATAAAGATTCTTAGAGATCTTAGGATCAAATAATGACGTAGTTCCAAATACTGCGATAATATTATTTGACGTCTGGACTAAATACAGCATCCATTTGCGTAAGATTTTTGTGATTGATAACAAAATCATGTGACGTCAATGACTGGAACACAATTAAAATTTTGAATTTTATATTCTCAGTCAATTGCAAATTAAACATCGGGTTTATATTAAAATGAAATACTGAACTGGAAATCATATGAGTCATTGATTTCGAATTTATATTTTCGAAAAAAAATATTACAATTTACTTGCAGCCAAGAGGATTCGAATCATCCAAAATCTACCAAATAAAATTGACCTTACTTTCTTTGTTTTTGCATACCTCCAGTAAAAATATTCAATAAAAAGTGAAAACCGTAATTAATATTTTTTATTATCGGAACGAAGGCGATTTTAATTTTCTAAAGAAAGTCTGAAATTATTACCTCAGTATGCCATGAAGAGGTGTAACTTCCGCATAGGCAGACAATGTGCCCCTTTAGGCACAAAGAGGGGAATAATTATTAAAATGGAAATATATATATATATATATATATATATATATATGAATGTAACATTTTTCCATTGTTTTTGCGGTCAAAAGTTACGCTTCACTGATCCGCTTCGCTGTAATAATAAAAGGCGAAGTAGCTAAGCAAAACAACCGCAAAAAAAAAAAATTGATGGAAAGAAAAACAACTAACCAATACTTCGATAATTGAAACGTTGATCTGTTGAAATCGTTTTGAAAATGGCAATGATTTGTAGGAAGAGGAAAATTATAGGACTTTTGTAATTCATGATAGAAATGAAACAAATGTTTGGAACAATATTTTTTAAAAAATCCACGACTTTAAAACTTTTTCTTTTCTTTAAAAAATATTTCTAAAATCTCAACGCCTTCTTTGGATGTAACTCCCACATCCGAGTACATAGGATAATATAATTGGCTGTGCTATCAACTTCTTGGGTCTATGTCCTTGAAGGGTAAATATATACGCTATAGAATACAAATTTTGTAATTTTTCACACAAAAGTCAGGGTTCATTTGACCCCGCTAAATATTGACCGATCTTTATCAAAACAGGCATGCTTATTCTATGGCCCGAACCCCTTCTTTATGTAAAATTTCGCAATGTTTGGGCCATAATTGCGGTCTCTGGAGCGACCAGAAATTCAGACAAAATTAAAGTTTTTGGTCCATTTCACCCCCTAAATATTGACCGATCTTTACCAAAAGGGGTCTTCATTGGCCAGAACCCATCCTACATGCAAAATTTCGTGAAGATTGGTCCATAACTGTGGCCTCTATCGTATTTACAAATTATAATGGACAGGCGGACGGACGGACACACATGTCTAGATCAACTCAGCTAGTCGAGATATGACGATCGGTATACTTTAAGGTGGGTCTAGGACCAATATTTTGCGGCGTTACAAACTCTTGGGGCTACACAAAGCTATAATACTCTGACAACATAGTTGGGTAGGGTATAAAAATGTATGCCTTGGTTCAATAGAAAACCAGTAAGGAAAGTAGTAAAGTCGGACGGGGTCGACTATATGATATCCTTCACAACTTTGGGTATATTCAACAGATGAATCCTAACAGACGTCGCATTTTTAAAGGACCAGTAAAATGAAATTGGATCCATAAACATGTCATTCTGCAACCGATACTAAATTTTTCATTTGGTCAGATACAGAAGCTGTATCTAAATCTGAACCGATTTCAGGAAACTTAACACACATCATTTAGTACCAAATTTCGTGCAAACCGAATGATATTGAGGGACTTTGTTACACCATTTACCTTAAATCGGAGGAAAATATATATGGGAGCTATATCTAAATCTGATCCATTTTTCACGAAACTCAGCACACATCATTCTAGACTCAATTAGGTACGCTATGACAAATTTCATGCAAATCGAGCGATATATAGGGACTTTGGTGCACAATTTACCTTAAATCGGACGAAAATATATATGGGAGCTATATCTAAATCTGAACCGATTTTCAGAAAACTTTGCACACATCTTTCTAGGCTTATTTCAGTACGCTGTGCCAAATTTCGTGCAAATCGAAAGATATATAGGGACTTTGGTGCCCCATTTACATTAAATCGGATGAAAATACATATGGGAGCTATATCTAAACCTGAACCATTTTTCATTAAATTTTGCACACATCATTCTAGACCTAATTCATTAGGCTGTGCCAAATTTCGTGCAAATCGAAAGATACATAGTGACTTTGGTACACCATTTACTTTAAATCGGAGGAAAATATATATGGGAGCTATATCTAAATCTGAACCGATTTAGATATAACTCCCAATTTCAATAGGGTTCGTCCTTGGGCCAAATAAATGAGTTGCGCCAAATTTCATCCAAATCGGATGATAAATGCGACTTTGTTTACAATTTAAGATCAACTGACGGACGGACGGACATGTGTAAATCGACTCAGAAAGTAATTCTATGCATATTCTCAAAAGGAACCATGGGTCTATCTCGTTTCCTTTTGCATGTTACAAACATATGCACAAAGACATAATACCCTGTACCACAGTGTGGTGAAGGGTATAAAAATTAAAAAATCTACCCCTAGTATGGAAGTTTGAAGAAATATTTTTAAAAAATCGATTAAAAAATATTTTTTTTAAAATGTACTATGGTTCGACTTGACTTGAAAAAAGTTGACCGGCCTCGGTCTTTATAGAGCAGACAGACCGGCCTCGATTTTTATAGAGCGACTTCAGTTCTTTAAATAAAAACCTTGGACCTTTATAACTTCAGGTTAGAGCCAAAAAAACAAAAAACCGTCCGCAATTATAAGCCATTAAAATTTTCCTAATGTTGTTGTCTAGGCTAGGTCGTATTCGTTGTTGTTGTTTCTTTTTTTTTTATACTTCGCCATATTAATGTCGTAACACAGTTTGTTGCACTTACCTGTGGTTGGAACTGAATTCGAAGGTAGTTGTGGCTGTGAATGAGTAGAGCTTGTTGGCACAGTGGGTTGATTTGTTATCACCTGAGTTGGTGGATAGCTTATGTGGTCAACAGAGGGAGCCGAGGGATTTCCATAGGCTGGCTGAGGTGCCTGTGGCGCCCAACCAATATTTTGTTGTGAAGGTTGTGGCTGTTGTTCCCCCACTGCCACATCATAGGAGGGCGGGGCCTCCACAGGTAAACCCATTGCCGCAGCAGCTGAGGTGCGTTGATCCGTTGACATGGCATTGGGATCGGGATAAAGCATTGCATGTTTTTGATCCATGGTCAACAGGAAATTTGGGGTTTTTGTTTTCTGCTTCAGAACCGGATTGTATTCACAAAAATTGTTGAGATTTTGAAATAAGAATCTGAATAATTTATTTTTTAGATTGCAAAATATTTATTCTGTTTGTCTTGTTTGCTTTTATTTTCTTGCTTCGCACAATCACTTTGCAAAAAAATCGGAGGTGATACACACAGAGAAACACGCGTCGCACGTTAGATCACTTAAAACGCTGCGAAACAACTAAAGAAGCACAAAATACGAAAATTGAGTTTCCAATGCAGGTTTTTTCGAATTCGTTTTTTTATTGTTGTTTATTTGATTTTGTGTTTGTTAAACTCTCGCCTGTGCTTGCTCGCTTTTTTAATTGGGCTTTACTGTGACGTCATAAGCCAGACAAACAGCAAAGTATTCAGATAGAGATTCATAATTTTTATAAAGAGAGCAGCCAGAAAAAAAAAACAACAATTTGATAAGAGCTTGCCGGCTGCTTACCTGGTAGTATAGACCTAGTCCATTTGGCTGCTGTATCTATCTATCGCAGCCGAAGCAGTTGTTTTTGTTTATTTAATTTTTTTTTATCTATGGAGATACTAGATATCAGAATATTCAGCATCCACAAAATATTTTGGATTTTTTTACCCTTCACCGCACTGTGGTACAGGGTATTATGTCTTTGTGCATATGTTTGTAACAGGCAAAAGGAAACGAGATAGACACATGGTTCCTTTTGAGAATATGCATAGAATCACTTTCTAAGTCGATTTATGCATGTCCGTCCGTCCGTCTGTCTGTCCATGTTAAATTGCAAACAATGTACATGTCGCATTTATAATCCGAATTGGATGGAATTTGGCATAAGTCATATTTAAATATAGCTCCCATATACATTTTCGTCCGATTTAAGGTGAATGGGGCACCAAAGCCCCTATATATCTTTCGATTTGCACGAAATATGGTATAGCGCACTGAACTAGGTCTAGAATGATGTGTGCTAAGTTTCGTGAAAATCGGTCCAGATTTAGATATAGCTCCTATATATTTTTTTGTCCGATTTAATGTAAATGGTGTACCAATGCCCCTATATAAAGTTCGATTTACACGAAATTTGGCATAGCGTACTGAATTAGGTCTACAAGGATGTGTGTCAAGTTTCCTGAAAATCGGTCCAGATTTGGATATAGCTCCTATATATATTTTTGTCCGATTTATTGAAAACGGTACACCAAAGTCCCTATCTATCTTCCGATTTTCACCAAATTTAGCATAGCGTAATGAATTAGGTTAAGAATGATGTGTGTTAAAATTCCTGAAAGTCGATCCAGATTTAGATATAGCTCCCATATATATTTTCGTCCGATTTTATAGAAATGGTGCACCAAAGTCCCTATATATCATTCGATTTGCACGAAAAATTGGCATATCGCACTGAATTAGGTCTAGAATGATGTGTGGCAAGTTTCCTGAAAATCGGTTCATATTTAGATATAGCTCCCATATATATTTTCGTCCGATTTATTGAAAACGGTGCACCAAAGTCCCTATATATCTTTCGATTTGCACGAAATTTGGCATAGCGTAATGAATTAGGTTTAGAATGATGTGTGTTAAAATTCCTGAAAGTCGGTCTAGATTTAGATATAGCTCCCATATATATTTTCGTACGATTTAAGGTAAATGGGGCACCAAAGTCCCTGTATATCTTTCGATTTGCACGAAATTTGGTATTGTGTACTGAATTAGGTCTAGAATGATGTGTGCTAAATTTCGTGAAAATCGGTTCAGAATGGTGGACGAAAGTCCCTATATATTCTTCGATTTGCACGATATTTGGCATAGGCTACCGAATTAGGTCCGGAATGATATGTGTCAAGTTTTGAGAAAATCGGGTCAGATTCAGATATTGCTCCAGTATATATTTGCGTACGATTTAAGGTAAATGGGGTACCAAAGTCCTTATATATCTTTCGATTTGCACGAAATTTGGCATAGGGTACTGAATTAGGTCCAGAATGATGTGTGTCAAGTTTCGATGAAATCGGTTCAGATTTAAAATTCCTGAAAGTCGGTCCAGATTAAGATATAGCTCCCATATATATTTTCGTCCGATTAAAGGTAAATGGTGCACCAAAGTTCCTATATATATTTCGATTTGCAAAAAAATGGCATATCGCACTGAATTGGGTCCAGAATGGTGTGTGTCAAGGTTCGATGAAATCGATCGAGATTAAGATATAGCTTCCATATATATTTTCGTCCGATTTAAGGTAAATGGGGCACCAAAGCCCCTATATATCTTTCGATTTGCACGAAATTTGGTATAGTGTACTGAATTAGGTCTAGAATGATGTGTGCTAAGTTTCGTGGAAATCGGTTCAGAATGGTGCACGAAAGTCCCTATATATTCTTCGATTTGAACGAAATTTGGCATAGGGTACTGAATTAGGTCCAGAATGATATGTGTCAAGTTTTGAGAAAATCTGGTCAAATTTAGATATAGCTCCATGATATATATTCTCGTCTGATTTAAGGTAAATGGGGCACCAAAGTCCCTATATATCTTTCGATTTGCACGAAATTTGGTATATGGTACTTAATTAGGTCCAGAATGATGTGTGTCAAGTATCGATGAAATCGGTTCAGATTTAGATATATAGGTCCCTGAAAATCTTTCGATTTGCACGAATTTTGGTATAGCGCACTAAAATAAGTCGAAAATAATGTGTGCTAAGTTTTGTGAAAATTCAGGTTCAGATTTAGATATAGCATAGCTTCCATATATAATTTCGAAATATTCATGTTAATTGTAGACCAATTTTAACAGTGAAGCATACCAAATAGCGTGTATACAGTTTGCTTTAAATCTATTTACTTAATTTAGAATAGGTTGCCGAATGGCATGTGTTAGGATCGAAGTTAGTGGGTTTACTTATAGATAAAGATCGCATATTTAAGTCCGTTCAATTTAATGTCAATACTCCTTCGAAAAGGCGACGTCTGTTGGGACACATATGTACAATATACTCAATGGGGTGAAGGGTATCATATAGTCGTCCAAGTCCGACTTAACTACTTTCCTGACTGGTTTAAAATATTTTTTCAAACATCCACAGAAGGCGTGGATTTTTAAAACACATTTTTTCAATAATGCATCTTTCATTCCTCCCCAAAAATAATTGGGATCCCGATCATATGTTATACGGCCATAAATGGTCCCAACCGGAAATCGTGAGAAATAAGCATTAAATTAGAAAACGACAATGATTGTCTGCGATTTGTGGTCCATATGCAAATCAAAGCAACAGATGACAATTCCGATTAGATTTCAAATAAAAAATAATGGAATTTTAGTGTCGTTTTAAATAGAAAACCAAGCTGTCACTGGCAACGTCGTTCATTACTCTATTTAAATTCTTCAATGGAACTTCCTGGAAACTTGTACATATTTTTATTAATAACCACAATTGCAGCATCCACCTCTAAGCCGGTATGGCAGGAATATTTTGCATCTTTCAGCTCTGGAGTTTTGATCTGATCAATGTGGACTATTACAGCAACAACACGGATATGGTGGAGTTGGAATTGAAGGTGCATCGCATCGATCGTGGTCTCTATGGCTGTAGTGGTTTTATGGATTTTAAAGTAGACCTTTACGATAACGATGTACGAGTGCACCTCAACGTACTGCGAAGTAAATCGCGATCAGGACCCTTTACCAATACGCCAATACAAATCTATAATGAGACTTTACCAACGGTCTTGAATGTTTTCTATAAAAATTTTATTATCGAAGATGCCCTGAAGTGTTGTGATAATGCTCCATATCTTAGGGACCTTTACGGGAGCTATATTTAAATCTGAACCGATTTTCATGAAACTTAGCACACATCATTCTGGACCTAATTCAGTATCCTATACCAAATTTCGTGCAAATCGAAAGATATATGGGGACTTTTGTGCCTCATTTACCTCGGACAAACTATATATGGGAGCTATATCTAAATCTGAACCGATTTTCACGAAACTTAGCACATATCATTCTGGACCTAATTTAGTATCTTATACCAAATTTCGTGCAAATCGGACAAACTATATATGGGAGCTATATCTAAATCTGGACCGATTTTCACGAAACTTGGCAGACATTACTCTAGTCTTAATTCAGTACGTTATGCCAAATTTCGTGCAAATCGAAAGATATGGTGCACCATTTACATAAAATCGGACGAAAATATATATGGGGGCTATATCTTAATCTTAACCGATTGTCACGAAACTTGGCAGATATCATTCTAGGCTCAATTCAGTACGCTATGCCAAATTTCGTGCAAATCGAAAGATATATAGGGACTTCAGTGACCATTTACCTTAAATCGGACGAAAATATATATGGGAGCTATATCTAAATCTGGACCGATTTCCATGAAATTTGACAGACATCATTCTAGGCTCAATTCAGTACGTTATGCCAAATTTCGTGCAAATCGAAAGATATATAGGGACTTTTGGTGTCCCATTTACCTTAAATCGGACGAAAATATATATGGGAGCTACATCTAAATCTGGACCGATTTCCAAGAAACATGAGAGACATCATTCTAGACTCAAGTGCGTACATTATGCCAAATTTCGTGCAAATCGAAAGATATATAGGGACTTTGGTGCCCCATTTACCTTAAATCGGACGAAAGTATATATGGGAGCTATATCTAAATCTAGACCGACTTTCAGGAATTTTAACACACATCATTCTAGACTTAATTCATTACGCTGTGCCAAATTTCATGCAATTCGAAAGATATATAGGGACTTCAGCGCACCATTTACCGTAAATCCGACGAAAATATATATGGCGGCTATATCTAAATCTGGACCGATTTTTACGAAACTTGGCAGTCATCACTCCAGTCTTAATTCAGTACGTTATGCCAAATTTCGATAGAAAAAACCGACAAAAATTTAGTATTTGGTCCATTTCATCCCCTAAATATTCAAATCGGAAGATATATAGGGACTTTTGGTGCCCCATTTACATTAAATCGGACGAAAATATATATGGGAGCTATATCTAAATCGGAACCGATTTTCTTAAATTTCAATAGAGTTCGTCAGTGACTAAAAGGATACTTTAAAATATGTATTTAAGGGTGTTAGAAAATGTATTTAAAAAATCCATGCCTTTAAGGATGCTTGAAAAATTATTATATATTTATAAAAAAAAAAATATTATATTATTATAAAAATATTTTTTTTAAGAAATTCATGCCTTTTAAGGATGCTTGGAAAAATACTAAAATAAATCTATGGCTTTTAAGGATGTTTGAAAAAAATATTTTCAAAAAAGCCACGTCTTCTGTGGATGCTTGGAAAAAAATATTTACAAACATTATCTGCTCTTCATAATATATTTTTGTAATTTAATTTACAATAACAATTTTTTATTTTCATTTTCCTTCAGTTGGCACTTTCCACATAAGCCAATGTCTCCAAATAACCATACCAATCTCTGCCATAAACACTTGTCCTTGTAATATAATAACCATCCATCATATAATTCGGTAACTTTTCTAACGAAACAGAACATTGATTTAGGGTAACCAGACGCTTAGTTAATGGAGGCTTAAAGGTGTCATTGAAATAGGGGGCATTCTCACAACACTTTTGAGCCTCTTCCATAATCATATTTCGATAGAAAACATTTACGGCTGTTGACAGCGTCTCGTTTTCGATTTTCATTGGCATTGTGGTGAAGGGTCCCGATCTAAATTGGCTGCGCTGTAAAAGAAATTGTATGCGAACGTCATCCTCGTATAGATCGATTTTCAAATCAATGAAGCCACTGGCACCATAACGACCACGATCGATACGCTGGGCATTTAATTTGATATCGGCCACCTCAGGGTTGCTGGTGTAATAGTCCACTTGGATCAGTTCAAAATCCCAAAACTGAAAGAAATTTTTGAAATATTTTGATTTTAAGGAAGTTTCGGAGTACATCCTTCACGTACCTGCTTTGAAAGGGCCAACGATAACGTAGAAATTAATAGGAAAATTGCGATTTTCCATGGATGTTTCATTGCAGACATTATCAACAGAAATGTACTGCGAACTGAACTGCGTTTGGGGGTTTTAAATAAAATCCGTAAAAAAATAAGTTTCATAACAAATCTAATCATGATCGCCATCTGATTTTTTAACATGTTTTTAAAAACCAATTACATATGATTTTTATCACTTTTGACCTTCCGCATGATATGAAGCACGATCAGATTCATAATTTTTTAAATAGATCGGAAGGTAATGAGATTTTACAAAAGGTAATTAAAGGTAATTAATATGGACAATGCTATAAAAAATATTTTTTTTTTTAAATCCATGAGTTTGTTTGTGTTCCTGGCAGTCGCAGATTAAACAATACGGATATCATGTGAAAAAATGTCAATAAAATTTGAAATCGATAAAAATCATAGGTAATTTGTATTTAAAAACAAATTAAAAACTCCGATGGAAATCATGATAAGATTTGCTATAAAAATTGATTTTTTTCCATTTTATTTAAAAATCCAAACCACTTTTCGATTAGCAGTTCATTGCTATATTTGAAGTGCACAATGGAACTTCCATGGAAAATCTCGATTTTCTTTATAATTTCCATGGCTTCGCTCTGCATTTGTAAACAGGTACGAGTTGGGTATTTCGATTATTTCAAAATAAAAAAATTAATTAAAATCATACAATAGATGTGGGATTTTGAACTGATCAATGTGGACTATTACGCCAGCAACCCCGAGTTGGCCGATATCGAATTGAATGTCCAGCGCATCGATCGTGGTCGTTATGGTTGCAGTGGTTTCATTGATTTTAAAGTCGATATTAACGAGGAAGATGTACGGCTAGAATTTATTTTGCAACGCAGTCAATTTAAATCGGGACCCTTTACCACAATGCCAATGAAAATCGACAATGAGACTTTGACGACGGCCCTAAATGTTTTCTATAAGAATATCATCATGGAAGATGCTCAAGAGTGTTGTGAGAATGCCCCCTACTTCAATGGAACCTTTAAGGGTCCATTGACCAAACGTCGTGTCACTTTAAATCAATGTTCTATATCGTCGGAAAAGTTACCCAGTTATATGATGGATGGTTATTATATTACAAGGACAAGTGTTTATGCCAAAGATTGGTATGGCTATTTGGAGACATTGGCTTATGTGGAAAGTGCTAATTGAGGAAAAAAATTGTTGATCTGCATTAAATTTCAAAAATATGTAATAATTATACACACCTTATATACCCCTTGAAAAAATATTTAAAAAAAATCCACGCCTTATTGAGACCTTGAAAAACTATTAAAAAATCCAAGCCTTATATATCCAAAAAAGTAGTAAAATCGGACGGGGCTGACTATATGATACCCTTCACCATTTTAGGTATGTTCAATAGATGAATCCTAACAGACGTCGCATTTTTAAAGGACCAGTAAAATGAAATTGGATCCATAAACATGTCATTCGGAAACCGATACTAAATTTTTCATTTGGTCGGATATAGAAGCTATATCTAAATCTGAACCGATTTTCAATAAACTTAACACGCATCATTCAAGGCCTAATTTAGTACGCATGCCAAATTTCGAGCAAATCGAAAGATATATAGGGACTTTGGTACACCATTTACATAAAATCGGACGAAACTTTATATGGGAGCTATATCTAAACCTGAACCGATTTTCACGAAACTTAGCACACATCATTCTGGAGCTAATTCAGCACTCTATGCCAAATTTCATGCAAATCGAAAGATATATAGGGACTTTGGTGCACCATTTACATCAAATCGGACGAAATATATATGGGAGCTATATCTAAATCTGAACCGATTTTCACGAAACTTAACACACATCATTCTAGACCTAATTCAGTACTCTATGCCAAATTTCGTGCAAATCGAATGATATATAGGGACTTTGGTGCACCATTTACCTTAAATCGGACGAAACTATATATGGGAGCTATATCTAAATCTGAACCGATTTTCAATAAACTTAACACGCATCATTCAAGGCCTAATTTAGTACGCATGCCAAATTTCGTGCAAATCGAATGATATATAGGGACTTTGGTGCACCATTTACCTTAAATCGGACGAAAATATATATGGGAGATATATCTATGCCAAATCAAATTGAATGATATATAACCGCTTTTCGAAAATATATACGAGAGCTATATCTAAATCTGTACCGATTTTCACGAAACTTAGCACACATCATTCTGCACATACTTCAGTACTCTATGCCAAATTTCGTGCACATCGAATGATATATAGGGACTTTGGTGCACCATTTACCTTAAATCGAACGAAGCTATATACGGGAGCTATATCTAAATCTGAACCGATTTTCTCGAAACTCAACACACATCATTCTGCACATACTTCAGTACTCTATGCCAAATTTCGCGCAAATTGAATGATATATAGGGACTTTGGTACACAATTTACCTTAAATCGGACGAAAATATATACGAGAGCTATATCTAAATCTGAACCGATTTTCAGGAAACTTAACACACATAATTCTAGACCTAATTCATTACGCTGTGCCGAATTTCATGCAAATCGAAACATATATAGGGACTTTGATGCACCATTTACCTTAAATCGGACGAAACTATATATGGGAGCTATATCTAAATCTGTACCGATTTTCAGGAAACTTAACACACATCATTCTAGACCTAATTCATTACGCTGTGCCAAATTTCGTGCAAATCGAAAGATATTTAGGGACATTGGTACACCATTTGCCTTAAATCGGACGAAAATATATATGGGAGCTATATCTAAATCTGAACCGATTTTTCCAAATTTCAATAGGGTTCGTCCTTGGGCCAAATAAGTGACTTGTGCCAAATTTCATCCAAATCGGATAATAAATGCGACCTGTACTTTGTTTACAATTTAACATGGACAGACGGACGGACGGACATGCATAAATCGACTCAGAAAGTGATTCTATGCATATTCTCAAAAGGAACCATGTGTCTATCTCGTTTCCTTTTGCCTGTTAAAAATAATGCTCTAAGACATAATACGCTGTACCACAGTGTGGTGAAGGGTATAAAAATACACGCCTCATATGGCCTCAGGAAAAATATTCTTTAAAAAATCCACGCCTTTTTTTAATTTACATAAATTACTTTTTATAATGAATTTTGACAGTTGTTTTTATTGTTAATTTTTTTACAGTTCCACTCTAATATACATACTTTTTCTATAATAGTAATTTCTTATCACGCTCTTTGATATGTTCCCAAATAACGATCGCACATGCCGCAATAATGATTCGTATCCATGCAACTGGCAATGCAATAGGGCAGACAAATACAACAATATAACCTAGAGAGAGAGTAGGGGAGAGAGAAGAATACAGAGAATAAAAGTCCGCTGTGACTCACTTGTTGTTAAACTTTTAATACTCACTGTAGCAGACAAAGTATCAGGGCAAACAAATGGGTACGTGAGTTGGGTTTGGCACGGAGCCGGGTACGACAAATATTATGACAATAGGGGCACTGGACATCAATGGGCGTGGGTCCATAGGTGACCGAGGGTTCTGAAATCAAATCGAATTTATAATAAACAAATTTCCGAATTTTCTTAAACAATTAATTTACGTGTTATAACCACCACATGTGGATCTCCGGACGTTGGCTGACTGGGCTGTTGTGTTATGGGCTCAGCCCCTATGGCCTGATCATAGCTTGGTGGTGCAGGTTTTGACAATAAGCGCTGCTGCTGTTCGCTATGGACCACCTCTTCCAATGGTGCAGAGGGATATACCCGTTTTGTGGCGTCGTCACTCATCTCGTCTGGGGATTTTGTCTTCACTTTCTTTAGGTTACTGCTTCGTCTGCAAATCGAAGACGACTAACTTGACTTTTTATGGTTGAATACACACAGAACTCGGTTCGATTCTCTTCTTCTATGTTTGTATATTTGTTAATGGTCGTTTCTTATCAGTTAAACAAAAAAGTAATATTTAACAAATCCCCATGGTATTTATCGATTCGTAAAAGGGAATCTAAACAGAGAGTGAGGCGGCATGGTTGACGATGGGTGCGACACAGAACCATTGTTATTTTTGAGGGTAGAATTATCAATGAATTTGTGTGTTGGGGAGACATCTATGGGAAGAGGGTGTTGCTACCGAACGTTAGATGGAGCTTCAGGCATATAAATATTTTTTGAAAAATATTTTAAGTTTGAAAAAATATTTTTAAAAAAAAAACCCTCCTACTGGATATGGCTTCCTTATGACATTTTATTGATAGACGGCTTCTAATTGGAATTCTATGGCTTGCAGACCTGTTATAAGCTCTAATTGTATAAAATGCCTCTAATTGGCCTTCTACGACTAGAATACCCCCAATGTGAATTCTATGGATAGAAACCCTCCAATTGGACAAAAGGCTTCCAATTAGAATTCTATAAATAATAAGCCTCCAATTGGTCATCTGTGGGTAGAAGACCTCCAATTGATATTCTATGTATAGAAGATTTCCAATTGGAATTGAAGAACTCCAATAGGAATTCTAGTATAAAAAGGCTTCCAAGACATCAACTGACATCCTATGATTATAAACGCTCCTATTGGATAAAAGCCTCCCCAATGAAATTTTATTGATAGATATCTTCCAATTGGAATTCTATGGTTTGCACATCGGTTATAAGCTCTAATTGGCCTTCTTCGACTAGAATACCTCCAATTTGAATTCTATGAATAGAAAGCCTCCAATTGGATAAAAGGCTTCCAATTAGAATTTTAAAAATAATAGGTCTCCAATTGGTCATCTGTGGGCAGAAGACCTCCAATTGTGATTTTATGTATGCAAGATTTCCAATTGGAATTGAAGAACTCCAATAGGACTTCTAGTATAAAAAGGGTTCCAACTGGACATCCGTGGATAGAAGACATCAACTGGGTAATGTATGGCCAGAAGGCCTTAAATTGGTATTAAATGGATAAAAGTCCTTTAATTGGAGTTCAATTGTATATGGTTTCCAATTAGAATTCTATGGATTAATGGACTGTGATTTGAATTTTTATTATAAAAGGCTTCCAATAGGAGTTAAATATCCAATTGACCTTCGTTTACTAGACCTTTCCAAGTTTATGAATAAAATACTTCTAATCGGAAACCTATTGATAGGAAGCCTCCGATTGAAATTCTTTGCCTCAATTGCCTCCATTATGATGTTTTTAGCGGCCTCCTGTTGGCCTCTAATTGGAATTCTGCAGATAGAAGACCTAGAAGTGCAATTTTTTATAGAAGGCTTCTAATTGGATTTCTATGGATATAAGGAACCCAATTGGCCCAGGTCAATGATCTATGTCTTCCAATTGGAATTCCATGGATAGAAGAACTGTAATTTGAATTTTTTTGTTATAAAAGGCTTACAATTGGAATTCTATGTATATTAGATATCCAATTGACCATCTTTGACTAGAGCTCTTCAATTTTATGGATAAAATACCTCTAATGGGAAACCTATTGACGGGATGCCTCCGATTGGAATTCTATTGGTAGTAGGCCTCCTGTTGACCTTTAATTGGAATTATACAGATTGAAGACCTCGAAATGCATTTTTTATAGAAGCCTTATAATTGGAATTCTATGGCTTATATCCCAATTGGCCCAGGTCAATGATCTATGTCTTCCAATTGGAATTCCATGGATAGAAGAACTGTAATTTGAATTTTTTTGTTATAAAAGGCTTACAATTGGAATTCTATGTATATTAGATATCCAATTGACCTTCTTTGACTAGATATCTTCAATTTTATTGAAAAAAATACCTCTAATGGGAAACCTATTGATAGGAAGCGTCCGTTAGGAATTCTATTGGTAGTTAAAAGGTCTCCTTATGTTTTTTTAAAGGCCTCCTCTTGGCCTTTAATTGGAATTCTGCAGATAGAAGACCTAGAACAGTATTTTTTATAGAATTTGATTTTTTTATAGAATTATAATTATATGGAATTGGAATACTAGGAATAGAAGGAACCCAATTGGATTTCTATGGATAGAAGGAACCCAATTGGAATTCTATGTATAGAAAGGTTTCAATACTATGGATAAAGGACTACTGATAGGAGGCTTCTAATTGGTTATTGGATTTGTATTTATTGTAGGTTTCCCATTGATCTTATGTATGAAAAGAAGGCATATTTTATAAATAAAGGGTATCAAATTGTAAATATATAGTTAGTGGGCTTTTAATTGGGATTCTTTGCTAGGAAGACTACCAATTGCAAATCGTTTAATGGAGGGTCCCCAATTAGTCGTTTTTTGTATAGACATATTCTCTATTCTATTGTTAACGTATGACTAATTGGAATTTGGTTAATAGGTGGACTCCAATTGGAATTCTAAAAATAGAAGAACTCTGGTTGGTCTTCTATTTCTAGAGATCTCTATTTTGCTTTATATGATCAGAATTCATTAAATTGGTCTTCTATGGATTATTATAATCTTATTTATTGAAGGTCCCCAGTTGGATAAAATACCTCTAATTAGTCTTCATTTCGGATTCTTTGAATGCCTCCAATTAGATCTCCATGACTAAAAGGCCTCCTATTGGTTTTCTATGGGTAGCAGGTCCCCCAATTGTTCTCCTATGGATAAAAGTCATCATGTTAGTCTTCTATTATTCCGATTCGAAAGCTATGAATAGAAGGCTTCCAATTGGAATTCTATAAATAAAGGGCATCTAATTGGGGTTTTATGGACACAAGAGTTTCAATTAGAATTTTAAGGCTAAAATGTTTTTAAATAGTCATCTATACTCTAAGCGGCCATCGATGTCCTTCAATTGGTCTCATATGGATAGGGTACCTCCAATTTGACTATTATAGCAAGAAGGGCATCGATAGACCACTTTTTCAATTTTTCGACTCAGTTGTTCGATCGTGCCGAATTTTATATACCCGTTACCAGAGGATTCCAATTGGACGCCTTTTAACCCTCAAACCCCTTTTATCTAATTTGAAATAAAACAATATAATATTGTGTAGTTTTTGTTGTGTTTTTAATAGTAAGATTACAACAATATATAATTTTTAAGTTGTATATATACGATATATATTATAACAATATTTATTAACATTTATTTACATTAAAAAAAAGAAACACGACTAGTTTTTCTACCTTTAAACACATTTGTAAGGAAGACCATCTAGAGTGGTCCCTAAAAACATGTTTGATTGTACAAAAAATTGAGGAAAACACAAACACACACACACATACATGTAAAAATTGTTATTTTTCAAAAATTGCACAGCCCTTATTCCCTAAACGACAGTCACGAAAAAATTTAACCACCTACAGGGTATTGCCGTAGGTGCCCAAAAATTTACCACAATTTCCGCAATAATGTTGGGCATTCATGCAGCTGCCAGCACAGTACGGCAAACAGACGCAACACCAAAGTCTGCAAAAAGAACAACAACAACAATAAAAATAAATAAAAACACATGAAATACATTAACTTGAAGATAAAAAATGAAGTCCCAGGCAAAATAAAGGAAAGTAAACATTGATAAAAATCAGTTGATATGCTTATCGCGCAAATATCTTATCAGAAAAAATACCAAAATCCCATTCATGTTTAAAAACAAATTGTTAATTTTCCCCTTTTTTCTTGGTGAAATTATGATAATGGGGATTTTTTTTATTGTTTGGATTTTATGACTGATGATTTTTCTCGAGTGTGTCCCGATTGTGTAGCGGCGGTACTTACCCAAATAGACACAGCAAGGCAGCCATTAAATGTGTTCGTGAACTTGGTTCGTATTCAATGCGTGTCAATTTCTGGACATGACATGCCGGACAGGTGACATAGACGGGCTCGGGACCCAATGGCAGCATGGGTTCTGGAAAAGAGGCAGAGAAAAGAAACAAAAATTGGTTAAGTAATTGGAGAAGTCAAAATGTGAATAAAAGAGTAGAGGTATGGTTGGAGTTTCTGGAAGGAAGAACACTTTCTAACACAAAAAAATATCTCCTATAGGTCCTCCTTTGAATAGAAGGCCTTTAATCGATCATTTATCACCTACGATGGACAGAAGGCTTCTAATTGATTTTCAAGGAATAAATTGCCCCCCAATTGATCTTCTAAGGACGGAAGTTTCCAATTGGTTTTTTATGGCTAAAAAAGTTCACAACCGGTCTCCAAACAATAATGCTAGGGATTGGTCTCCTAATGACATTCTAATTGGATTTCTATGGCAAGATGTTCTCCAATTCAATTTCAAGATTAAAACTCCTCCGATTGGCTTTCGCTGGCATCCAATTGGAATTTTATGGCTAGAATTATGTACACTTGGTCTGCTATGGCTGGGTGACCTCCAAGTCTTCTTCTATGGATAGAATATATCTTATTGGCATTTTATAAATAGAATAACTCCAATTGGATTTTTATGTATATAGCATACAATTCAACTTCAATGGTTAGAAAGACCTCTACTACTGTGTTGAAGACCTTAAATTGGAATTCTATGGACAGAAGGACATCAATTGGATTTCTGCAACTTCCAATTGGAACTCAACGTATGGAAGGGCTTGTTTAGTCAGAAGACCTTTTATTGAAATCACATGGATATAAGGCCTTCAGTTGAAATTTAATGAATAGAAGACATCCAATTGACTAGAAAGTCACCTATTGGTCATCTATATACTAGAAAACTTCCAATTGGAATTCTTCGTTTAGAAAATTGAAATTCTATAGATAAAAGGGGCACCAATAGGAATTTTTAGGTCATAATTGCTAGGATTGGCCTTGTATGGTCAGAACACAATGACGCCAATTTGCATTGTATGAATAAAAAGCTTCCAATTAGAATTTATAAATATATAAGGTCTCAAATTGCTTATCTTTGGTTAGAAGATTTTCAATTAGAATTCTATGTATAGAAGACTTCCAATTGGAATTTTATGGATAGAAGATTTTCAATTGGTCATTTGTGGATAGAATGCCCACTATTGGTATCCAATTGGAATTTTTGTATAGAAGGTATGCAATTGGAATTCTATGGATAGAGGACCCCAATAAGAATTTTTTGTACATAAGGCATACAACTGTCCTTATATAGCTGGAGTCATTCGATCATGTAGATAAAAGACTTTTAATTGGAAACATTTTGAAGGCCTCCAATTGGCATTCTATGTATGATTTTCTATTGTCCCTGTATGGCTGTAAATTCGATTCCGATCCGATTGGAATTTTTTGTACAGAAGGAATCCAATTGGAATTCAAGAATTATATTGATCAGTGGCTTCCAATTGGAATTTTTTGTATATAAGACCTCAAAGTTCTCCGATACTATGGAAACTTATTGAAGGTATGCAATTGGCCTCTAGCTATATGGTATAGTAGGTATCCAATTGGAATTCAGTGGATAGAAGGTCTCAATAAGAATTACTTTTGAAAAAGGCTTCCAATTGGAATTTTCTCTGTATAAAGCCTCCAACTGGCCTTCTATAGCTGGAGTCATCCGATTATGTGGATAAAATTCTTCTAATTGAAACTTATTGAAGGTCTTCAATTGGCATTCTATGTTTGATTTCAATCTCATTTAGCCTTTAATTGGTTCTGTATGGCTGGGAATTCTATCGATAGAAGGCCTATAGTTGGTCTCCGATTTAAATTTTTTGTATAGAACTTATCCAACTGGAATTCTATTGAATTATATTGATAAAAGGCTTTCAATTGGAATTTTCTGTATATAAGGCCTCCAACTTGCCTATGGTAAAAATTTCTCCAATCGACATTCTATGGCTAGATTCTTATTGTCCCATTGTATGGAAAGAAAATTTACTATTCCAATAGAAATTCCTTATAAGTTTAACCGGGCTCCAATTGGAATTTTATAGCTAGAAGGTTTCCAAGTGACCCTAACCCCCAATTAGTGGTCCATGCAGGCACACACACCTTCAGTGAGTCACTTTGACTTTTCTAAAGTTAATAATTTTCTCCCTCCTATCTATCCGCATAAATATTACTCAAAGTCAGAGAGATAGATAATACCTGCATTTTATCATGGTGGGCGATAATAATGGACGATCCAGAAAATTCCCCCTACCACTATATATGTAAATACACTCAAAGAAAAATATTAATTCAAATTAGACTTACGTTGTATTATAACCACGGAGGGCTGGCCCAATCCTGGCTGTTGTTGATGGACATTGGGTATGTGTGTTGTTGGTGGCGGTTGGGGTGGTTGAGCGGGGGCATAGTGATATGTCGTGGTGGAGGATGATGCTGGTGTCGTGTAGGTAACATATTGAGTAGTGGATCCTATGGGCGCCTGTTGCGGAGCCCATTGTGTTGTTTGTGTTGGATTGTAGGTGGCAGCTGGTGTTGGTGTAGCTCCTGTTGCCTGATCATAGGATGGTGGTGGTGGATGATTCATGGCTGTTGTTGTGTCATAAACGGTAACACCACTCTGTGTACTGGTACCAGCTCCTTCGGGAGCACGTCGAGGACCATTGGCGTAGGTAGATTTTTCCATTAGATGAGAGAGGTAGACAAAACAGGCGTTTTCTTATTGATTTGAAATTTGAAATTAGGTTATTGTCAAAAATTTGTTCTTGAAATTCCACGAAGTTGTTGATTTGTTTGTTTGTTTTATTTTGGTTTTTTCGTTAGGCTTAGTGTTGTTGTTGTTTTTATTATCACAAATTATTAATTTTTTATTTATTCTTTATTTATTGAATTTTTGTTTGTTAATAATAGCAATGTGAATATTCTTCTTTCGCGTATTCGTTCTCGTGATCTTTTACTCTCTGGCGTAATTCGTTCGTACTGATTCAATGCGGTGCGGTTAAAGTTTTGTTTGCTCCGATTCGACTCTTGGCCATTCAACCAACCAACCAACAAGCGTTGAAGTATTAATTTGACGATATGAATAAGTTGTTATAAACAACAACAGCAACAACCACAATGACAAGCAACCAGTGTTGCCACATAGAAACGAACAAATTAAAATTTGGGCGGTTTCTGGAAATAATCGTGCAAACAATATTCCTTGAAAAAGTGTTCTTTAAAAAATCCACGCCTCATATAGACCTAGAAAAAATGTTCTGTAAAAAATCCACGCCTCATATAGACCTAGAAAAAATGTTCTTTAAAAAATCCACGCCTCATATAGACCTTGAAAAAATGTTCATTAAACAATCCACGCCTCATATAGACCTAGAAAAAATGTTCTTTAAAAAATCCACGCCTTATATAGGTCCCTGAAAAAATATTCTTTAAAAAATCCACGCCTTATATAGGTCCCTGAAAAAATATTCTTTAAAAAATCCACGCCTTATATAGGTCCCTGAAAAAATATTCTTTAAAAAATCCACGCCTTATATAGGTCCCTGAAAAAATATTCTTTAAAAAATCCACGCCCTGAAAAAATATTCTTTAAAAAATCCACGCCTTATATAGGTCCCTGAAAAAATATTCTTTAAAAAATCCACGCCTTATATAGGTCCCTGAAAAAATATTCTTTAAAAAATCCACGCCTTATATAGGTCCCTGAAAAAATATTCTTTAAAAAATCCACGCCTTATATAGGTCCCTGAAAAAATATTCTTTAAAAAATCCACGCCTTATATAGGTCCCTGAAAAAATATTCTTTAAAAAATCCACGCCTTATATAGGTCCCTGAAAAAATATTCTTTAAAAAATCCACGCCTTATATAGGTCCCTGAAAAAATATTCTTTAAAAAATCCACGCCTTATATAGGTCCCTGAAAAAATATTCTTTAAAAAATCCACGCCTTATATAGGTCCCTGAAAAAATATTCTTTAAAAAATCCACGCCTTATATAGGTCCCTGAAAAAATATTCTTTAAAAAATCCACGCCTTATATAGGTCCCTGAAAAAATATTCTTTAAAAAATCCACGCCTCATATAGACCTTGAAAAAATGTTCTTTAAAAAATCCACGCCTCATATAGACTCATATAGATGTTGAAAAAATGTTCTTTAAAAAATCCACGCCTTGAAAATATGTTGAAAAAATTTAAAAAATCCACGCCTCATATAGACCTTGAAAAAATGTTCTTTAAAAAATCCACGCCTCATATAGACCTTGAAAAAATGTTCTTTAAAAAATCCACGCCTCATATAGACCTTGAAAAAATGTTCTTTAAAAAATCCACGCCTCATATAGACCTTGAAAAAATGTTCTTTAAAAAATCCACGCCTTATATAGACCTTGAAAAAATATTCTTTAAAAAATCCACGCCTTATATAGACCTTGAAAAAATATTCTTTAAAAAATCCACGCCTTATATAGACCTTGAAAAAATATTTTTTAAAAAATCCATGCCTTATGGGAATCTGAAAAAAATTATTCTTTAAAAAATCCACGTTGGTCTAAAAAATATTAAAAAAATACCACCGATATGGCAACCTTGGCCTCTAAATAAACACCGTAACGTAATAATTTGCGTTATCACTTAAAAGCTTTTTTCGTTCACCTCGTAACAGATGGAAATTCTGTTCAAACTCTATTAATTGAGGGTGGCGGGATGGCTAGAGTTGGGTGTTCATTTATTTTAGGGAGAAGGTGTTATTTTGTTGCTGGCTGAATGGTTGTACGAACATATGGAAAAAGTATGTGTATAGGTTACATGAGGGTAAAAAATGGCGAACGAAAAAGCTCGATACGAGCAATGACAAATTTTCATATGAATATCATTAATAGCTGTACTAACTTCTTTATGTTTCATGTTTTGAAAAATAATTTCAACAGAATATCTTATTTTAGAATCTGTGATAAATATCGATTGCACAGTGGGTGGATTAAAAAAATGTATATAAAATATTTTCCTTAAAAAAATCCACGTCTTATGGGAGCCATGAAAAAATATTCTTTAAACAAAATCCACGCCTTATTGGAGCCATCCCTTGGTTCGACTTGAAAAAAAAAATTCTTTAAAAGATCCACGCCATATGGGTGCCATGAGCAATGCCTTGGTTCGGCTAGAAAAAAACATTCTGTACAACACACATCATTCTAGACCTAATTCATTAGGCTGTGCCAAATTTCGTGAAAATCGAAAGATATATAGGGACTTTGGTACACCATTTACCTTAAATCGGACGAAAATATATATGGGAGCTATATCCAAATCTGGACCGATTTTCGCGAAACTTATGACACCTCATTCCGGACCTAATTCAGTACTCTATGTCAAACTTCGTGCAAATCGAGAGACACATAGGGACTTTGGTGCACCATTTATATAAAATCGGACGAAAATATATATGGGAGCTATATCCAAATCTGGACCGATTTTCAGGAAACTTGACACACATTATTCTAGACTTAATTCATTACACTGTGCCAAATTTCGTGCAAATCGAAAGACTTATAAGGACCATTAAATCGGACGAAAATATATATGGAAGCTATATCTAAATCTCAACCGATTTTCAGGAACCTTAACACACATCATTCTAGACCTAATTCATTAGGCTGTGCCAAATTTCATGCAAATCGAGATATATAGGGGCATTGGTAGACCATTTACCTTAAATCGGGCGAAAATATATATGGGAGCTATATCCAAATCTGAACCGATTTTCAGGAAACTTGACACACATCATTCTAGACCTAATTCATTAGGCTGTGCCAAATTTCGTCCAAATCGAAAGATATATAGGGACTTTGGTGCACCATTTACATAAAATCGGACGAAAATATATATGGCAGCTATATCCAAATCTGAACCGATTTTCAGGAAACTTGACTCGCATCATTCTAGACTTAATTTGTTACGCTGTGTCAAATTTCGTGCAAATCGAAAGATATATAGGGACATTGGGGCACCATTTACCTTAAATCGGACGAACATATATATGGGAGCTATATCCAAATCTGAACCGATTTTCAGGAAACTTAACACACATCATTCTAGACCTAATTCATTAGGTTGAGCCAAATTTCGTGCACATCGACAGATATACAGGGACCGTTTACATTAAATCGGACGAAAATATATATATGGGAGCTATATCCAAATCTGAACCGATTTTCAGGAAACTTGACACACATCATTCTAGACTTAATTCATTACTCTATGCCAAATTTCGTACAAATCGAAAGGTATATATGGACTTTGGTACACCATTTACCTTAAATCGAACGAAGCTATATATGGGAGCTATATCTAAATCTGAACCGATTTTCAGGAAACTTAACACACATCATTTTGCACATACTTCAGTACTCTATGCCAAATTTCATGCAAATCGAATGATATATAGGGACTTTACCTTAAATCGGACGATCCTATACATGGGAGCTATATCTAAATCCGAACCGATTTTCTCGAAACTTGGCACACATCGTTCTGCACCTAATTCAGTACTCTATGCCAAATTTCATGCAAATCGAATGATATATAGGGACTTTACCTTAAATCGGACGATCCTATACATGGGAGCTATATCTAAATCTTAACCGATTTTCTCGAAACTTGGCACACATCATTCTGCACCTAATTCATTAGGCTGTGCCAAATTTCATGCAAATCGAATGATATATATAGGGACTTTGATGCACCATTTACCTTAAATCGGATGAACCTATATATGGAAGCTATATCTAAATCTGCACCGATTTTTCCAAATTTCAATAGGGTTCGTCCATGGGCCAAATAAGTGACTTGTGCCAAATTTCATCCAAATCGGATCATAAATGCGACCTGTACTTTGTTTACAATTTAACATCTACAGACGGACGGACGGACATGCATAAATCGACTCAGAAAGTGATTCTATGCATATTCTCAAAAGGACCCATGTGTCTATCTCGTTTCCTTTTGCCTGTTACAAACATATGCACAATGTCATAATAATAAAAATAATAAAAATATTGTTTAAAAAAAGACAAGCCTTGGAACAAAATACAGAAATTTATTTAAAAAATATGATATTAAAAAAAAAACTTTTTAAAATTACCCCAAATATTTCCCCTTTTTGTGCTTCTTTCCAAACTTGTTTCCACGTTTTTCTTTGTACTGTTCGATACACCTCCCTCCTGTTTCCCATCACTTGACTTGAGCACCCAAATATGTATCACACTGAGGACAATAATGTCGGGCACTTTTACAATTGTCAAACAAATAGGGTAAACAGCAGGAACAGCTGAAATTCCGAAATAAATTTTCAAAATCTTCAAAAAATAATAGAATACGAAAATCCACTCCTTACGTGGTACAGCATAGAATAGCGGCAATAATATGGGTCATCATGGTGCTTTGATAATCCACACGTGTCATTAATTGGGCCCTACACGATGGGCAATAGGCTAGGTGGGGTCGAGCGCCAAATTGTGCTGGTGGATGAGCTGTGGACCGAAAATCAAATAACAAAAATTTTAACCGAATTTTGAAATCTCTTACTTATGGGTGCCTGGACAACAGTATAAATATCGCTATTCCTCTGAGGCGGAGGCTCATGGGCTAAACTAGGCGGCTGTAACACCGGATATACCGGTGGTTGACGATTATCTACCGGTTCACCCGGTAAATGATTCTCCATCATGCAAATGATTTCTTGTTTTGTTGGCATTTTTCGACTTTCTCTCTTTGGTTTGCAGGCAGGCAGGACCGACCACTTTCGTTTCTCTGGGAATTGCAATAATTTGCAACACGAACCGATTACGAGTAACAGCAAACAACAGCAGTGACCCTGCACGGACTACTTATTTAAAATTAATGAAAAAACTGTGTAATTCTATGGTCACGGGAATTCTCTTGTATTCGAAGTGAGCGACACAAAAAATAATAATTGTTCTATGACATGAAATGATTTCTTTTTTTGCGGTTTTAAATTATTTTAATTGTATAGTGAGAGGTCCGTTTCACAATTGACCGATTATAAATATAGATTACAAACAAATGAGTGTGTGTGAGCATGAATGGATTTGGAAAAAAAAATAAATTGTATAAATCGTTTTGGACTACGGTGGACTTTTTTCAAGGATATTTTTCAGGGCCCTATATAGCGTGGATTTTTGAAGAATGTTTTTTGAAGGTTCATAGATGTGTGGATTTTTTAAAGATTATTTTTTCAAGGCCTACAATAGGCGAGGATTTTTTACGAATATTTTTTCAAGGATCCTAAGAGGCGTGGATTTGTTAAAGAATATTTTATAAAGGATCCTAAGATGCGTGGATTTTTAAAAGAATATTTTTTCAAGGATCCTAAGAGGCGTGGATCTTTTAAAGGATATTTTTTCAAGGATCCTAATAGGCGTGGATTTTTTAAAGGATATTTCTTCAAGGATCCTATGAGGCGTGGATTTTTTAAAGGATATTTTTTCAAGGATCCTAAGAGGCGTGGATCTTTTAAAGGATATTTCTTCAAGGATCCTAAGAGGCGTGGATTTTTTAAAGGATATTTTTTCAAGGATCCTAAGATCCGAGGATTTTTTAAGGGATATTTTTTCAAGGGTCCTAAGAGGCGTGGATTTTTTAAAGGATTTTTTTTCAAGGGTCCTAAGAGGCGTGGATTTTTTAAAGGATATTTTTTCAAGGATCCTAAGAGGCGTGGATTTTTTAAAGGATATTTTTTCAAGGATCCTAAGAGGCGTGGATTTTTTAAAGGATATTTTTTCAAGGATCCTAAGAGGCGTGGATTTTTTAAAGGATATTTTTTCAAGGATCCTAAGAGGCGTGGATTTTTTTAAGGATATTTTTTCAATGGTCCTAAGAGGCGAGGATTTTTTAAAGGATATTTTTCCAAGGGCCCTAAGAGGCGTGGATTTTTTAAAGGATATTTTTTCAAGGGTCCTAGAGGCGTGGATTTTTAAAGGATATTTTTTCAAGGGTCCTAGAGGCGTGGATTTTTAAAGAATATTTTTTCAAGGGTCCTAAGAGGCGTGGATTTTTAAAGGATATTTTTTCAAGGGTCCTAAGAGGCGTGGATTTTTAAAGGATATTTTTTCAATAGTCCTAAGAGGCGTGGATGTTTAAAGGATATTTTTTCAAGGGTCCTAAGAGGCGTGGATGTTTAAAGGATATTTTTTCAAGGGTCCTAAGAGGCGAGGATTTTTTTAAGAATATTTTTTTAAGGCTCTACAGAAGGCGTGGATTTTTTTAAGAATATTTTTTCAAGGCTCTACAGAAGGCGCGGATTTTTTTTAAGAATATTTTTTCAAGGCTCTACAGAAGGCGTGGATTTTTTTAAGAATATTTTTTCAAGGCTCTACAGAAGGCGTGGATTTTTTTAAGAATATTTTTTCAAGGCTCTACAGAAGTCGTGGATTTTTTTAAGAATATTTTTTCAAGGCTCTACAGAAGGCGTGGATTTTTTTAAGAATATTTTTTCAAGGCTCTACAGAAGTCGTGGATTTTGTTTAAGAATATTTTTTCAAGGCTCTACAGAAGGCGTGGATTTTTGTAAGAATATTTTTTCAAGGCTCTACAGAAGTCGTGGATTTTTTTTAAGAATATTTTTCGGGGGTTTTCCGTCGGTTATTATTCCCAATCGAGTTTCCAACAAAATTATAGTTTTATTATTTTTACATATTTTTTTAAATAATTAAAATAACAATTATAATAATTTCCAAAAGCTTTCTCTTCCCTGCCCCCCCTCTTTAACGCAATATATTTTCTCCTATTTATCGCTCATAGACACCCAAAAAGGAATTACACAACGGACAATAGTGTTCAGCATTACGGGCACAATCTGTACAGTAGAGGCAACAGGCACAAGGACATAATCTGAAAGGAAAGCCAGATAGACACTTATCAGAACCGGAGAAAATCCCAATTTTATTTCCCCCCTCCCCACTTACCCGAAAACACACAATATTAATGCCAAAATATGAGTTTTTGTTGTCGACTTTTGTTCAACATTGGTTTGAATGCTCTGATTACAGTTCGGACAAAAAGCCGTTTGCGATTCGGGACCCATTGGGGCAGCCATTTTGGTTGGTGGTAGTTGTCAAACTAAAAATTGCATTCAATTTTGGTGTTTGATGTGCATTGTCACCAAATTGAAATCGGTCACGGTGATGTTACGTTAATGTTTAACGTTGTTGGTGTTGTTTTTGTTGTTGGAAAGTCCCTAGTTTTTTTGTTGTTGTTATTTACATTCACTTTTTTTGTTTGGGTTTATCTTTAATATAAAATCTCAGTGTCAATTTAATTACAAATGTCCGGCAATAGTTATTAATGGTGGCCTCCCCAGTGATGGCAATCATTTGTTTATCAACTGTCAGAGTGGTGTGAATATTTAATGGGATGTTTCATGGCAAGGGGGAATACGTGTCCTTTGGAGGAGGAAAAAGAAAACATGGAAAGGGATTATAATGAAATGTCATTTTTTGTATAACAACAACAAATACCAGTAAGTAAATAGGAATGTCAACAACTATTTCTGTAATGTGTGTGAGGGTGTTGTCATTGCATTTATCCACTATTAGGATTTTTATAGAAATATTATTTCAAGGACAAAGTAGCAGTGGATTTTCATGGACGTGAATAATGTTGTATTTAAGGATTATAGTAGGCGGATTTTTAAAGAATATTTTTCAAAGACTATATAAGGCGAAGATTTTTTTAGGACGATATAAGTCGTGGGTGGGTGGCAAAAGGAATCGAGATAGACCCATGGCTCCTTTGGAGAATATGCATAGAATCATTTTCTGAGTCGATTTATGCATGTCCGTCCGTCCATGTATTATTGTGAACAAAGTACAGGTCGCATTTATGATTCGATTTGGATAAAATTTGGTACAGCTCACTTATTTGGCCCAAGGACGAACCCTATTGAAATTGAAGAAAATCGGTTCAGATTTAGATATAGCTCCCATATTTATTTTCGTCCTATTTAATGTAAATGGTGCACCAAAGTCTCTATATATCTTTCGATTTACACGAAATTTGGCATATCGTACTGAATTAGGTCTAGAATGATGTGTGTCCAGTTTCCTGAAAATCGGTTCAGATTTAGATATACCTCCCACACATATTTTTGTCCGATTTTAGGTAAATATCCTTCGATTTGCACGAAATTTGGAACAGCGTAATGAATTAGGTCAAGAATGATGTGTGTTAAGTTTCGTGAAAATCGGTCCAGATTTAGATATATCTCCCATATATATCTTCGTCCGATTTTTTGTAAATGGTGCACAAAAATCCCTAAATATCTTTTGATTTGCACGAAATTTGGCATAACGTACTGAATTAAGTGTAGAACGATGTGTGTTAAATTTCGTGAAAATCGGTTCTGATTTAGACATAGCTCCCATATATATGTTCTTCCGATTTTTAGAAAAAGGTACACCAAAGCCCCTATATATCCTTCGATTTGCACGAAATTTGTCATAACGTACTGAATTAACTCTAGAACGATGTGTGTTAAAATTCCTGAAAATCGGTTCAGATTTAGATATAGCTCCCATATATATTTTCGTACGATTTTAAGTAAATAGTGCACCAAAGTCCCTATATAGCCTTCGATTTGCTCGAAATGTGGCACAGCGTACTGAATTAACTCTAGAACGATGTGTGTTAAAATTCCTGAAAATCGGTTCAGATATAGATATAGCTCCCCTATATATTTTCGTCCGATTTAAGGTAAATAGTGCACCAAAGTCCCTATATATCCTTCGATTTGCACGAAATTTGGGATAGCGTACTGAGTTAAGTCTACAAAGGTGTGTGTTAAATTTCGTGAAAATCGGTTCAGATTTAGATATAGCTCCCATATATATTTTCGTCCGATTTTATGTAAATGGTGCACCAAGTAAATGGAGAACTCAAAATGTGGCCGAACATGTGACAAGTTTCGATGAAATCGGTTTAGATTTCGATATTTTGCTTTAAATTTATTTACATAAGTTTGTTCCATTGTAAGAAGCAACTCTATATCTGATCAAAATTTAGTATAGGTTGCAGAATGACATGTTCAATTTCATGTTAATGCGACGTCTGTTAGGATCCCATTTGTTGAATATACCCAAAGTGGTGAAGGGTATCATATAGTCGGCCCCGTCCGACTTTATTACTTTCCTTACTGGTTTCATTTAATTTATTTATATATTTCCGGCCTTATCTAAGTTTTAGTAAAATAATACAATAATTTAGCTTATCTTATGGTTTTTGTTTTTATTGTTGTTGTTTTATTTATTCCTGTGGCGATTAGAAAGAAAATGTTGGCACGTTTTATTAACATTATTTACAAAATATTTTTTTTCATTCATTTTTTGGCATTTGGTTTTATAATAATTAATAGAATAATACAAACATTAAGCGAAATATAAAGTAACAAAAAAAATAATTAAGGAATACAAATCATATAGTACAAATAAAAAAATAATATAGAAAAAAAAATCGTGAAACTCAGTTATCGTAGGAACCAATGTAGGCATTGCAATTGGGACAAGAATGATTGGCAGTTCGGCATGAATCCATGCAGTAGGGTAAGCAGACGCAGGGCCAGCAACTGGAAGGAAAAAAATTAATTATTTTCATTATTATTTATTTAAAAAAAAATATTGCAATTTTTAATTTGATAAGAATAATAAATTTGAAATTTTCTTTGAATTTTTTTCTCTAGAAATAAATTTGCAGCACAAATTTCATTATTTATGACCCTAAATAATCCCCAGACGAAGGTGTAATATTTGTATAATTATTAACCGGTTTTATTTAATAAGGGTACACATACAAACAAAACCGGCTTAATTTTTGTAATGATATACTAGAGGTCAAGCAACAGATTTAAAAAAAATACTTCGTCGGGGATTTTATCAGAGGCGTGGATTTTTTTAAAGAATATTTTTACCCTTCTCCACACTGTGGTACAGGGTATTATGTCTTTGTGCATATGTTTGTAACAGGCAAAAGGAAACATGATAGACCCATAGTTCCTTTTGAGAATATGCATAGAATCACTTTCTGAGTCGATTTATGCATGTCGGTCCGTCTATTGGTGTTAAATTGTAAACAAAGTACGGGTCGCATTTATCATCCAAATTTGATGAAATTTGGCACAGCTCATTTATTTGGCCCAAGGACGAACCCTATAGAAATTGGGAAAAATCGGTTCAGATTTAGATATAGCTCCCATATATATTTTCGTCCGAATGGTGCACAAAAGTCCCTATATATCTATCGACTTCCACGAAATTTGTCATAACGTACTAAATTTAGCCTGGAGTGATATCTGCCAAGTTTCGTGAAAATCGGTTCAGATTTAGATATAGCTCCCATATATTTTCGTCCGATTTAAGGTAAGTGGTGCACCAAAGTCCTTATATATCTTTCGATTTGCACGAAATTTGGCATAGCGTACTGAGTTAAGTCTAGAGAGATGTGTGTTAAATTTCGTGAAAATCGGTTGAGATTTAGATATAGCTCCCATATATATATTTTCGTCCGATTTAATGTAAATGGTGCATCAAAGTCCCTATATATCTTTCGATTTGTACGAAATTTGGCATTGCGTACTGAATTAAGTGTAGAACGATGTGTATTAAATTTCGTGAAAATCGGTTCAGATATAGATATAGCTCCCATATATATTTTCGTCCGATTAAATGTAAATGGGGCACCAAAGTCTCTATATATCCTTCGATCTGCACTATATTTGGCATAACATACTGAATTAAGACTAGAATAATGTCTGCTAAGTTTTGTGAAAATCGGTTCCGATTTAGATATAGCTCCCATATATATTTTCGTCCGATTTTAGGTAAATGTTCCACAAAAGTCCCTATATATCCTTCGATTTGCACGAAATTTGGCGTAGCATACTGAATTGAGCCTATAGTGATGTCTGCCAAGTTTCGTGAAAATCGGTTCCGATTTAGATGTAGCTCCCATATATATTTTCGTCCGATTTTAGGTAAATGGTGTACGAAAGTCCCTATATATCTTTCGATTTCCACTAAATTTGGCATAACGTACTGAATGAAGTGTAGAACCACGTGTGTTAAATTTCGTGAAAATCGGTTCTGATTTAGACATAGCTCCCATATATATGTTCTTCCGATTTTTAGGAAAAAGGTGCACCAAAGCCCCTATATATCCTTCGATTTGCACGAAATTTGTCATGGCGTATGAATTAAGACTAGAATGATATCTGCTAAGTTTCGTGAAAATCGGCCCAGATTTAGATATAGCTCCCATATATATTTTCGTCCGATTTTAGGTAAATGTTCCACAAATGTTCCTATATCACGTTGACTGCTTCGCGTGTTTACAACAAAATCCCCGTCAGGTCACCCGTGCCACTGTAAGATGTGTGTCTGCTATCGCATGTCTGTTTACATTTCTTTCGGTACTCTCACACCGATATCTATTACGATCTATTACGCAAATAAAAGAGAAAAACTGGAACGATCAAAGGTACGAGCAAATCTCAGAAAACCCACTACTTTTTGTCCAAGCTGCCCAAGTCAACCGCAATTTTGCAGTGAATGCTTCAATATTTTGCACTGTAAATAATTTTGTTAATAAACGATTTAAAAAAATCAACAGTATTATTTATCTAAATATGTTCGGAAACCCATGGAAGGAGTCACCCGACTTGGCCTGATGAGAACTCTTGCTGTCACCCGAATACGGGTGACTTGGCCTGATGAGAACTTTTGCTGTCACCCGAATACGGGTGACACGGCAGTTAACGTGATATATATTTCGATTTGTACTGAATTGAGCCTAGAATGAGGTCTGCCAAGATTCATGAAAATCGGTCTAGGTTTAGATATAGCTCCCAAAAATAGTTTCGTCCGATTTTATGTAAATGTTTAGATATAGCTCCCATATATATCTTCGTCCGATTTTATTGTAAATGGTGTATCAAACTCCTCATGTTTGTCAGATACATCATACAAAATTAAGCACAGAATAAAGTAGTTGCGTTTTCTAGAAGTACAGACATGCCCAGCGGATGTCCTATTTATATGTGTTTGAAGTCCAACAATGAGATGTTTATGGATTGATCTAAGTCGATTCACATTTAGATAAATATCACATATTTTAGTTCATCCAATTTTATGTTAATAGTCCCGATTAATATACCCATAGTGGTGAAGGTTATCATATAGTCGGCCCGTCCGAATTTACTACTTTCCCTACTGTTTTTTTATGGTTTAACAGAGGCGTGGATTTTTTTAAAGAATATTTTTTATGGTCTATCAGAGGCGTGGATTTTTTAAAAAATATTTTCTATGGTCTATCAGAGGCGTGGATTTTTTAAAAAATATTTTCTCTTCTATATTTGTAATGTGTAAAATATTGATAAAACACCTTGCTGCTAGCAACAACAACAACAAAAGTGTGCTAATTATTATTTAATTTTAAAAAACAACATTAAAAAAACCTAAACAAATAATTACAAATTCAAATGCAATAGGTTTTTCATCAACAATTTGTTGTTGCTGTTGTTGTTGTTGGCACAATTCATTTGTTTGAACTAGACACAACGTCAAACAATCGATCGGTGGCTGGTTCATACAAGTACGTAGCCATCAATATGCTACAAATCAACTACATACAGACATACACCAAACAAATGATCGTGGGCTGACCGGAGCACAAACACACGCAAATATTTTTACAAACCTAACGTCAGAAGTATTATTATTTTTTTTGAAATTGTTGACTGACGTTGAGTAAAAACTGCTGATGATTGTAAAATTATAAATTGTGGTAGCTATATAAAAAGTTCAGTGTGGAAATCCCCTTTAAAACAACAACAACAGCAACACTAAACCCAATCACCATTAAGAAAATTGAATTTAGCATCGGAGAAAAAAATCATTGTTTTTTTTATTACTTTGCACATTGTTTCTTCGTTGTTGTTGTTGTTTGTAATGCGTCACAAATTATCAGTAATTGACCCCTAAGTCTGTCTGTCACTTGTTGTTGTTTGTTTATGTCTCTATAGAGAACCACTGGTCGCTGGGCATTTACTCTGATTTTTATTTAAATTAGCTATGACTCATCGAATGTAAAAACAAAACAAAAGTGAAATTGTAAACATTAGTTGTTGTGATGAAATTGTTTAGTTGTTGCATGTGGGTCTTTTACAGCAGAATACCATACGCGTGGGGTATTCATGGATCTTAGCAGAGATTAAAAAAATAGTTTTTAATTATTGTTTTATGTAAGAATTCTAAAAATTTTTATACCCTTTACCACACTGTGGTACAGGGTATAATGTCTTTGTGCATATGTTTGTAACAGGCAACAGGAAACGAGATAGACCTATGGTTTCTTTTGAGAATATGCATAGAATCACTTTCTGAACCGATTTATGAATATCCGTCTGTCTGTCTGTCCATGTTAAATTGTAAGCAAAGTACTGGTCGCATTTTTGATTCGAATTGGATGACATTTGGCACAGCTCATTTATTTGGGCCAAAGACGAACCCTATTGAAATTCGGAAAAATCGTTTCAGATTTAGATATAGCTCCCATATATATTTTCGTCCGATTTAAGGTAAATGGTGTACCAAAGTCCCTAAATATCTTTCGATTTTCATGAAATTTAGCACAACGTACTTAATTTAGCCTAGAATTATGTGTGCTAAGGTTCGTGAAAATCGATTCAAATTTAGATATAGCTCCCATATATAGTTTTGTCCGATTTTATGTAAATGTTGCACCAAAGTCCCTAAATATCTTGAGATTTGCATGAAATTTGGCAGAACGTACTGAAACAAGTCTAGAAAGATGTGTGTTAAATTTCGTGAAAATCGGTTCAGATTTAGATATAGCTCCTATATACAGTTTTGTCCGATATTTTGTAAATGGTGTACCAAAGTCCCTAAATATCTTTCGATTTGCACGAAATTTTGCATAGTGCACTGAATTGACTCTACAATGACGTGTGTCAAGTTTCGTGGAAATCGGTTCAGATTTAGATATAGCTCCAATATATATTTTCGTCCGATTTAAAGTAAATGGGCCACCAAAGTCCCTATATATCTTTCGATTTGCATGAATTTTGGCAGAACATACTGAATTAACCCTAGATTGATGTGGGCTAAGTTTCGTGAAAATCGGGTCAGATTTAGATGTAGCTCCCATATATATTTTCATCCGATTTAAGGTAAATGGTGTACCAAAGTCCCTATATGTCTTTCGATTTGCCCGAAATTTGGCGTAGGGTACTGTATTTGGTCCAGAATGATGTGTGCTAAGTTTCCTGAAAATCGGTTCAGATTTAGATATAGCTCCCATATATAGTTTTGTCCGATTTTATGTAAATGGTGCACCGAAGTCCCTAAATATCTTTGGATTTGCACGAAATTTTGAATAGTGTACTGACTTGACTCTACAATGACGTTTGTCAAGTTTCGTGAAAATCGGTTAAGATTTAGATATAGCTCCCATATATATTTTCATCCGATTTAAGGTAAATGGGGCACGAAAGTCCTTATATACCTTTCGATTTGCACGAAATTTGGCATAGCGTACTGAATTAAGTCTAGAAATATGTTTGTTAAATTTTGTGAAAATCGGTTCAGATTTAAATATAGCTACCATATATATATTTTCATCCGATTTTAGGTAAATGGTGCACCAAAGTCCCTATATATCCTTCGATTTGCACGAAATTTGGCATAGTGTTCTGAATTGAGCCTAGAATGATGTGTGGTATGTTTCGGAAAAATCGGTTCAGATTTCGATTTAGCTACCCCATATACATATATATTCGTCCGATTTACATAAATGATGGACCAAACTCCCAATGTTTGTCCGAATTATACGAAAATTTGCAAAGCCTCCATTACACTATGAAAAAATATTTGTAAAAAAATCCACGCCTCTATTAGTTCTTCAACAATATTTAAAAAAAAAATCCCCTTCATTATTAAGCCTTTCAGTACGAATTTCAAGTGGTCTGCCACGTTAGATTTGATTATCGGCTATCAAATCCCGTATGCCACTAGTTAGTAGTTCGACTTATCAAATTGGAAGTGTTTTTTTTGGGAACTTGGCGATAAAATAAAATTATTTTTACTTAGAACGATTTCCGTTTATATTTAATGAACTATTTTTCCTGCCATGACTCACAAGTGATAAGTAATACAACACCACTTTGTATACACTTGAGTAAACACGCGCACACAATACACACACATATATCTACACCATTACAAACTTACATGAACAAACACAAAACCAAAGCCCAGCAATGGGTCCTTGAATTGGCCGAATGTTGTACGGTGGTCATAATATCGGCATGACACGAAGGACACTGCATACGTGTTGGCTGATTGCCCAGACCCACCAGTTGGGGCCTCGTCTGGATGATCACTGTGGGTGGCTGTTGCACCACCGGTGGTGGTGGTTGATGTTGTGGTGGCTGTGGCATTGGTGGATACAAATTTGGTTGCTGTTGTCCCGGTTGATAATAGCTGGCAGGTGTATAGCCTGGTTGATGTTCGGAGTATGGTGGAGGTTGTGATTTATCCATGATTTATAACTGGGTTGGCTGGTTCGTTCGAATAAGTTTTCTTTCGGGGAATTTATTTAACAGGAAATTGCTTGTTAATAACTGATCTACTTCTGTATATTTGTTGTTGTTCGGTCGTTTACTATCTTTGTTTAGATAGTCGATAAGAAGGTAAGAAATAGAACACACACTTCGTTGTTGTTGCTCGTTTTTTTATTCGTGTTAACCGGCAACGGGTTCGTCGTCGTTATGTCTCAATACTTGGACTGTTAAACGAAGACTAAAGCTTTGAGTTAAATGTCTAATTAGCTATATGCGACGGTTGGATCGAGATCGGTTGTTGCGTTTTTCCTGCCAAAGTAATCTGGTGAGTGATGGTTTTGATGTGGCGGGTGTGTGTGTGTGCAAGAGCGAGCCTATTGGCCTGCGAGTGCTTGAGTTTGATTAAATTGATGAAAAGTGCACCCAAAAAATAATGGAGATAATTTTCTCAATGCTCAGTTGTGGTTGTTGTTGTTTGAGGGTACTTATCATTATTTTGAAAGAAGAGAGTACCCAGGGTTGCCAATGTGTATAAATAAAAAGTGGGGTAAGTGTTTGTTATTCAATGTAGAGGAATTAATAAGGAGGCATATCTAAATCTGAACCGATTTCCACGAAACTTAGCACACATCATTCCAGACTTTATTCAGTACGCTATGCCAAATTTCGTGCAAATCAAAATATATAAAGGGACTTTGGTACACCATTTACCTGAAATCGGACGAAAATATATATGGGAGCTATATCTAAATCTGAACCGATTTCCAAGAGACTTGACAGACATCATTGTAGGCTTATTTTAGTACACTATGCCAAATTTCGTGCAAATCGAAAGATATTTAGGGACTTTGGTACACCATTTACCTTAAATCGGACGAAAATATATATGGGAGCTATATTTAAATATGAACCGATTTTTACGAAATTTAACACACATCATTGTAGGCTTATTTCAGTACGTTATGCCAAATTTCGTGCAAATCGAAAGATATATAGGGACTTTGGTGCACTATTTACCTAAAATCGGACGAAAAAATATATGAGAGCTATATATAAATCTTAACCGATTGTCAAGAAACTTAGCACATATCATTGTAGGCTTATTTCAGTACGTTATGCCAAATTTCGTGCAAATCGAAAGATATTTAGGGACTTTGGTGCACCATTTACCTTAAATCGGACGAAAATATATATGGGAGCTATATCTAAATCTGAACCGATTTTCAGGAAACTTAACACACTTCATTCTAGTCCTAATTCAGTACGCTGTGCCAAATTTCGTGCAAATCGAAAGATATATAGGGACTTTGGTACACCATTTATCTAAAATCGGATGAAAATATATATGGGAGCTATATCTAAATCTGAACCGATTTTCTGGAAACTTAGCACACATCATTGTAGGCTTATTTCAGTACGTTATGTCAAATTTCGTGCAAATTAAAATATATATAGGGACTTTGGTACACCATTTACCTTATATGGGGCGAAAATATATATGGGAGCTATATCTAAATCTGAACCGATTTTCACGAAACTTAACACACATTATTCTAGGCTTTATTCAGTACGCTATGCCAAATTTCGTGCAAATTAAAATATATATAGGGACTTTGGTACACCATTTACCTAAAATCGGACGAAAATATATATGGGAGCTATATCTAAATCTGAACCGATTTTCAGGAAACTTGACAGACATCATAGTAGGCTTATTTTAGTACGCTATGCCAAATTTCGTGCAAATCGAAAGATATATAGGGTCTTTGGTGCACCATTTACCTTAAATCGGACGAAAATATATATGGGAGCTATATCTAAATCTGAACCGATTTTCACGAAACATTGCACACGTCATTCTAGACCTTCTTCATTACGCTGTGCCAAATTTCGTGCAAATCGAAAGATATATAGGTACTTTGGTGCACCATTTACCTTAAATCGGACGAAAATATATATAGGAGCTATATCTAAATATGAACCGATTTTTCCCAATTTCAATAGGGTTAGTCCTTGGGCCAAACAAATGAGCTGTGCCAAATTTCATCCAATACGGATCATAAATGCGACCTGTACTTTGTTTACAATTTAACATGGGCGGACAGACAGACGGACGGACATGCATAAATCGACTCAGAAAGTGATTCTATGCATATTCTCAAAAGGAACCATGGGTCTATCTCGATTCCTTTTGCCTGTTACAAACATATTCAGAAAGACATAGTACCCTGTACCACAGTGTGATGAAGGGTATAAAAATATTTTTAAAATCCAAAGGCAATCCTTTTTCCATTATGAATCTTCATTTCTCATTCCCTATCATTGGGACTCTCTTTCTCTCTTCCCTGCCCATTTCTTCCATTATGTGGTAACTCGTTTACGTAGACTAGTATTGAAATTGTGAATAATACCCCAAACTTATCTTATCATTATTTTTGTTATAATATATTTTTTTTTGTTTATCAGTCCACGATCTAAATATTAGATTGTGTGTACACAATCACACAATCCACGTTCGTAACATAAACAAACAAAGAAATTAAAAATAAAATAAATTTATAAAAAAAAAAAATATCAAAAGGCAGAAGGTTTTTTGATGTGGAGGGGATTTCATTTAATATTTATTTAAACAATACATTTAATAATAACAACAATTTGTCAGACTTAGTTTTGCGAAAAGCGTCAAGAGAAAGAATGTGTTTCTAGGTGAGAAATGTTATTCGGCAAAGAGGCTTAATGACAGGAGGAAATTAATGGTCGAGCTGAAGGGAGTCCAATTGGGCCAGTTGGTGAGAATATTTATAAAAAAAACCTCAGACGATCTACATGAGTGAATCTTTAGAGACGAAGACTCAGATTCAGATTTGGAAAAAAAAATGTAGTTTCGGGGGTGCATTCAAAATAACTAAAATTGGTCGAGGTCATAACCAACAGACTAATGTAAATAAAATACAAAAACTCAAACCACATGTCTCGTGATTACCAAAATACGTCTATTGCGCCCCTAATGAATCATACCAAGTTACAGCAATAAAGAATAAAAGTACGCATCAATTGTCGTACTTTTATTATTTATTGTTGTGTTTTTTATCAAACCTCTCTTATCTTTTATTTTCCGACAAGTACAGCTACATCTCCCCAAAACCAAACTTGTACAACTTCATAAGTGGATTTATTTATTGCAAAACGTAAACGTTCACAAAATATCGCCTTATCTCCTTCTATTGTCTTATCAAGGTCCACAAAATAGGAGGGGGTTTTTGGAAAAAGGGGTACAGAACGTGTTATGAGTTCAAATAAGATTATAGGCTATCTATCGATTCAATTTCTGTGAATCAGCACCCAAGTGCTAGCTAGCTAGGTTTTTGCTCTATACCAAAAAGAGGGGTTCCCAGAATATTTCACAATTTTATCGAATTTCTTTTATTGGCATTATAAAAATTCCTACCGGGGTACCACCACCCTGATGATGATTGTGCCACATTAATAAATTGGTATTTTGCTATTGCCATAAATAGAGGTCTGTCTAAATATAGAATCTATAAGTTGCTCATGTACATAAGAAAATCCGAGTTGCTATTTATTATTTTTATTATAGTGAAAAAAAAACATTATGTCTAATGTAGACAGAAGGTCTCATGACAGAACGTCTTCTATAGGTATATATCGTCCTGAAGGTGCTCCATATGCAGCAGATCTCCATAAGGTCTTCTGAAAACATTCTATGGGCAGAATATCTATTCTGTAGGAATTCTATAAAAACAAAATAACAAAATGAAGATCTTTTATAGACAAATATCCACCTGATAGCTTTTATATTCAGTAAAATTCTTGGAGGCTCCTAGACCGAATTCCTTTTAAAAGCATTTTGTAGGTATTCTATGTATAGACAGAATATCTCCTGCCCGTATTCTATAGACACAAGTTCTAATCAGAGTTTACTATAAACCAAAGACCTCCTAAAGACCATCTGTGTACAAAAGACCTGAAAAGGGTATTTTATAGACAGACCTCCTAAACCTCTTCTATAGGCATAAATCCCCCTGATAGATTTTTTTTATTTTGAAGACCTCCTGATGGTCATCCATCAAAAAAGGCCCTTTGATAGACAGGATGCCTCCTGAAGACATTCTATAGCATAAAGACCTCCCGAAGGTTTTCTATGGACAAAATACCTTCGGAAAGTGAAGGCTGAAGACCTGTTGAATGACCTCCTCCTGAAGGTATTCTACGGGATAAAGAACTCCCGAAGGTTTTATATGGACAAAATACCTTCGGAAAGTGAAGGCTGAAGACCTGTTGAATGACCTCCTCCTGAAGGTATTCTACGGAATAAAGAACTCCCGAAGGTTTTCTATGGACAAAATACCGGTCGGAATGTGAAGGCTGAAGACCTGTTGAATGAACTTCATATACATCTATTATATAGGATGCTATGTGTAGGTTTTCCAAAGGTGGAAGACCTTCCGAAGTTTATCACACGAAAGAAGACCGTCCGACGGGCTACTATCGTATGCCTTTCATAGATAGGACACCTTCTAAGAGCCTTCTATATGCAGATAACTTTCTGATGGTCTTCTGAAGTTAAATTTATTATATTATCATTTATTATAAGAAGGCCTCCAGTATGTCTTTCATTCACAGAAGCCCGCCTGAAGTAGTTTTATAGGTAGAACACCTCCTTGAGAGGACGCCTATAAAGTATACCACTAGATCGCGGACAAAAACTTCCTTCAGAATCTCTCTATAAAATGTTTTCGCTTATAAATACTACCTCCAGTTAGTTCTACAGAGCTCGTCTATAAAGACTCCCTTCCCAGCTCGAACTCCCTTCCCAGCTCGTCTATAAAGACACCTTCTAAGAGCCTTCTATATGCATATAACTTTCTGATGGTCTTCTGAAGTTAAATTTATTAAAGAAGGCCTCCAGTATGTCTTTCATTCACAGAAGCCCGCCTGAAGTAGTTTTATAGGTAGAACACCTCCTTGAGAGGACGCCTATAAAGTATACCACTAGATCGAGTATTAAAAACTTCCTTCAGAATCTCTCTATAAATGATCCGTTCACCTCGCTTATAAATACTACCTCCAGTTAGTCCATAGAGATAAAGACTCCCTTCCCAGCTCGTCTATAAAGACTCCCTTCCCAGCTCGTCTATAAAGACTCCCTTCCCAGCTCGTCTACAAAGACTCCCTTCCCAGCTCGTCTATAAAAACTCCCTTCAGCTCGTCTATAAAGACTCCCTTCAGCTCGTCTATAAAGACTCCCTTCAGCTCGTCTATAAAGAATCCCTTCAGCTCGTCTATAAAGACTCCCTTCCCAGCTCGTCTATAAATATAAAGACTCCCTTTAGCTCGTCTATAAAGAATCCCTTCAGCTCGTCTATAAAGACTCCCTTCCCAGCTCGTCTATAAAGACTCCCTCCCTTCAGCTCGTCTATAAAGACTCCCTCCCTTCAGCTCGTCTATAAAGACTCCCTTCCCAGCTCGTCTATAAAGACTCCCTTCCCAGCTCGTCTATAAAGACTCCCTTCCCAGCTCGTCTATAAAGACTCCCTTCCCAGCTCGTCTATAAAGACTCCCTTCCCAGCTCGTCTATAAAAACTCCCTTCAGCTCGTCTATAAATATAAAGACTCCCTTCAGCTCGTCTATAAATATAAAGACTCCCTTCAGCTCGTCTATAAAGACTCCCTTCAGCTCGTCTATAAAGACTCCCTTCAGCTCGTCTATAAAGACTCCCTGCAGCTCGTCTATAAAGACTCCCTTCAGCTCGTCTATAAAGACTCCCTTCAGCTCGCCGATAAAGACTCCCTTCAGCTCGTCGATAAAGACTCCCTTCAGCTCACCGATAAAGACTCCCTTCAGCTCGTCTATAAAGACTCCCTCCGCCTCGTCTAAACATAATCCAGTTCTACTTTGTCAACAAATATATCGCATGCTATATTTTTTATTTTCCTGCTAATTATTAAAAGCTTAAAGATAGCTTTTTGTGTTATTCTGTTAATTAAAGCTCTTCATACAAAAAGCTTTATGTTATATTATAACATTAAAGCTTTTGTGGCTATACATTAGTGATGTGTGACCCGTTGCATATTATTTTCGGTGACATGCTACGCATCGCAAATGAGGTTGGATCTGTACGAAGCTCGGAGCATTCACTTTAAGTGCACACACGCCACAATTATTTTAAATAGCAGAACAACAAGTGCTTGGCTTTAGGGTCAGGTTATGGTGTGACAATTTTGTGGAATAATAAAATTGAAAGTAAAGGAGGTCGCCACTGGTCAATAAAAAAAAGACGACGATCGCTCAGAACTTCGCTGACACAAAATGGGTCAGACATAAAAAAGAAAAAGTAAACGAAACTACACGACAACGACATCATAAACGACAATTAACGGTAAATATGAATTCAAACAAAACAAAAAACAAATGAAGTTGGTAGTAAAGAAAAACAATAAGGTCGTTTGTTACGCTGCCACTACTGTAAGCGCATGCTAAGCGGGCTGGCCGCTGCAGTTGTGACTTGAGGTGTGTGTGTGCGTGTGTTTGAGTTTGGCTGGCTTAAAGTTTTTTATTGAAAACATTCACCCCGCCACTCTGCTATTGTTTGTTGTTGTTGGAGTTTTGAGGCCGGTTTAGGCGAAAACAAAAACTTCGTCTTAAATCAAACGATGGCATCCAAGGCAGTCGCATTTCAGCCGTTTAAACGTTTGATTGATTTCAGTTCGGCCTAGCTCACGCACCCAAAAATATAAAAAATACGGAATAGAAAAAAATACGAACAAACAAACAAACCGATTTTCATTTACATTCTCTCAAAAACCCTTAATTAGGTCAGGGCAAAGTGTTAAAGGTTTTTTTTTGTGCTTCAATTGAACAAATAATCCGACAATTGTAATCGAAGTCTGTAATACAAAAATGTTGATCGACGAGAGAGACATGATTGAAATTAATTTGAATTCCTCATCGATGGGTTCAACGTTGCTGCATGAAACACCCTGCCTGACAAAGTCCTTTAGCATAACAGACCTCAAGGATCGTGCCCTGCATTCAAGGATTAAACCCCAACCAAAATATGCCACAATTGGTGGTGTCAAGGGCAGTAGCAGTCTTGCCAATGGTAAACAATTGGATAGTCCAAATATTAGTTGTCTGAGGCAGATGTATTGTCCCGACTGTAAACAGCGTTTGGATAAAGAAAGTGTGCGATTTGAATCTCTGCTGACGTGGTAAGTTCGAAAAATGTGGTGGAAAAAAATTTAACAAGGGAAGGGGATTTGTGGGAGAAGTCCTTTTAGACGAAGGGAGTCTTTCTTGAAGAGCAGAAGGGAGATTTTTTAGACGAGGTGAATGGTGTCTTTTTAGATACGATGGAGGAACACTTTATAGAGGAAGTGGAGGTAGTCTTTATAGGCGAATATAAGGGCGCCTTTATAGATGAGCTGATGGGAGTCTTTATAGACGAGCTGAAGGGAGTTTCTATAGACGAGTTGGATGGAGTTTCTATAGACGTTGGAGGGACGAGCTGTAGGTAGTCTTTATAGACAAGCTGGGTGGAGTCTTTATAGACGAGCTGAAGGGAGTTTTTAAAGAGTCTTTATAGACGAGCTGAAGGGAGTCTTTATAGACGAGCTGAATGGAGTCTTTATAGACGAGCTGTAGGGAGTCTTTATATACGAGCTGGTGGGCAGTCTTTATAGACGACCTGAAGGGAGTCTTTATAGACGAGCTGTAAGGAGTCTTTATATACGAGCTGGAGGGCAGTCTTTATAGACGAGCTGGAGGGCAGTCTTTATAGACGAGCTGAAGGGAGTCTTTTTAGACGAGCTAAAGGGAGTCTTTATAGACAAGCTGGAGGGCAGTCTTTCTAGACGAGCTGGAGGGCAGTCTTTATATACGAGCTTGAGGGCAGTCTTTATAGACGAGCTGGAGGGCAGTCTTTATAGACGAGCTTGATGACAGTCTTTATAGACGAGGTGGAGGACAGTCTTTATAGACGAGCTGAAGGGAGACTTTTTAGACGAGCTAAAGGGAGTCTTTATAGACGAGCTGAAGGGAGTCTTTATAGACGAGCTGAAGGGAGTCTTTATAGACGAGCTGAAGGGAGTCTTTATAGGCGAGCTTAAGAGTCTTTCTAGACGTGCTGAAGGGAGCCTTTCTAGACGTTCTGAAGGTAGTCTATATAGACGAGCTGAAGGGAGTCTTTATAGACCAGCTAAAGGGAGTCTTTCTAGACGTTCTGAAGGGAGTCTTTAAAGACGAGCTGAAGGGAGTCTTTATAGACGAGCTGAAGGGAGTCTTTATAGGCGAGCTGAAGGGAGTCTTTATAGACGAGCTGAAGGGAGTCTTTATAGACGAGCTGAAGGGAGTCTATAAAGAAGGGGGTCTTTATAGACGAGCTGAATGGGGTCTCTATTTACGAGCTGAAGGGAGTCTTTATAAACCAGGTTTAGGAAGTCTCTATAGACGAGCTGAAGGATGTCTCTATAGACGAGCTTATGTTAGTTTTTATGGACGAGCTGAAGGGAGTCTTGTAAACGATAGAAGTGTGTCGCTATAGACGAGCAAAGGGAGTCTTGGAGCTACAGGAGGTCTCTATTTACGAGCTGAAGTGAGTCTTTGTAGACGATAGGAGGGTGACGGGCAAAAGGGAGTTAGAGGGACACTTTTTATAGGACCAAGAGGTAGTCTTTATAGACTGAAGGCTGCCATTATAGAGGAGTTGGAGGGTGTACTTGTAGACGAGCAGAAGGGAGTCTCTATAGACGAGGAGATCGAGAGATTATAGACAAGGAGATCGGAGTAATCGTCGGAGTCGGAGGGAGAGTTAATAGCCTTTATAGACTAGCTGGAAGAAGTATTTATAGACGAGCTGGAGGAAGTCTTTATAGACGAGTCGCAAGGAGTCTTTATAGAAGAGCTGAAAGGAGTCTTTATAGAAGAGCTGAAGGTCTGGGGAACATCCATCAATGACCCGGTTTCTAGAAACCCTATCTGTGAGAGACCTATTGAAAATATGTTACCTATCTGATACTCATAAAAAATCTGCTATAGATTTCCTTAAAAATATATTTGAAAAAGATGAAAGTGAAATTTCCCTTACTTTCCCTTGTGCCGTAGGGTAGGCTAGTATATGACCCCATCCGATGCATTTGCATACCAACATATCCCTCATCTTAATTATAATGTGTCAAATGGAAAACAAGAGTTGTTAAGAAATTTAAAATTAGCCATCTGACCTCTCGATAAACAAAAATATTAATCATTTTATTTGTCATTTCCCCCCTCTTCCCGCTTACAGCTGTCTACCATTATTCCCGCTGACAACTGTCTATAAATGCTGTTTGAAACGTTCGGTTGGACGCAAGGTGATCTGTAACAAGTGTGGCAGTAATTTGGGCTATTGGAAGAGATCGTAAAAAAGACATGGCTAATGAGACACAACCCTAATGAAATGATCATTTGTCTATGTGTGTATCTGTGTTTATCTTTTAAGTGTAGTTATAAGTTATTGTTTAATGTCTCATTTTTTTAATTATCGTGTAAGAAAAAAAAAAAAAAAACACAAATACAGTGAAAAAGTGATTTATAATTTTTGTAATAAAATAAATGTATAGATAAAAGAAAAAACAAAGAGAAAAAAATAATTAATTAAGAAATGCAATGGAGTAGTGGCGGGAAGAGTTCAAGGTAGAGTTGAGTGATGCTCTATAATTATGCTAATAAATATGACAGATTTTAAGAGAGAGAGAGAGGTTCGTATAAATGTTAGATGGGTGCATTTTTTATTACAAACCTGAAATATTTTTGAAATGGAGATTTAAATTGACTTGACTTTTGTAAAACAAATTTCACCTTGTGGAAACAAATCTCATGACATTACAATAGGTGGGTCCATGACAAAGTTTTTTTTCTCAGACCTTACCCTGTATTACTTCAAAAAAAAAAAAAAAAAAAAAAAAAAAATAAGTAATAATAAAAAATATTACAATGTATCAACAATTCAAGTTGAAACCGCATCTAATTATATTCAATTATATAATTTTTTCTTCAAAGCCTGCCACTGGCATTTGTTAAAAAATATTTATTTATTTGTGTGTTTGTTTAGTGTCTGGATTTTTTTTATTTATTTACCCATTGGCGTTACTTGACCATGACTTTCGTTTAATAATGATGTGGTATCGTATTTATGTGGTATCACTTGCATGGCTAAAGTCAAGTGCAGCTTTGCGGAATCCGACAAAAAAATGTGTTTCAATGGTGCAAATGTTTCATTCGCATTTATCTTCGTTTTGACCAAGTGCTTTGGCATGGCCTACGGAATTAACCATACCAAAATAGGAAATATTTCTGAAGTAATAAAAAATCTGTGAAGCCTATCATAAAATTTTAAGTATTTTCAAGTGGATGGTATGATTTGAGGAAGTAAAAAAAGGATTTGAAATTTTGCAATCACTACATCAGAAACTGAAGGTGATTTTAAGGGAGTGTTTATAGGCATGGTGAAGCGATACTTTATAGGGCAGCTGAAGGAAGGCTTTATAGACGAGCTTAAGGAAGACTTTATAGAACAGCAAAAGTCTTAAAAGACAGGAGCGGGAAGGAAGGCTTTATAGGACAGCTGGAGCTATTACTCATAGAACAGCGGTTTTAGAGATTAACGAAAATCTTAACAGTCTTAATTGATAGGGCCTGTAGGAAATCTTTATACCTAAGCTAAATGGAGTCTTTATAGATGGTCTGGAGGGAGTCTTTATGGGCTAGTTTGAGGGAGTCTTTACCCACAAGGTGGAGGACGACTTTGTAAAAGAGCTGAATGAAGTCTTTATAGACGAGGTGGTTGGAGTCTTGGTAGACAAATTGGAAGAACTCATTGAAGGCCAGCTAGAGGTAGATTTCTTTTAATATATATATACTTTTTTTTTTAAATTCACGGCTTCTATGGATACTTTAAAAATATTTTTTTTACTCTACAGATGCTCCAAAAATGATTATTTTTAAATGCACGCCTTCTATGAGAAAATATTCTTTACAAAATTCACGCTTTGTATGGAGGCTTCAGAAAGTATCCTTCACAAAATTCAAAATTCAGAAAATATCCTTTACAAAATTCACGCCTTCTATGGAGACTTCAGAAAATATCCTTCACAATTGAAAGATATAACCTTACCTCAAACACCACCACAAATGCCAAGCGGGCTGCAAAAACATGCCAATAGTGGGGACTTAAACCATAGGGTTCGTAATCTTCAGGATCATTTCTATATAAAAAATAAAATCATTTTAATTTTTTGAATTAAAAAATCAAATCCCTTCCTCCCTTTGCTTACCTATAACCCCTATAATAACATGTATCCGGATCTTTTTCCGTTTTGGCACCCCACGGTCCCAACCTAGATGTGGATTTTTTAAGGTCCCAACCCAGGCGTGGACTTTTAAGGTCCCAACCTAGGAGAGGATTTTTTAAAAATACTTTTTCAAGCTTTAGAATTTTTTCTAATTGGGCGCCACTTACTCATTTCCAAATATTCATCGAACAGCGCTAACCTGCCCGGATCCTGCATATGATAATCCTGTTCCCAGGCCATGTGCAAATGACTCTCATCCTTGCTTGCGTTGACGCCACCAATTATAGAATTTCGGAAATAGATATTCCATAAAATTATTCCAGCATTGCTGGCCAACCATAATTATAGCCAATTATGTACACAATTCCGAAAGACATCCTGCCGGATCGCATATATCATTTTTCAAACGAAAGAAGTCGCTACGGCGGGCCTGATCATCCCCAGGATAATCAAAAAACCGACCCTTAAAGAGCGCGATGTAAATCGGCGACGAACAGAAGTTCATAAATTCAAAAAAGAATATCTTGAACGTATACGAGTCTTCGTATTCCGTATGGGTACGGGGATTTTCCAAGTTCGTCAGACGTATGGCCAGGCGATGGTAGATCTGAAGGAAGATTTTTGTAATTAATCCATAAAAAAATCATTACAAAATCCTTACCCTTGTCAATATCATAATGACCACCAAGTTAATGAGGGCCGGGGTTACCAATCAGGGTTTCCAATCAATACTCATACTCACCCCATGATGACAATGGCAAAAAATACCGTTGACGGATTATCGAACAAATATGTAATCCTCGAAAACAAACATGACTGAGACAACCTCTGATAGCTACAAGCTTTATCACATAGCGGACTCCAGCGTTGCCAAACCATAAATAAAAAATAGGGTACCCACAATCGATGGATAGACCAACATTTCCGGCTAGAAACCTAGCCAACAGAAGTATAGGGCAATTTTGTCGCCAAAAAAATCCACGCCTTCTTTGGAGACTTCAGAAAATATCCGTTAAAAAATGCACGCCTTCTTTGGAAACTTCAGAAAATATCCTTTAAAAAATCCACGCCTTCTTTGGAGACTTCAGAAAATATCCTTTAAAAAATCCACGCCTTCAATGGAGGTTTCAGGAAATATCCTTTAAAAATCCACGTCTTCAATGGAGGGTTCAGAAAATATCCATTAAAAAGGATATTTTCTGGAGGCTTCAGAAAAAATCTTTTAAAAAATACATGCCTACTACGGAGGCTTCAGAAAATATCCGTTAAAAAGGATATTTTCTGGAGGCTTCAGAAAAAATCCTTTAAAAAGTCCACGCCTTCTATGGAGGCTTCAGAAAATATCCGTTTAAAAATCCACGCCTTCTATGGAGGCTTCAGAAAATATCCGTTAAAAAGGATATTTTCTGGAGGCTTCAGAAAAAATCCTTTAAAAAGTCCACGCCTTCTATGGAGGCTTCAGAAAATATCCGTTTAAAAATCCACGCCTTCTATGGAGGCTTCAGAAAATATTCGTTAAAAAATACACCCATTCTATTGAGGCTTCAGAAAATATCCTTTACAATATTCACACCTTCTATGGAGGCTTCAGAAAATATCGTTTAAAAAACACCACCTTCAATGGAGGCCTCAGAAAATATCCTTTACAAAATTCACACCTTCAGAAAATATCGTTTTAAAAATACCACCTTCAATGGAGGCTTCAGAAAATATCCTTTACAAAATTCACACCTTCAGAAAATATTCTTTACAAAATTCACACCTTCAGAAAATATCCTTTAAAAATTCCACGCCTTCTATGGAGGCTTCAGAAAATATCCTTTAAAAATTCCACGCCTTCTATGGAGGCTTCAGAAAATATCCTTTAAAAAATCCACGCCTTCAATGGAGGCTTCAGAAACTAACCTTTAAAACATCCGTTAAAAAATCCACGCCTTCTTTGGAGACTTCAGATCCTTTAAAAAATCCACGCCTTCTTTGGAGACTTCAGATCCTTTAAAAAATCCACGCCTTCTTTGGAGACTTCAGATCCTTTAAAAAATCCACGCCTTCTTTGGAGACTTCAGATCCTTTAAAAAATCCACGCCTTCTTTGGAGACTTCAGATCCTTTAAAAAATCCACGCCTTCTTTGGAGACTTCAGATCCTTTAAAAAATCCACGCCTTCTTTGGAGACTTCAGATCCTTTAAAAAATCCACGCCTTCTTTGGAGACTTCAGATCCTTTAAAAAATCCACGCCTTCTTTGGAGACTTCAGATCCTTTAAAAAATCCACGCCTTCTTTGGAGGCTTCAGGAAATAACCTTTAAAACATCCACGCCTTCTATGGAGGCTTCAGAAAATATCCGTTAAAACATCCACGCCTTCTATGGAGGCTTCAGAAAATATCCGTTAAAAAATCACGCCTTCTTTGGAGGCTTCAGGCGAGCAGAAAACGATCTGAAAGAAAGACCCTCCTTCCTTTGCGAGCTGCATTCTCATAATGCAGAAATGGAAATTTTTCTATTCCACAGTAAGAACTTGATTCGTAATTTTCCCAATGAATAAATTAATTAATTTAATGATTCCATGATGCATACCACCACAATTCCATATTTTTTAATTAAATTCCTTGTAAAGCAAAATTCTACGGAAATTAAAACATACTATGTCACCCGATTATTTCTCAATCGAATAATGGCTTTCTCTCTCTTAGGTACAACTTTCAATTTCAATAGCTCACCCATCCACTCTCTCTCTTTGGTCATTTGGCACGCATTTTTTCAAAAAATATGGGATTCTGCCAACAAATTAGTCTAAGTAAATTTTTTATAAAAAAAAATCCATCGTCACCCCCCACAACAAAATTAATTTTGTTGTTGCTTTATTTCTGCCAGTGTTGTTGTTGCCCACTTTTTTCATTAGCCTCTCCGAATAGAATAGCAATTTTGTCTTTTCACAAATTTTAGTTACGCCAAAAGACGCCGTGTGACAAAAACGGAACGAAACGTAGAATCGCGTCAGTGTTCTAAGCAAAATATAAATAAAAATCGGACAAAGGTGACAAAAAAAATAAGCGATTTACATTGAAATGGCCACACGACCACAGCAACAACAATCTTCTCAACAACATGAAATGGTTGAAATACGCTTAGATTCGCCACGTACTCCAGATCAGTCTCAGGTGCCTCAGTTTAATGCTGGTGGAGTTCAGGATACAGAAAATACCGGTAAACCCTATTTAAGGTTCTATGCGGTGGGACCAAAGACGAAGACAATTGTCTGCCCATTGTGCAAAGAGAAATCAGATGCTACAGATTTAAGTTCATCGGGTATTTTCGATAGTCTGAATTGTCTACTGTCCTGTCTGTCGTGGTAAGTACACACAAATTATATGAAGATCCCCTGCCTTCAGTTTCTTTATATATTTATATTATATTATGCATAGTTAAAAGGATATAAATAAATAATAAACATGCAGTCGGTGAAAAACTTAGCCCACACCATTCAAGACTTAATTTAGTATGCTGTGCTAAATTTCGTGCAAATCGAAGGATATACAGAGACTTTGGTGCACCATTTACATATAATCGGACGAAAATACATATGGGAGCTATATATAACTCTGAACCGATTTTCAGGAAACTTAACACACATCATTCCAAACCTAATTTAGGACGCTATGCCAAATTTCGTGCAAATTGAAGCATATATAGGGGCTTTGGTACACCATTTACATAAAATCCGACGACAATATATATGGGAGCTATATCTAAATTTCTCTATATATATATATATATATATGTGCAAATCGATGTTTATATTGGGACATTGGTACACCATTAATATTAAATCGGACGAAAATATATATGGGAGCTATACCTAAATCTGAACCGATTTTCAGGAAACTTAACACACATCATTCTAGACTTAATTCTGTGCGCTATGCCAAATTTCGTGCAAATCGAAAGATATATAGGGACTTTGGTACACCATTTACATTGAATCGGACGAAAATATATATGGGAGCTATATCTAAATCTGAATCGATTTTCACAAAACATAGCACACATCATTCTAGACTTAATTCAGGGCGCTATGCCAAATTTGTGCAAATCGAAAGATATATAGGAACTTTGGTACACCATTTACCTTAAATAGGACGAAAATATATATGGGAGCTATATATATATATATATATATTATTCCACGTATTCTGTAGATGCTTGAAAAAGTATTTTTTTAGAAACACCCTAATAAACATAAAATATGTGTGTGTATTAAATTCACTTGGAATACGGTTTTTTTTTATAAATAATGAAAATCATTTTTGTTTTGTATATTTGACTGTTGGCATCACCGCCACTTCAGGCTGTCCATTTGCGTTATTTTCAATTAAAAATAAATTAAAAAAATTATTTTTTTAAATGAAATCATTTTTTTCACACATATATTTTTTTGTTCTTTATTTTTCCAGCTGTTTCCCGATTTTCACTCTCTCGTGTCTGTACACGATGTGCTGCCAGGATATTGTTACGGATCATCGAAAATGCTGCACGAAATGTGGTGGCCATTTGGGTTTCTATGCCAGGCCCCATTAGTGTAGCTGCAGCATGGATTTTGAAATATTGTTATTAAATTTGTTTATTTTTATTTTTTGTTGTTGTTGATCATTAATAAAAAATTCAATATATGTATATTTTTTCAAATATTAATTGTATTATTATTTGAGTATTCAAGAAGGCGTGATGACGACACACTCATCATGATCTCTCATTTTCAAATTGCTGTGAGACATTTTTTGTGTGATCGACAAACCATTCGGAAAGTAATGGCAAAAAAATAAATCTCTTAAGCCAATCGCCAATGACTAAATGCCCTCCAAACAAGAAGAAGAAACAGAACAATTTTTTGTTGTTCTACTCAGTTTTTCTTTCGGTCGGACTCTCATTGGCATCGTCTTTGTGTATTTGTTTATTTTCCACCACAGTGTCAAGTGTTTAGTAAATTGTCGCGCATCACCCAAAAGACTCACTGCGTGAATAGAGTTCGGTTCGGCGTTTTTGTTTTTTTTTCATTATCGAAATGGCCCAAACAATTAATAATAATACCACCGCGAACACTGCCACCGGTCCTGCCAACATCCGAGACAGTCGAATTATTGATGATCGCAAACCTGAGATACCCAAAAATGTAGGTCACCTCCTCAAAGAATCGGTTGAAATCGATTGTCCGGCCTGTCATAAACGTAATATGACCCGAGTATCTAAAACAGCTGTGACATTTTGTCAACTTGTTGTGGCGGCCATTAATGCGATTTGTTGTTGTTGGTGAGTATGATTCATTTCTTATAGAGGTCTCTGAAAAAATATTCTTAAAAAAATCAAAAATCAAAATATCCACGCATTGGTTCGACTTACAATTTTTTTTGAAAATATCCACGCTTACTCAGGATGCCTTAAAAATATTTTTTGAAAATATCAGCGCCTATTCAGGATGCTTTAAAAATTATTTCTTTTTGAAAATATCCACGCCTATTCAGGATGCTTAAAAAACTTTTTTTGAAAAAATCCACGCCTACTCTGGATGCTTTAAAAAATATTTTTTGAAAATATCCACGCCTACTCTGGATGCTTCAAAAAATAATTTTTAAAAAATCCACACCTACTATGGGTGCTTCAAAAATAATTTGTAAAAAAATCCACGCCTACTGTGGATGCTTCAAAAAATATTTTTTTAAAAAATCCACGCCTACTGTGGATGCTTCAAAAAATATTTTTTTAAAAAATCCACGCCTACTCTGGATGCTTCAAAAATAATTTTTTAAAAAATCCACGCCTACTATGGATGCTTAAAAAATATTTTTTGAAAATATCCACGCCTACTCTGGATGCTTCAAAAAAATAATTTTTAAAAAATCCACCCCTTAAATTCTTTTGTTATTATTTATTTTTTTTTCAACTTCCAGCAAAGATGCCATCAAATGGGAGGGCCGCTTCGATTACAATCACTTCTGTTCGGAGTGCGGTTGCTATATTGGCCGCTATATATCGTTGGGCTGGAACGAACGTCGTATGCTGAGAGAAAAGCGAATGGAATTGGAAATCAATCATATGGTCGATAATATGGTGGATCGCGTCACAAATAATCAGAGGGAACAGCAACAGTCCGGGCAGACTTCACCCTATGGGGCAACAACGGTACCCAATGCGGCTACACAACTTTAGGTGAAACGAATATTTTTTTTTTAAATGATTTGGGCTTAAAATTTTGAAAATGTTTAAAATAATAATTTTTGTTTATTTATTTGTTTTGAATTGAATACATCATCACCTATACACACATAAAATATATTTATGCTTTGTTTATTTATAGAGGAAGGTAGTATAGGTGCTTAATTTTGAAATCATTAAATATCCTCACCTTCTACAAATGCTTGAAAAAATATTTTTTAAAAATCAACGCCTTCTATGGATGCTCAAATCACTTACTAAGTCGATTTATGCATGTCAGTCCGTCCGATTTAAGGTAAATGGTGCAACAAAGTCCCTATATATCTTTCGATTTGCACGAAATTTTTCATAGGGTACTGAATAAAGACTAGAATAATGTGTGGAAAGTTTCATTGAAAATCGGTTCAAATTTAGATATAGCTCCCATATACATTTTCGTCCGATTTAATGTAAATGGTGTACCAAAGTCCCTATATATATTTCGATTTGCACGAAATTTGACATAGGGTACTCTATTAGGCCCAGAATGATGTGTGCTAAGTTTCAAGAAAATCGGTTCAAATTTAGATATAGCTTCCATATATATTTCCGTCCGATTTCAGGTAAATGGTGCACCAAAGTCCCTAGATATTCTTCGATTGGCACGAAAATTGGTACAGCGTAATGAATTAGGTCTAGAATGATGTGTGCTAAGTTTCATGAAAATCGGTTCAGATTTAGATATAGCTCTCATATATATTTTCGTCCGATTTAATGTAAATGGTGTACAAGGTTCCTTATATATCTTTCGATTTGCACGAAATTCGGCAGAGCGTACTGAATAAAGCCTAGAATAATGTGTGTTAAGTTTCATTGAAAATCGGTTCAAATTTAGATATAGCTCCCATATATATTTTCGCCCGATTTAAGGTAAATGGTGTACGAAAGTCCCTATATATCTTTCGATTTGCTCGAAATTTGGCATAGCGTACTGAATAAAGCCTAGAATGGTGTGTGTTAAGTTTCTTGAAAATCGGTTCAGATTTGGATATAGCTCCCATATATATTTTCGTCCGATTTAAGGTAAACGGTGTACCAAAGTCCCTATATATCTTTCGATTTGCACGAAATTCGGCAGAGCGTACTGAATAAAGCCTAGAATAATGTGTGTTAAGTTTCTTGAAAATCGGTTCAGATTTAGATATAGCTCCCATATATATTTTCGTCCGATTCAAGGTAAATGGTGTACCAAAGCCCCTATATGCCTTTCGATTTGCACGAAATTTGGCATAGGGTGCTGTATTAGGTCCAGAATGATGTGTGCTGATGTATCCTGAAAATCGGTTCAGATTTAGATATAACTCCCATAAATATTTTCTTCCGATTTCAGGTAAATGGTGTACCAAAGTCCCTATATATTTTTTGATTTGCACGAAATTTGACATAGGGTACTGTATTAGGCCCAGAATGATGTGTGCTAAGTTTCAAGAAAATCGGTTCAAATTTAGATATAGCTTCCATATATATTTCCGTCCGATTTCAGGTAAATGGTGTACCAAGGTCCCTATATATCTTTCGACTTGCACGAAATTTGGCATAGGGTGCTGAATTAGGTCCAGAATAATGTGTGTTAAGTTTCATGAAAATCGGTTCAGATTTAGATATGGCTCACATATATATTTTCGTCCGATTTAACCTAAATTGTGCCCTAAAGACCCAACGTTTGTTATTAAAAACTTTCGTGTGCCTAGTTTTCTTGAAATCGGTTCAGATTTACATGTAGCTCCTATATATACTTTCGTCCGATTATAAGTAAATGGTGCACTGAAGACCTATTCCTAGGCAGATGGAGACAACTTACTGAAGTTAATATAAATTAATCTCTGCAAGTTTCCTTGAAATCGGTTCAGATTTAGATATAGCGCTGCTTCCATATATGAATTCGACCTATTCGTGTTTATTGTGCACTAAATAATCAATGGTTTGATATAAAATTTTAAACAGTGAGGCGTACCAAATATCTGGTGTAAAGTTTGCTTTAAATCTGTTTACAAAATTTAGAATAGGTTGCATATAATAGGTAGATTAAGATCGCATATTTAAGTTCGTTGAATTTCATGTCAATGTTCCTTCGAAAAAGCGACGTCTTTTAGGATACATATTTAAAATATACCCAAAGTGGTGAAGGGTATCATATAGTCGGCCCAGTTCGTCTTTGCTACTTTTCGAACTTTTTTTTTTTGATTTGGCCCTTGACAGTTTTTTACTTCAACGATTTAATATTTATTATTAATTTTCTCCATGTTCTGCCTGTAACGTTGTAATTCTCTTTATAAATTCCATAGTAATGATCTCACGCATTGCTCCCAAAGTGTGGGAGAGTGATGCACAGTTAATTTGCTTAATTAAATTCTCAGAAATACGACCATCGAATATTTCTCTGGTACATTTGTACTCGTGGCATATTCGCTTGTCACGACACGAACAAAAATAGAACAACATCATTTTCACTTTTAGGCACACAGTTAATACCACATACGTCAGACCTATATATTCGCAGACATCGATTTTCATTCTCTTAGCACTTGGGCAGCATTCTCTATTCTATGTGAAGAGAAAGAGAGATAGATCTCTTCTTCCCAAACGGTACTCATTCGCTTTTTTTGCAATGGCCACATTTTCCTCCCTCGCTCTCTCTCATAAACAAATAAACCTGCCTGATATTCCAGAGAGTAATATTTTCTCTGCCTCTGATCTATGCAATTTTTTTTTGTTCTGTTTAACTTGCCCCAATTGTGGCCCCAGTACACTTCGTGACCAGTAATTGTTCTACTCGGGGGTTAGTAAACGCGTGCAACTTTAACAGTATGGATCAGCAGAAGCAACAGCAGCAACAACACGTGTCGCCATTGTTGGATGGCCCAACCGAAGTCGATGTCAAACAAAGTCCCATCAAATTGCGGCTTGTACCGGCAAAAGGTGGTGACAGCGCGAATGGGAATGTTGTGGCAAATTTAGTTGTTGTCAGCGAGGGAGAAAATGGCATAGTTGAGGGAGCCACAGACATTGATTTACCCTATATCGATGAGACTGAGGTGGCATCACCGGTAAAAATCAATCAATTACAAAGTACCCGCTCGGCAAAGGAAGAGAAACCAAGGGTTCGCTATTACGCTGTCGGTCCCTCTTCGTATAAAATCAAATGTCCGCTGTGTAATCAAAATGCCAATGCCTGTGTGATGCGTGGCGCCACCTGTAAAGATGCCACTTGTTGTTTATCGTTGTTGTCGTGGTAAGTCGGAAGAGAAAAAAAATAGATGGATAGGTGGGGAGAGAGTGTGAAAAATGAATTGTTGTGATGACAGTGGTGAAAGTGTTTATTTCAAAATATCGGATATTTTTTCATTGTTGTTTTTTTCGTTTTTTGTCTTTCAGCATATTTCCGATATTTTGGCTGTGCTGTCTTTGCACTTGGTGTGGCTGCAACAGTGAATGGCACACAAATGGCCTGTACTGCAGCCAGTGTGGCGGTAAATTGGGTAAAATAAGGAAAGCGATATGACCGGGTTAAGGTGATTTGTAATATAAAACGAACATATTTTTTGTAACGAATAAAAAAAAACGAAATAAAATAATTAATTAAATAAAAAGCGAACATTTTAAAACTATCTATGGACTATAATAATACATAAAAATTATATACCTGTAATAAATAAAACCAATAAGGAAAGTAGTAAAGTCGGACTGGGCCGACTATATGATACCCTCCACCACTTTGGGTATATTCTACGTATGTATCCTAACAGACGTCGCGTTTTTGTTATATATCTGTATCTGAACCGATTTCAGAGCAACTTGCCAGAGGCTAATTTATATTACTTCAATACGTTGTGTCAATCGGCTTAGCTATGGATCTTTTCACGAAGCTTAGCAACATCATTCCAGAAAGATATATAGGGACTTTGGTGCACCAATTACATAAAATCGGACGAAAATATATATGGGAGCTATATCTAAATCTGAACCGATTTTCACGAAACTTAACACACATCATTCTAGACTTATTTCAGTACGCCATGCTAAATTTCGTGCAAATCGAAAGATATATAGGGACTTTGGTGCACCATTTACATAAAATCGGACAAAAATATATATTGGATTTATATCTAAATTTGGACTGATTTTCACGAAACTTGGCAGACATGACTATAGGCTCAATTCAGTACGTTACGCCAAATTTCGTGCAAATCGAAAGATATATAGTGACTTTTATACACCATTTACCTTAAATCGGATGAAGATATATATGGGAGCTATATCTAAAACTGGACCGTTTTCACGAAACTTGACAGACATCAATCTAGGCTCAATTCTGTACGTTATGCCAAATTCCGTGGAAATCGAAAGATCTATAGGGACTTTAGTGGACTATTTACATAAAATCAGGCGAAACTATATATGGGAGCTATATCTAAATCTGAATCGATTATCACGAAACTTGGTAGACATCATTCTAGGCGCAATTCTATACGTTATGCCAAATTTCGTGCATATCGAAAGATATATAGGGACTTTGGTGCACCATTTACATAAAATCGGACGAAAATATATAAGGCAGCTATATCTAAATTTTCACCGATTTCCACGAAACTTGGTATACTTCACTATAGGCTCAATTCAGTACGTTACGCACAATTTCATGCAAATCGAAGCATATATAGGGGCTTTGGTACACCATTTACCTTAAATCGGAAGAAATATATATGGGAGTTATATCTAAATCTTAACCGATTTTCACGAAACTTTGCACACATCGTTCTAGACCCTATTCATTACACTGTGCCAAATTTCGTGCAAATCGAAAGATATATAGGGACTTTGATACACCATTTACCTTAAATCGGACGAAGATTTATATATGAGAGCTATATCTAAATCTTAACCGATTTTCACGAAACTTAACATACATCATTCTAGATCTTATTCATTACGCTGTGCCAAATTTCGTGCAAATCGAACGATACATAGGGACTTTGGTACACCATTTACCTTAAATCGGACGAAAATATATATGCTAGCTATATCTAAATCTGAACCGATTTTCAAGAAACTTAACACATATTATTCTAGGCTTTATTCAATACGCTATGCCAAATTTCGTGCAAATCGAAAGACATATAGGGGCTTTGGTATACCATTTACCTTAAATCGGGGGAAACTATATATGGGAGCTATATTTAAATCTGAACCGAATCTTTGCACAGATCATTCTAGACTTATGTCAGTACGCTATGCCAAAATTCGTGCAAATCGAAAGACCTATAGGGACTTTAGTGGACTATTTTCCTAAAATCGGGCGAATCTATATATGGAAGCTTTATCTAAATCAGAACCGATTTTCACGAAACTTTGCACATTAATTCATTACGCTATGCCAAATTTCGTGCAAATCCAAAGATATATAGGATTTTTTAAGGAATATTTTTTTTTTGAGTCGAAACAATGCGTGTATTTCAAAAGAATATTTTTTCAAGCTTCCACATCTTATTCATAATTAAAAATCCGCATCGTTAATAATTTATTAAAATATGTATTATATTTATGTATACAAAATTATATTAAATATTTTAGAAAAAATATATATCAAAATATTTCGCAAAAATTCTCCTACAACTTTGGACGTCTATAGGTGCCCAAATATTCACCGCACGAGGAACAATACTGGCGACGCATGCAGCAGCTCAAGAGGAAACGTCTCGTGATTGTTTTACCCTTTTGTTTACAATAGGGGCAGCAGACTTCGTGTGGCTTGGGGCCAACGGCAAAGTAAACAGGGGGTGGGGTAGTGGCATCTGTAGCTACCATAATGTCGAGCACGGAATCGAGCGAACGAACGACGGAACGAACGGATGAGAGTCAGTGACTAACACACAACCTTGACGTAGATGAATGGATGAAATCATTTGAATTTTGTTTAATTATTGCAGTAATAAAAACAAAAACAACAACTACATAATATTATGGGAAAAGGAAGAAGAAGAAAAGAAAGAAGAAAAAAATTATTTTGTTTGTTTTGCTTACTTGCAAGTGGTTGTTGTTGGGGAGTGATCGTCTTCTCACTGTCTTGATCGCCAACGGAATGCGTAGTGTGTTTTGGGATAAACGTTCTATGAAATACTGTGACATGAAAATTGGTCTGTGAATCGTGAAAATTTCGATTTTTTTGTTTGTTTGTGGTGTAGTAAATTTTTAAGAGACGGTAAAGAGAATTTACTCTACTGAGAACCAAATGGATTAGAGAGGAAAAAATAAATACGAAATAAATATATAGATTCTTATTAAGAATCTATTTGAGAATCTAATTGGATTGTTGATAAACTAATTAAAATTTGTGAAAAAATATTCTTTAAGAAATCCACGCCTCATATGACCCTTGAAAAAATATTCTTTAAGAAATCCACGCCTCATATGACCCTTGAAAAAATGTTCTTTACAAATCCACGCCTCATATGACCCTTGAAAAAATGTTCTTTACAAATCCACGCCTCATATGACCCTTGAAATCATATGACCCTTGAAAAAATGTTCTTTACAAATCCACGCCTCATATGACCCTTGAAAAAATGTTCTTTACAAATCCACGCCTCATATGACCCTTGAAAAAATGTTCTTTACAAATCCACGCCTCATATGACCCTTGAAAAAATGTTCTTTACTATGCTATGCCAAATTTCGTAGAAATCGAAGTATATATGGGGACTTTGGTGTACTATTTACCTTAAATCGGATGAAAATATATGGGAGCTATATCTAAATCTGAATCGATTTTCATGAAATTTAACATATATCTTTGTAGACTTAACTCAGTACGCTATCCCAAATTTCGAATTTGAAAATCGAAAGATATATAGAGACTTTGGTGCACCATTTACATAAAATCGGACGAAAATATATATGGGAGATATATCTAAATCTGAACCGATTTTCACGAAATTTAACACACATCGTTCCAGACATAATTTATTACGCTGTGACAAATTTCGTCTTAATCGAAAGATATATATGGACTTTGATGCACTATTTACCTTAAATCGGACGAAAATGAATATGGGAGCTATATCTATATTTGAACCGATTTTCACGAAATATAACACACATCGTTCTAGACTTCATTCAATAAGCAGTGCCAAATTTCGTGCAAATCGAAGGATATATAGGGACTTTGGTGCACTATTTACCCAAAATCGGACGAAGATATATATGGGAGCTATATCTAAATCTGAATCGATTTTCAGAAAATTTAACACACGTCGTTCTAGAATTAATTCATTGCGCTCTGCCAAAATTCGTGCAAATCGAAGGATATGTAGGGACTTTGGTGCGCCATTTACATAAAATCGGACGAAAATATATATGGGAGCTATATCTAAATCTGAACCGATTTTCACGAAATTTAACACACATCGTTCTAGACTTAATTCAGTACGCTGTGCCAAATTTCGTGCAAATCGAAGGAAATATAGGGGACTTTGGTGCACTACTTACCTTAAATCGGACGAAAATATATATGGGAGCTATATCTAAATCTGAACCGATTTTCACGAAATTTAACACACGTCGTTCTAAACTTAATTTAGAATGCTATGCCAAATTTCGTAGAAATCGAAGGATATTTGGGGACTTTGGTGCACTATTTACCTTAAATCGGACAAAAATTTATATGGGAGCTATATCTAAATCTGAATCGATTTTCAGGAAATTTAACACACGTCGTTCTAGGCTTAATTCAGAATGATATGCCAAATTTCGTAGAAATCGAAGGATATTTGGGGACTTTGGTGCACTATTTGATGAATGAAAATGAATGAATATTAAAAAATATTTTTTTGAAATTTAAAGCCATGTTCTCCTAACCCATTTGGAGAATTGCCCGAAAAGAGTCGGTATACAGCATTGTCTTCATTTCTTCGTACACTTGAAACCTTTTCTGACATCATTTTGTTCTTTTTTTGCTGCTGTTCCATCAATCCCATTGCCCATTGCTCGATGTTTTGGCATTGTTCCAAGGAGCGCATTAATCATTTTGCCCCAAAACAATGGAAATATATTTAGACCAATATTGAATATATATTGGGGATTTGTAGCTACATATTTATAAATGTTAGCAATTTTAAGTACGCATGATTTGCAAGGAGGGATCTGTGGAAAGACTGCTTTGTTGAGATCAATTGAAGACAACGGATAACGAATCATTTATGAGACATCGTATTCATTTAAAATATTTTCCATATATGCGATAAATTCCACAAGAAATCTCTTCCTCGAAATGCAATGACATTTTATTATTTCTTCGTTGGAATGCATTCAAATAAATAATTAAATTTCAAATTTATATATTTTTTTAATTTTTATATTTGTTTTTTTTTTAATAAATTTCTTAAAAATTAATTTCGTTTATGACCCACTTTTCTTAATTAATTGCCATATTTGCTGCTCAAATGATTGCCCTGATGGCTTCTGACCGGTGGTACACGTTTCGCACGGCCCAAATAGCAGCTGCAATTTTTACAATAATGATTGACATCTGTGCGATTAACCAACTTCTTGTAGTCGAAACAGAAACAGCAGCAGAGACCACTATAAAAAATGTAAACAAAAGAAACAAAAAAAAAAAAAAAACAGAAAAAATAATTCCAGTGATTTTTGGAAACGGTGACGTATGATTAACAATATTACGTTTACGCCCCATGCACACACACACACTCTCCTAACACCATTCACACACTCACACACACTTCCTACACATTTATTTCCTGTACTTACTAAAACAATGCCGAATAAATATCATTACACGTCGTCGACCATTTCTTCTGCTCAATGTGGACCTCTGTCAGCTGATCTACCCCACAACTGGGACACAGAATCGATGTTGGTTCCTTGGGCAAATTTAAATGGGTTCCAGCCAAGGGTGTAGCATAATTATTATCCATTTGTCGTTTCTTTTCCTCGTCGAGTTTTTCTCTTGTCAGTGGCATTTTTGTGGTTAATTCGAGATGTCTTTTTTTTGTTTAAACTTTAAATTCGAAAAAATCGGCTAATTTTTCTGTCAATTTTTATTTTGTTATTCACACAATAACGTCGCCGGTGTAGACTAAACAAAATATTTTGTGTATATTTTTTGCGCGTCTTCTACGACAGTCAGAGTTTGTCATCGTGAATTTGTCGGTTTGTCCACCTTAGAAGAGACACCAGAGTGTCTCTGGTGGAGTGTAATTAAAAAGGAAAAGCAACAAATACCACAGAGCTCAATATGCTCTCTCTATGTGTACAACGGCCTATGCCTTTCACTTATTTATAAGTGATGGAGGAGAGAGTAAAGTTTACAGTAATAAGGAAAACAACCACAACAGAGATCAATGCGTTTCATTTCTCCCTCTATCTCTCAGTTATTTCTATGGGATAGGAGAGAGGTAGTATTATTAAGAGTACAAGGAGAAGGCAATACCACAGAGATACACCATACTTTTAAAGGAGTTTCTAGTTCAGTTATTTATAAGAGATGGATGGAGAGAGAGAGCGATTATTATTATTATTCAGAAGAGAGCATGCATTGAATATTGCTACACACATTTATAAATAAATATTTTTTTTAATATATAATTTGGTTTGCTATACCAATTAGAATATGAATATGATGCTCTCTCTCTCTCTACATATATATTTGTTGTATTATATGAAATATTGGGAAAGAGAGCATCATCTTAGAGCAGGGGAAGAAACATATTTTGTAATAATTAAAAACTAATCATATAGTCTCTCAAATGTCAATGGCTAGTACGCATACAAAAATTACCATAAAAATTGAAGGTCATGGTCAGACAGAGACAGATAAATATATGGGGTATGGTCGGGAAAGGGAAAATTATTAAGGAATTATTTGTTCAAGCAGGGACTATCAGAGGGGTGGATTTTTTAAAGAATATTTTCTCAGGGATTATCTGAGGCGTGGATTTTTTAAAGAATATTTTTCAGAGACTATCTCAGGCGTAGATTTTTAAAGAATTTTTTTTAGGCACCTATATGATGATTTTTTAAGGAATATTTTTTCAAGGCTCACAACAAGGCGTGGATTTTTTAAGGAATATTTTTTCAAGGCTCACAACAAGGCATGGATTTTTTAAAGAATATTTTTTCATGCCTCCTTCCACAATGCGTGGATTTTTTAAAGAATATTTTTTCAAGCCTCCTTCCACAAGGCGTGGATTTTTTAAAGAATATTTTTTCAAGCCTCCTTCCACAAGGCGTGGATTTTTTAAGGAATATTTTTTCAAGGCTCACAACAAGGCGTGAATTTTTTAAGGAATATTTTTTCAAGGCTCACAACAAGGCGTGGATTTTTTAAGGAATATTTTTTCAAGGCACCCAACAAGGCGTGGATTTTTTAAGGAATATTTTTTCAAGCCTCCTTCCACAAGGCGTGGATTTTTTAAAGAATATTTTTTCAAGCCTCCTTCCACAAGGCGTGGATTTTTTAAGGAATATTTTTTCAAGGCTCACAACAAGGCGTGGATTTTTTAAGGAATATTTTTTCAAGGCACCCAACAAGGCGTGGATTTTTTAAGGAATATTTTTTCAAGGCTCACAACAAGGCGTGGATTTTTTAAGGAATATTTTTTCAAGGCTCACAACAAGGCGTGGATTTTTTAAGGAATATTTTTTCAAGCTCACAACAAGGCGTGGATTTTTTAAGGAATATTTTTTCAAGGCTCACAACAAGGCGTGGATTTTTTAAGGAATATTTTTTCAAGGCTCAAACAACAACATTGAAGACTTCAGGGTCCTGACGATTTCTATGAAAAAGTATCTTCAGGGTCAAGACGATTTGTTTCCTATAGAAAAATGTCATCATCAGGGTCCTTCCTGACTATTTTTTTCTATGAAAAAGTATCTTCAGCGTCAAGACGAATTGTTTCCTATAGAAAAATATCATCATCAGGGTCCTGACGATTTTTTTTGTATAGAAAAATATCATCATCAGGGTCCTGACGATTTTTTTTCTATAGAAAAATATCATCAGGGTCCATACGTTTTTTTATACTCTTTACCCTATTATGTCTTTGTGCATATGTTTGTAACTGACAAAAGGAAACGAGATAGACATATGGTTCTTTTTAAGTCGATTTATGCATGTCCGTCCGTATGTCCGTCTGTCTGTTCATGATAAATTGTAAACAAAGTACAGGTCGCATTTATGATCCGAATTGGATGAAATTTGGCACATCCCATTTGTTTGGCTCAAGGACGAACCCTATTGAAATTGGGAAAAATCGGTTCAGATTTAGATATAGCTCCCATATATAATTTCGTCCGATTTATAGAAAATGGTGCACCAACGAGTCAAATTTAGGTCGATTGACACGAAATTTTGCACAACGGACTAAAATATAGATAGCCTAAGGTGTGCCAAGTTTCATTGAAATCGGTTGAAATTTAGATATAGCTCCCATTTATATTTTCGTCCGATTTTTAGTGAATTGTGCACCAAAGAGTCAAATTTTGGCCGAATGGCACGAAATTTTGCACAACGTACTGAAGATAGGACAGTCTAACGTGTGCCAAGTTTTATTGAAATCGGTTCAGATTTAGGTGTAGCTCCCACATATATATTTTGGTCCGATTTTTAGTGAATTGTGCACCAAAGTGTCAAATTTAGGCCGAATGGCACGAAATTTTGTACAAAGTACTGACGTTAGGATTGCTTAACTTGTGCCAAGTTTTAATGAAATCGGTTAAGATTTAGATATAGCTTCATATATATTATCGGCCGATTTTTAGCGAATTGTGCACCAAATAGTCAAATTTAGTTCGGATGGCGCGAAATTTGGCACAAAGTTGTGAAGTTAGGACAGTCCAACGTATGTCAAGTTTCATTGAAATCGGTTCTGATTTAGATATAGCTCCCATATATATTATCATCCGATTTTTAGCGAATCGAAAGTGGTAAAGGGTATCATATAGTCGGCTCCGTCCGACTTTACTACTTTCCTTACTGGGTTTTCTATGAAAAAAATTCTCGAGACCAACTTCCAATTTTTTGTTTTATATTTGCAGTTACACCCTAATACACATGTTCGCTATTTTGTGTTTGTTTTTTTTTCGCTACTATATTTAAATATGGCATTTGTTGTTGTTGTTTTTGTTTTTCATATAAAATGTATTTATTTATATATATACTATAATTATACACAAAAAAATAATGTTGGGAAGGGTAAACAAAAAATACTTTTCGAACCGTGAGATGAATATTTCAACACTTTGGCAATTTGTTGTGTATTGAAATTTGAAATTAATTTAAATAAAATACCATTTAGTTGGGGAAATGAAATTGCAGGCCTCATGTTGTGTTTTTTTTCTTGGTGTGGCACATTGAAGTCCAACTCCCACCACCACCTTCTGACCTCTCCTAGTTTCAGGCTACCAATGCTGGTGGTCTACGTTTCGCTCGTCCATAATAACAATTGCAATTTTTACAATAATGATTTGTGTCACACTGGCCACAGGGATCGGAATAATTGAAACAACAACAACAGCACAGGGAGCTGGAACGAAGGAAAATCGAGAATTTTCATTAATGATGTCTTCTGAAGCATTTTGCCGAACTTACGCAAATAGACAACCAAAGAAACTGTTCCACTTCTTGGCCCATTTCTTGGGCTCAACATGCACCTCACTCATACCCTTTACTCCGCATGAGGGACAGCGTATCACAGCCGGTGTTGTGGGCAAATTGAGGAATGTTCCGGCCAGGGGTGTTGCAAAATTATTATAGATTTCTAAATTCCTTTGGGAACGCAACATCTTCTCTGCGGCCTTTTGAGCCTTTCGATCGATCACCACTTCCACGTTTGGAGGGGGTTTGGGATTGGTCTCAGCCACTGCCTGCGTCATGTTTTTTTTTTCGAATTTATTTTCTTTTTGTGATTCTGTTTTTTTTTCGGTTCTCGTTTATTTCACTTCACTTTTGCCACATTCAGCAAATAATCGAATAAGACTAACATCGAAAATGTTGACGAACAATTCATGTTAATCTCAAGAAAAAAAACGGAAAATTCTAATGAGCCAATAATGTGGGTGTGTGTGAGAAAAATTTTGGTGTAAACAAAATTTATAAACAAAGAGTAAAATTAAGAGATAAATTCTATTGCGGGAAGAGAAAAAATATTTTTTAAGGAAAGGATTTTTTTTTTTAATTGTTTTTTTCAGGGACTACAAAAGGCTTGGATTTTTATAACCTTCACCACACTGTGGTACAGGGTAGTATGCCTTTGTGCATATGTTTGTAACAGGCAAAAGGCAACGAGATAGACACAGGGTTCCTTTTGAGAATATGCATAGAAACACTTTTTAAGTCGATTTATGCATGTCCGCCTGTCCGTTCGTCCGTCTGTCTGTCCATGTTAAATTGTAAACAAAGTACAGGTCGCACTTTTGATTCGAATTGGATGAAACTTGACACAGCTCATTTATTTGGCCCAAGGACGAATCCCATTGAAATTGGGAAAAATCGGTTCCGATTTAGATATAGCTCTCATATATATTTTCGTCCGATTTAAGGAAAATGGTGCACCAAAGCCCCTCTATATCCTTTGATTTGCACGAAATTTGGCATAACGTACTGAATTAAGTCTAGAACGATGTGCGTTAAATTTCGTATAAATCGTTTCCGATTTAGATATAGCTCCCATATAATATTTCGTCCGATTTAAAATAAATGGTGCACCGAAGTCCTTATATATCTTCCGATTTGCACGAAATTTGGCTCAGCGTACTGAATTGGGTCTAGAATGAGGTGTGTTAAGTTTCCTGAAAATCGGTTCAGATTTAGATATAGCTCCCATATATATTTTCGTCCGATTTTAGGTAAATAGTTCACCAAAGTCCTTATATATCCTTCGATTTAACGAAATTTAGCATAGCGTACTGAATTAAATCTAGAACGATGTGTGTTAAATTTCGTGAAAATCGGTTCAGATTTAGATATAGCTCCCATATATATTATCGTCCGATTTAATGTAAATGGTGTACCAAAGTCCCTATATATCTTTCGATTTGCACGAAATTTGGCATAGCGTACTGAATTGAGTGTAGAATGATGAGTTGTGAGTTTCGGGAAAATCGGTTTAGATTTAGATATAGCTTCCATATATAGTTTCGTCCGATTTTAGGTAAATGGTGCGCCAAAGTCGCTGAAAATCATTCGATTTGCACGAATTTTGGCATAGCGTACTGAATTAAGTCTAGAACGATATGCGTTAAATTTCGTGAAAATCGGTTCAGATTTAGATATAGGCCCTATATATAGTTTCGTACGATTTAATGTAAATGGTGTACCAAAGTCCCTCTATATATTTAGATTTGCACGAAATTTGGCATAGGGTACTGAATGAAACCCAGAATAACGTGTGTTTAGTTTCTTGAAAATCGGTTCAGATTTAGATATAGCTCTCATATATATTTTCTTCCGATTTTAGGTAAATAGTGCACCATAGTCTCTATATATGTTTCGATTTGCACGAAATTTGGCATAGCGTACTGAATTGAGCCTAGAATGATGTGTGTCAAGTTTCGTGAAAATCGGTTCAGATTTAGATATAGCTCCCATATATAGATTTGCCCGATTTTAGGTAAATGGTGCGCCAAAGTCGCTGAAAATCATTCGATTTGCACGAATATTGGCATAGCGTACTGAATTAGGTCCAGAATGGTATGTGCTAAGTTTCGTGAACCTACTTCAGACTTAGATATAGCTACCATATATATTTTCGTCGATTTAATGTAAATTGTGCACTAAAGACCCAAAGTTTGTTAAGCGGTACACAATTGTTGTTATGCATGTTCATGGGGATTTTCGTGCCTTTGAGATGAGAATCTGTCCCTACCATAGCTCGTGTGTTAAGTTTCGAGAAAATCGGGTTAGATTTAGATTTAATTTCGTTCAATTTCAATGTCAATGTTCCTACGAAAAAGCGACGTCGGTTAGGATACATATGTAGAATATACCCAATGTGCTGAAGAGTATCATATAGTCGGCCCAGTACGACTTTACTACTTTCCTTACTGGGTTTTAAAATAATTTTTTTCAGTACATTTTCTAATTCTTCTCTATCATGAAGCGAAGGGAATTTTTTGTTTGCTTCAACATTTCATTCATTTCCTCGACACTGACAACAAAATTACTGCCACAAGAGCTGACATCTGGAAAATAAACAGATAATTAAATGGCTTCGGAGAACTGACTTCTGTTCTGTGTTGTTCTGTGTTAACGATCGTTGAACACTTGATGCCGCAAAAATATATGTGCCACCGCCACTACCAACCATGTTGTTGTTGTTTTTGTGACGGCTGCTCGTAATAAACGCAATAAATTTCAAGAGCTGAGATGAGTTAAGCTGCTTTTATGCGCGTTCGCTGGGAAATAGACCAACAGCCCAATGAACTTTATATATATTTTTTAATTTTATTAACTTATGTTTGATGTGTGTGTGTGTGTGGGGGTGAGGTCATTAAAGACCTCAATTACGCATAATGAAGACGGAATTTATAATAAATAAAATTAACAACAATAGCAATAACAAAAACTATATTTATGTAGCAAAGTGTTAACAGGGAGGGGAAAATTTCAAATGAGAATTTTATAAATATTTAATAAAATCTAAGCCTCATGTGGGCACTTAAAAAAATATTTTAAAAAAATCTACGCCTCATGTGGACCCTTAAAAACATATTTTAAACCAGTGAGTGGAGCAGTATAGTCGGACGGGGCCGACCATATGATACCCTACACACCTTCCCCTAAAATCTAACTTTTTGTGGTTCTATATTCTAAGCTTGAGCAATATTTCTCGATATTTGCAGCCTATTGACCGACTAGAGGTCAACAAATGTTACTAATATTCAGTACAACCCATCTAAATACTTGTCCAGATTCCCTTCACCGTGGGTTGTGTTGTGATGTTCGGCTTTCCGTTGTGGCCTGTAGAACGACTCGAAATACCACAAAAATTAAGTTTTCGGTCCATTTCATCCCAATATTATTTTCTGATCATCAGCAAACATCACGGAATGTTTCAAAGCGATCAGCGCTATATTTCCGCCCTCTAGTGTGGTAATGGTTTATTAAATAATATATGAATACGGAAGCACCCTTAAATATTTAAGTGTAACTCCCACATTCGAGTACATACGACAATATAATTGGTATAAATTTAAAGGTCAACCGCTGCTCTTGGATATACCATATACTGCTCGGGTCTATCCTTTAAGAGTAAACATATATGCTATAGAATACAAATTTTGTAATTTTTCACACAAAAGTAAATGGTATACCAAGGTCCCTATATATCTTCCGATTTCCACAAAATTTGGTATAGCGTACTGGATTGAGTCTAGAATGATGTGTGTAAAATTTCTTGAAAATCGGTTCAGATTGAGATTTAGCTGCCATATATAGGTTTGCCCGATTTTAGGTAAATGGTGCACCAAAGTCCCTGAAAATCATTCGATTTGCACGAATTTTGGCACATCGTGCCGAATTAGGTCCAAAATGGTATGTGCTAAGTTTCGTGAAAGTAGGTTCAGACTCAGGGTTCATTTGACCCGTTAAATATTGGCCAATCTTCCTCAAAACAGGCATGCCTTTTCTTTGGCCCGATCCCCTTCTTCATGTAAAAAGTCGCGATGTTTGGGCCATAATTGCGGCCTCTGGAGCGACCAGAAAATCCGACAAAAATAAAGTTATTGGTTCATTTCATCCCCTAAATATTAGCCGATCTTTACCAAAAACAATAGGGGTCTTCATTGGTCAGTACCCATCCTACATGCAAAATTTCGTGAAGATTGGTCCATAACTGTGGCCTGTATCGTGTTTACAAATTATAATGGACAGACGGACGGACGGCTACACATGTCTAGATCGACTCAGCTAATCGGTATACTTAAAGGTGTGTCTAGGATCAATATTTTACGGTGTTACAAATTCTTGAGGCTGCACATACCCTGACAACATAGTTGTGTAGGGTATAAAAATCTATGCCTCATTTGGACCCTTAAAAAAATATTTCTATTTTCTTTAATTTTCGACTTCTTTTCTACCTCCTCCTCCTCTTCAGGAGCACTTATTTTCACATTGCGTTCAAATTCAACAGCATTATAATCACGATTTGGTCTAACACAATTCGAAGAAGAAGGTACGGCAATTGGAACAATGCAAATGCTCAACTTCGTGGGAGGGAGAAATCCAAACACAGAGGCCAGCAATTGAGCATACAGAAGGCACACCAGGAATTTTCGGTTAGAAATTCATTTTTAGTCCCACCAAGGGCAATTTATGGCAACCACACTTCGGACAATAGATGCTGCCATTGAGGGGTCGCCACTTTTCAATGGAAGTACGATAGTGGCGACGTTTGCGTGGTGTATTGCGTCGACCACTACTCGTAGCTGATGTGCTAGATTGGGGTTCTTATTTTATAGCGACGTGTATACAACACATTGGTATCAGGATCGAGGGGGCATAAATTGCAGTCTTTAACTTCGGTATAATTTTCTGCTATTTAGAGAGATGTTGGGGGAATAGAGAGAAATGTGAGAAATTATCGATTCTATTTTCTTTAATTTTCGACTACTTTTCTACCTCCTTCTCTTCTTCGGGAGCACTTATTTTCACATTGCGTTCAAATTCAACAGCATTATAATCACGATTTGGTCTATTACAATTTGAACGACGATTATGAAGGCCCAAGAAGGTATGGCAAAAATGCTCAACTTCGTGGCAGGGAAAAATCCATGGTATAAAATACAGAGGCCAGAAATTGAGCATACTGAAGGCACACCAGGAGTTTTCGGTTAGAAATTCATTTTAGTCACCACCAAGGGCGGTTTGTGGCAACCACACTTCGGACAATAGATGCTGCTATTGAGGGGTCGCCACTTTTATATCGAAGTACGATAGAGATGGCGTTTACGTGGTGTATTACGTCGATCACTACTCGGAGCTGAACTGCTGGAGGGGGTTCGTATTTTAAAGCGGCGGGTATACAACACATTGGTATCGGGATTGAGGGGGTATAAATTACAATCTCTAACTTCGGTATAATTTTCTGCTATTTAGAGAGATGTTGGGGGAATAGAGAGAAATGTGAGAAATTATCGATTTTATTTTCTTAATTTTCGACTCCTTTTCTACCTCCTCCTCTTCTTCGGGAGCACTTATTTTCACATTGCGTTCAAATTCAACAGCATTATAATCACGATTTGGTCTATTACAATTTAAACGACGATTATAAAGACCCAAGGCAGTTCGACAATACAAATGCTGGACCTCATGGGAGGGAAAAATCCAGCAATTGAGCATACAGAAGGCACACCAGAAGTTTTCGGTTACAAATTCATTTTTAGTCTCCACCAAGGACGGTTTGTGGCAACCACACTTCGGACAATAGATGCTGCTATTGAGGGGTCGCCACTTTTCTATCGAAGTACGATAGAGATGGCGTTTACGTGGTGTATTACGTCGATCACTACTCGGAGCTGAACTGCTGGAGGGGGTTCGTATTTTAAAGCGGCGGGTACACAACACATTGGTATCGGGATCATGGGGTCATAATTTGCAATCTTTAATTGCGGGATATTTTTTTGCTATTTAGAGAGAGGTTGGGGGAATAGAGAGGAATGTGACAAATTATAGATTTTGAGAGTTCTGCGGACTTCCATTTACATATATCTGATTTCAATGAAATTTGTTACAACTCATCGTCGGTAATATAATGAGAACGTTTTCCCTCCTTCATAGTATCCGTATTGGAATTTCCAATATCCTTTTCTTCGGAAGAATATTCCCTGCGACTTCGTACATCTTCAGCAATCCCATTGAGGTTCTGTTCATTTAAAGACATTTGACTTCTATCCTGCTATTCGATTTTGTTTCCTTTGGCCAAATATTTTTGGGATATATCCACATTCCGATCGACATCAATAAATTTTACTTCCGGATGATTGGTCCGTATGTGTTGAATTAATGGGGCGGTATTATTGCGCAAACAGTGTAATATTTTCTGACATTTCATACACGCCGTTTGTGGACATTATTAAAAAAAATGCCACACCTTTTGTTAGTCCCTGAAAAAAAAATATTTAAATTTTGTTTCGTGCCTCAGCTTGGACAGCCTAATTTATATACTTAAACATATTTATATTTCAACACTATATAAAGTAAACATTAATGAGATGGAACAACAGAAAAGCCAAAAAATTTCCCAGAGATCAAGTTAATAGAATTTTGTTTATTTAAGAGAGACAAACATCTCTCATTTTTTCCACTGGGTTTGTGCCACAATTCTCCTACCCAAAAAAGCGTGTGCAAGTAAATTAGGAAGACATGTAAACACAAAAAACCCATTTCACCCCGAAAAAATACAATTAGTTTAGTTTTTAAAAATCCACACAACGAAGCATATTCTAGCCTCTCGGAATCAGACATCCATCAAATTTGACAGACAAAAAAAAAATCTCTTAACAAAAAATGGTTGCAATTGAGGATTATATTGTGGACGATTATCCGACAGATCCTACTCCACCATCTGCCCTGATAAAACCAATCGATCTGAAAAACATAGGATATTTACAAAAAATTCCCACACATGTTGATTGTCCCGCCTGTCGGGCGGTAGGCATGAGTGTGGTGCGTTTAGAGGCGGTAACTTGTTTGCAAAAATTTCTCAAGGCCACCAATTTGTGGTAAGCATTTGTCGGAGTCAATTTGGTCAATTTCATCATTTTGTTGTTGGTGTTGTTTTTTTTTGTATTTTAAGTAAAACTGCCGAAAGCCGTTATGACATCAATCATTACTGCAATGCCTGTGGTTGTTATATTGGCCGTTATGTGGCCATAAATTGTGCCGAACGTTGTTTGTCGAAACAGGCTCGCAAAAAGGCAGCTGCCGACAACTTAACTTTGCGGGAAGAATCGAAAAATTGGGCTAAGAAAATTCAAGAATCGCGAGAGAGAGTATTAGCCAATATGGCCAAGGAGCGAACGGAAAGGAAGCAAAAAGAAAAGTCAGCAACTGATGATGGAAATGAAAAGGAAGAAGAAAACAAATAATGAGAAATTGAAAAGGAGAATAAGGATGTGTTGTAATGAATTTATAGTATTTTTTTTTATAAAATTGTTTTTCGAGATACGATATAAAATTATTATTTTTTTAAGCAAAAATCATATACTTGAATAAAATGTTTACGGAAGACCTGTGGCGTATAACTAACGTCAACACGTATACGTCACCATGAACGCAATGAGAAAAATATTCTTTAAAAATCCACGCCTTATATGGGTACCTGAAAAAAATTAATTAAAAAAATTCACGCCTTACAGGGGAGACTGAAAAAAATTAATTAAAACCAGTACGGAAAGTTCAAAAGTCGGTCGGGGCCGACTAAATGATAACAACATGATATACATCAATCTGGACCTAATTCACTACTCTGTGCAAAATTTTGTCTCAATCGGACCATTATTGGGAGTTTGGTGCACCATTTACAAAAAATCGGACGAAACTATATATGGGAACTATATCTAAATCTGAACCGATTTCAAAAAACTTCGGATATATTAATCTGGACCTAATTCAGTACCCTGTGCAAAATTTTGTCTCAATCGGAACAATATTGGCAGTATAATGCTCCATTTACATAAAATCGGACGAAACTATATATGGGAGCTATATCTAAATCTGAACCGATTTCAACAAAACTTCGGATACATTAATCTGGACCTAATGTAGTACTCTGTGCAAAATTTTGTCTCAATCGGAACAATATTGGCAGTATAATGCTCCTTTTACATAAAATCGGACGAAACTATATATGGGAGCGATCTTTGAATCTGAACCGATTTCAACAAAAATTGGCATATATCAATCTGGGCCTAATTCAGTACTATGTGCAAAAGTTTGTCTCAGTCGGAATAATATTGGCAGTATAATGCTCCATTTACATAAAATCGGACGAAACTATAAATGGGAGCTATATCCAAATCTGAACCGATTTTCTCCAATTTCAATAGGGTTCTTAGGCAAAATAATTGACATGTGCCAAATTTCATCAAAATCGGATCATAAATGTGACCTGGACGGACGGACATGTATTAATCGACTTAGAAAGTGGTTCTATTTACATTAAATCAGACGAAAATATATATGGGAGCTATATCTAAATCTGAACCGATTTTTACGAAACTTAGCACACATCATTCTAGGGTTAATTTAGTACGCTGTGCCAAATTTCGTGCAAATCAAAAGATATTTAGGGACTTTGGTGCACCATTTACCTTAAATCGGACGAAAATATATATGGGAGCTATAGCTAAATCTGAACCGATTTCCACGAAACTTAACTAACATCATTCTACTCTTAATTCAGTACGCTATGCAAAATTTTGTGCAAATCGGAAGATATATAGGGACTTTGGTGCACCATTTACCTTAAATCGGACGAAAATATATATGGGAGCTATATCTCAATCTGAAACGATTTTCCCGAAACTCATCACTCTTCATTCTAGGCTTAATATAGTACACCGTGCCAAATTTCGTGCAAATCGAAAGATATTTAAAGACTTTGGTGCACAATTTACCATAAATCGGACGAAAATATATGTGGGAGCTATATCTAAATCTGAACCGATTTTTACGAAACGTAGCACACATCATTCTACACTTAATTCAGTACGCTATGCAAAATTTCGTGTAAATCGAAAAATATAGATGGACTTTGGTGCACCATTTACATTAAATCGGACGAAAATATATATGGGAGCTATATCTAAATCTGAACCGATTTTTACGAAACTTAACACACATTGTTCTAAACTTAATTCAGTTCGCTATGCCAAATTTCGTGAAAATCGAAGGATATAAAGGGACTTTGGTGCACCACCTACATAAAATCGGACGAAAATATATATAAGAGATATATTTAAATTTGAACTGATTTTCCCGAAATGTAGCACTCATCATTCTAGACTCAATTCATTACGCTATGACAAATTTCGAATTATATAAAGGGACTTTAGTGCACTATTTACCTTAAATCGAACGAAAATATATATGGGAGCTATTCTAAATCTGAACCGATTATTCCGAAACTCTCCACTCATCATTCTAGACTCTATCAGTAAGCTATGCCAAATTTCGTGAAAATCGAGGGATATAAAGGGACTTTGGTACACTATTTACCTTAAATCGGACGAAAATATATATAGGAGCTATATCGAAATCTGAACCGATTATCGCGAAATTTAACACACATCATTCGTGACCTAATTCAGTAAACTATGCCAAATTTCGTGCAAATCGAAGGATATATAGGGACTTTGGTGCACAATGTACATTAAATCGGACGAAAATATATATGGGAGCTGTATCTAAATCTGAACCGATTTTTGCGAAACTTAGCACATATCATTCTAGGCTTAATTTAGTACGCTGTGCCAATTTTCCGGCAAATCGAAAGATATTTAGAGACTTTGGTGCACAATTTACCTTAAATCGGACGAAAATATATATGGGAGATATATCTAAATCCCTAAAAAAATATATATTAGGCCCTGAAAAAAATATTTTTAAAAATCCAACCCTTATATGGGTACCTGAACAAATTATTTAAAAAAATCCAGACATATAGTTTTTAGTTGATGAGAACCACTGTGCCGACCGGCATATATTTTTTTATGTATATTAACATTAAATGTTATTCATCCGGCACACATTAAGCTTTATTACAGAAAAGCTTATCTAGTACGTCTTGTTACCAACAGATGGCTCTATTCGTTTCTGTAGTCGATCATTTCGGGAATCTGTAACATTTGCCTTATTATTGCTATCATCGGTAAGGGCCTCCAAATCTATTCCAGCCAGTGAACCAAATTTCTTAAAACTCTGCAATCGAGCCACCATATCCGGATGTAATTCTTTGCCATCGATGACAATGGATGGCAAACGATTGTTGGTTTGATGAACCTGTTGCTGCTTTGCGGAACTCTGCTGCCCCTCCCATTCACCGGTAGAAGTAGATTTATTTTCTTTAATTTTCGATTTCTTTCCTTCCTCTTCTTCCTCGGGAGATCTTATTTTCACATTTCGTTCAAATTCAACAACATTATAGTCCCGATTTGGCCTAATACAATTTAAACGACGATTGTAAAGACCCAAGAAAGTTCGACACTTGGAACAGTGCAAATGCTCAATTTCATGGGAGGGAAAAATCCATGGTATAAAACACAGAGGCCAGCAATTGAGCATACAGAAAGCACACCAGGAATTTTCCGTAAGAAATTCATTTTTAGTCTCCACCAAGGGTGGTTTGTGGCAACCACACTTGGGACAATATATGCTGCCATTGAGGGGACGCCACTTTTCTATCGAAGTGCGATAGAGATGGCGTTTGCGTGGTGTATTACGTCGACCACTACTCGGAGCTGAACTACTGGAGGGGGTTCGTATTTTAAAGCGGCGGGTATACAAAATATTGGTACTGGGATCATGGGGACATAATTTGCAATCTTTGATTTCGGGATAATTTTCTGCTATTTAGAGGGAGATTGACAGAGATAGGGAGGGATGTTACAAAAGATGGATTTTGAGCGTTCTGCTGGCATCCACTTACATATTTCTGATTTCAATGAAATTTGTGTCAACTCATCTTCGGTAATATAATGAGAACGTTTTTGGTCCTTTTTAGTATGCGTATTGGAATTTTCAATATCGTTTTCTTCGCAGGAAAATTCTCTGGAACTTCGTACATCTTCAGCATTCCCATTGAGGTCCTGTCTTTTTAAAGAAATTTGACTTCCATCCTGCTGTTCGATTTTGTTTCCTTTGGTCAAATATTTTCGGGATATTTCCACCTTCCGATCGACATCAATAAATTTTACTTCCGGATGATCGGTGCGTATATGTTGAATTAATGGGGCGGTATCATTGCGGGAACATTCCAATATCTTCTGACATTTCATACAACGAACCAATGTCATTTTCTTCTTTTCATCCATTGTACATTTTCAAAACATTAATTTTGTTTAAAAACAATTAACAATAAAATAACAAAAAGGAAAATTGAAAAATAATCGAATTTTTATTTTGACATAGGGTGTTATTAGTCCTAATTTTTGTGGGTTTTTTTTTAGGGTCATATCTAAGTCGTGGACTTTTCAAGCACCCATTTTTAAAATATTTCATATTTCAAAGACCAAAGAATATTTTTTTTAAGGACTTATAGAAGGCGTGGATTTTTTAAACAATATTTTTTTCAAGGACCTATCTAAGGCGTGGATTTTTAAAGAATATTTTTTTCAAGGACCTATCTAAGGCGTGGATTTTTAAAGAATATTTTTTTCAAGGACCTATCTAAGGCGTGGATTTTTAAAGAATATTTTTTTCAAGGACCTATAGAAGGCGTGGATTTTTAAAGAATAGTTTTTTCAAGGACCTATAGAAGGCGTGGATTTTTTAAAGAATATTTTTTCAAGGACCTATAGAAGGCGTGGATTTTTTAAAGAATATTTTTTTCAAGGACCTATAGAAGGCGTGGATTTTTTAAGAATATTTTTTTTCAAGGACCTATACAAGGCGTGGATTTTTTAAAGAATATTTTTCCAACGACCTATACAAGGCGTGGATTTTTTAAAGAATATTTTTCCAACGACCTATACAAGGCGTGGATTTTTTAAAGAATATTTTTTCAAGGACCTATAGAAGGCGTGGATTTTTTAAAGAATATTTTTTTCAAAGACGTGTATTTTTTAAAGAATATTTTTTCAGGGGTCTACAGAAGGCGTGGATTTTTTAAAGAATATTTTTTCAGGTGTCTACAGAAGGCGTGGATTTTTTAAAGAATATTTTTTTCAAAGACGTGGATTTTTTAAAGAATATTTTTTCAAAGACCTATAGAAGGCGTGGATTTTTTAAAGAATATTTTTTTCAAAGACGTGGATTTTTTAAAGAATATTTTTTCAAAGACCTATAGAAGGCGTGGATTTTTTAAAGAATATTTTTTTCAAAGACGTGGATTTTTTAAAGAATATTTTTTCAAAGACCTATAGAAGGCGTGGATTTTTTAAAGAATATTTTTTCAGGGGTCTACAGAAGGCGTGGATTTTTTAAAGAATATTTTTTCAGGGGTCTACAGAAGGCGTGGATTTTTTAAAAAATATTTTTTCAGGGGTCTACAGAAGGCGTGGATTTTTTAAAGAATATTTTTTCAGGGGTCTACAGAAGGCGTGGATTTTTTAAAGAATATATTTTCAGGGGTCTACAGAAGGCGTGGATTTTTTAAAGAATATTTTTTCAGGGGTCTACAGAAGGCGTGGATTTTTTAAAGAATATTTTTTCAGGGGTCTACAGAAGGCGTGGATTTTTTTAAAGAATATATTTTCAGGGGTCTACAGAAGGCGTGGATTTTTTAAAGAATATTTTTTCAGGGGTCTACAGAAGGCGTGGATTTTTTAAAGAATATTTTTTCAGGGGTCTACAGAAGGCGTGGATTTTTTAAAGAATATTTTTTCAGGGGTCTACAGAAGGCGTGGATTTTTTAAAGAATATTTTTTCAGGGATCTACAGAAGGCGTGGATTTTTTAAAGAATATTTTTTCAGGGATCTACAGAAGGCGTGGATTTTTTAAAGAATATTTTTTCAGGGGTCTACAGAAGGCGTGGATTTTTTAAAGAATATTTTTTCAGGGGTCTACAGAAGGCGTGGATTTTTTAAAGAATATTTTTTCAGGGGTCTACAGAAGGCGTGGATTTTTTAAAGAATATTTTTTCAGGGGTCTACAGAAGGCGTGGATTTTTTAAAGAATATTTTTTCAGGGGTCTACAGAAGGCGTGGATTTTTTAAAGAATATTTTTTCAGGGGTCCACAGAAGGCGTGGATTTTTTAAAGAATATTTTTTCAGGGGTCTACAGAAGGCGTGGATTTTTTAAAGAATATTTTTTCAGGGGTCTACAGAAGGCGTGGATTTTTTAAAGAATATTTTTTCAGGGGTCTACAGAAGGCGTGGTTTTTTTAAAGAATATTTTTTCAGGGGTCTACAGAAGGCGTGGATTTTTTAAATAATATTTTTTCAGGGGTCTACAGAAGGCGTGGATTTTTTAAATAATATTTTTTCAGGGGTCTACAGAAGGCGTGGATTTTTTAAAGAATATTTTTTCAATGACCTATTTCATTTGCATATTATATGAGTGAATTTAAAAAAAAAATCGCAAAAAAAACAAAATGTTAGTGTTAAGAACCTCTTGTATGTCATTGTTCTTCGCACACGTTTTTTAATCATTTTATCGACCATATCTATATAGTCGCACTTTTTTGTGTTTAATTATAAAATCATATATAGGCTTGTGTAAATGTTTACACATTTTTATAAGGCTCTTGAATTGATATTGTTTACCCAAAATTTATTCAACAGTTTTTGGCGGAGGTTATTTTTCCATATCGCCTGAACAAATTTCGGAATTGTCATTCGAAGTTGTATGTTTTAATATTTTAAAAATATGACTATTTTAAATCATATATTATAAAAAATTACTTTATTTTACAAAAATTAAAATTTTTTGCTGAAATTTGATTTTTTTGGAAAACAAATCTCAATTTCCCTCAACACCTGTCTATCAGAACATCGTCTACATATATTTGCTCATATAAAAACTCACAAACACCCGCTCTTGCCATTATCTCGATAATAAAAACAAATTATTATTACGTCTAATATCAGTTGAAAAAAATTGAAAGACCCCAAACACGACAATCAGTTCTATGTTAGGTGCTGTCGATGAAACAGTTACCGGTCGGAAGGGGTTGAATGAAAATAAACATGAAACAGAAGTGAAAAAAATTAAGAAATTAAAAAAGAAATATATATATATATATATGAAAACTGAAATAATTTCAAAGTGGAATACAAGAAATTTGTAAAAAATATAGAAATTAAAAAAAAAATATATATTTATCTCACAGTTGAAAGCAATACGCGAACCATTAAAAAAGGGTGTAATATTGTGTGAATCTCAAAATAGAGAATACCATTTTAGAATAAGAAAATTTAAGACAAATAAAATAAATAAAAAATAAAAAAAATTGCTTCACTCTGGGCCGATCTTTTTTATCCCATCAAGGGTATAATTTTCCAAATATATTTTTCCTCTATAAGGTTATGGAGAACTCTAAGACAAATGGTGTAGTAAATAAAGCATTTTCCAGTGAAGAGGTATACATTGGCGCAATCAGTCGGAAATGTCATAAAAAAAATCTCAAAATATGTGTTGGCTATTTTAGATAATGGAAAATGGCCTCGGATTACTAAAGTCAGATATGGATATAAACAATACTAGGCCCAACGAAAATCCAAATAATCGAATAAATAATGCTAAAACCGTTCTAATATGTTTGATGCACATTTTAGTGGGCTCATATTTTGGATATGCCACGCATTATTATATAAGAGAATGTAAGTACGGAAATGAAATATTCGTTCAAAATCCACGCCTTTATTAGGTCCTTGATAAAAATATTCTTTAAAAAATCCACACCTTTATTAGGTCCTTCATAATTTTTATACCCACAGGGTATTATGTCTTTGTGCATATGCTTGTAACAGGCAAACGGAAACGAGATAGACACATGGTTCCTTTTGAGAATATGCATAGCATCACCTTTTAAGTCGATTTATGCATGTCCGTCCATCCGTCCGTCTGTCCGTGTTAAATTGTAACCAAAGTACAGGTCGCATTTTTGATTCGAATTGGATGAAATTTGTTACAGCTCATTTATTTGGCCCAAGGACAAACCCTATTGAAATTGGGAAAAATCGGTTCAGATTTAGATATAGCACCCATATATATTTTCGTCCGATTTAAGGTAATTAGTGCACGCAAGTCCCTGTATATCCTTCGATTTGCACGAAATTTGACATAGCGTACTGAATTAAGTCTAGAATGATGTGTGCTAAGTTTCGTATAAATCGTTTCCGATTTAGATATAGCTCTCATATATATTTTCGTCCGATTTTCGGCAAATAGTGCACCAAAGTCCCTTTATATCCTTCGATTTGCACGAAATTTGGCATAGCGTACTGAAGTGAGTCTAAAATTATGTGTGTTAAATTTCGTGAAAATCGTTTCCGATTTAGATATAGCTCCCATATATATTTTCGTCCGATTTAAGGTAAATGGTGCACGCAAGTCCCCGTATATCGGGTACTGAATTAAGTCTAGAACGATGTGTGCTAAGTTTCGTATAAATCGTTTCAGATTTAGATATAGCTCCCATATATAATTTCGTCCTATTTAAGGTAAATAATGCACCAACGTCCCTAAATATCAGTCGATTTGCACGAAATTTGGCACAGCGTACAGAATTGAGCCTAAAATGATGTGTGCTAAGTTTCGTGAAAATCGGTTCGGCTCCCATATACATTTTCGTCCGATTTCATATAAATGGTAAACGGAAGTCCCTATATAGCCTTCGATTTGCACGAACTTTGGCAGAGAATACTGAATTGAGTCTAGAATGATGTGTGGTGAGTTTCGTGAAAATCGGTTGATATTTAGATACAGCTCCATATATATTTTCGTCCGATTTAAGGTAAGTGGTGCACCAAAGTCCCTAAATATCTTTCGATTTGCACGAAATTTGACGTAGCGTACTGAATAATGTCTTGCTATATCTAAATAGCTTCATATATAAATTCGTCCGATTTAAGGTAAATGGTGCATCCAAGTCCCTATATATCCTTCAATTTGCACGAAATTTGGCATAGCGTATTGAAATAAGTCTAGAACGAAGTGTATAAAATTTCGTGAATGTCGGTTCAGATTTAGATATAGTTCCCATATATATTTTTGTCCGATTTTATGTAAATGGTGCACCCAAGTCCCTATATATCCATCGATTTGCACGAATTTTGGCATAGCGTACTGAATTGAGTCTAGAATGATGTGTGGTGAGTTTCGGGAAAATCGGTTCAGATTTATATATAGCTCCCATATATATTCTCGATTTTAATTTTTCAAGATTTTCAATGGGCTGGTAAATCAATACCAATGCTTTTTAAGGTTTGTAACTTTGCACATATATATTTGAATATTTAAAAGAGAAGAAAAATAATTTACAAAAAATTTGTTGTTATTGTTTTGTTGTTGTTTTTTGTAATTAAAGAAAAGTCCTTATTTTTTATGGCGGGCATGATAACTCCTCACTGGAACATCGGAATCTGAAAATTCCAACGGTGTTAGAAAGAGTACATTTCTGGCTCTCGTATGAACTAGGATTATTGACTTCGCTCAAAAATTAACAAAATGGCGGACCTTTGAAAATTTTTTTTTGGAAATTCGCCTATTTTTGACCACAAACTAAGTTAAAAAATAAGGAAGATCTTCACCGATTGGCTTAATCCTAGTTCATACGATAGCTATACACTCACAGAGAAAGGTGTAAACATTTGGAATGGATTGGGTTATTAGTTTTTGAGTTATCGTGCCCGCCATTCGCAAAAAAAAATGTTTAGAGAAAAACGCGTTTAAAGTTTAAGAAGCCCTTCAGCCGTCACTTGATGCTGACACAATAAATCGGCAGTATCTTCAAGAGTTCTTGAGATTTTCTCTTGAAATTTTGTAGGGACATTCATTAATTAGTGTAGATTAGAATTATATCAAAAAAATTGTTGACCCCGAGAATGGGGGGGTCCCCTTAAATTGTTTTCGATAAATTTGTCCCATGGTACGCAGACGACTCTAAATCTGCCGAAGACTCTTAATCTCATAGGTTGCAGAAAGACATGAGTATGTTCCTTCGATTGGCATGCAATTGTAAGGATACGTATGTGGTGAAGGTATCATATAGTCGTCTCAGTCTGACTTTACTACTTTCCTTACTGTTTTTTAAACCCTCGCCTATAATAGGTCGCTTGAAAAAATATTTTTAGATTTTAAATCCAGATTTAAAATATTATTCCTGAAAATATATTCTTAAAAAACCATATCTGCAATAGTCCATGAATAAATGCGATTAAACAAATCCATTTTATTTTATTCCAGATAATTCCCATAACTGCGAGGTGTCCTTGAATGAGGATCCTCTTTATTGTTCCATGCAATTTTGTAGTGGCTATGGATTCCTTGTCTTATTTATCGGATTTATTTACCTTGGCTTGATTTATTATAAAATCTTCAAACCCAGATTGGGTCGAAGATTACATCGGGATTATTTGATACCCCTGGATAGATGGTGGCTGGTTTTCAGCAGGAAAAGGTAAGGGATAAAAATTTAAAAAAATATATATATATTATTTTCATAATATTTTAATTATATTCTCAATATTTTTCAGATCAGTATCGGCAATATTAATTGGTATATTATGTATAGCTGTGGCCGCATTTCTCTATATCGAAACTAAGCAGCAACCCGAGAAATTAGCCTCTCTGGTGGCTCCCGGCTTCTTTATACTCTGTGGCTATGTCTTCTCCAGCGATCGCGCCGCCATCAAATGGCGTTTGGTCATCACTGGCATCGCGTGCCAATTTCTCCTGGGCATTATCTGCATACGCTGGAGTGTGGGTCGAAGTATATTCGAATGTATTGGTAATAGAACGGCGAACTTTCTATCCTTTGCCGATGAGGGTAGTCGTTTTGTATATGGCGATGATCTTATAGGACAGGGTGTTTTTGCCTTTGCCATTTTATCGGTGATATTTTTCTTTAGCTTCCTCATTTCAATTTTGTACTACATGGGTGTGATGCAATGGGTCGTAATGAAACTAGGGTGGGTACTGTCGCAAATTTTGGGCACCACCGTCTGCGAAAGTGTAACGGCAGCAGCTAATATTGTCCTATCCATGACTGAGAGTGCTGTGCTCATAAGGCCTTATGTAAAATTGCTGACAGCCAGTGAAATTCATTCGATTATGGTGTCGGGATTTGCCACGGTATCGGGTTCAGTTTTGGCAGCATATCTCAGCTTTGGAGCATCCCCAGCCCATTTGATAACTTCGAGTGTAATGGCTGCCCCCGCCTCACTGGCCATTTCGAAATTATATTTACCCGAAACAAAGGAGAGCAAGACGGCAGCGGATAATATACGATTAGAGAAATCGTAAGTGAATATAATTCCCAGAATTATTTTGGAAATTATTATTCAAAAAATAATGTTTACATTTCAGCCAGGACTCTTCATTGTTGGATGCCGCTGCCAATGGGGCCAACAATGCCGTACCCATTGTCCTGGGGATCATTGCAAATCTGGTGGCCTTTGTGGCTTTTATTGCCTTCCTCAATGCTGTGGTCAATTGGTTTGGCAGTTTAGTGGGTCTAGACTTTATTGACTTTGAATGGTTATTTTCGAAGCTGTTTATACCTCTGGCCTGGGGAATGGGAGTGCCGTGGAAGGATTGCGAAGAAGTGGCAAAAGTTGTGGCAGCCAAAACTATTGTCAATGAATTTGTGGCCTATGAACGTTTGGGAGGATTGATCAACAATAATGTCATAGGTGTGAGTATGCATTTTGCAAATACAGTGTGTCCCGAAAATGTTTTCAAATTAAAAACCAATAAGGAAAGTTCAAAAGTCGGACGGAGTCGACTATATGATACCCTTCACCACTTTGAATACATACAAGAGATGCTATTATATATACAATATCCTGTAGATAGAACAGACATATAATCTTTAGAGGACCATTGAAATGAATGGGGTTAAACTAAATGTGTGATCTACATAGATATTTGAACCCAATTAAAAACCCATCATTCTACACTGAATTCAGTACCCTACGCCAAATGTCGTGCAAATCGAAGGATATATAAGGACTTTGGTGCACCATTTACATAAAATCGGACGAAACTATATAAGGGAGCTATACCTAAATCTGAACCGATTTTCACGAAACTCATCACACAACATTCTACTCTCAATTCAGTACACTATGCCAACTTTCGTGCTAATCGAAATATATATAGGGACTTTGGTGCACCACTTCTATAAAATCGGAAAGATATATATATATATATATAAAGAAGCTATATCTAAATTTGAACGGATTTTCACGAAACTTGGCACACATCACTCCTGACGAAATTTAGTACGCTATGCCAAATTTTGTGCACATCGAAAGATATATAGGGATTTTGGGCACCTTTTATATAAAATCGGACGAAACTATATTAGGGAGCTATAGCTAAATCTGAAGCGATTTTCACGAAACTTAGCACACATCATTCTAGACTTAATTCAGTACGCTGTGTCAATTTTTGTGCAAATCGAAAGATATATAGGGACTTTGGTGCACCATTTCTATAAAATCGGAAAGAAATATATATGGGAGCTATATATAAATCTGACCCGATTTTCACGAAATTTAGCACACATCATTCTACACTCAATTCAGTACGCTATGCCGAATTTCGTGCAAATTGAAAGATATATAGGGAAAGAAATATATATGGGAGCTAAATCTAAATCTGAACCGATTTTTACGAAACTTGACACACATCATTCTGGACATAATTCAGTACCCTATACAAAATTTCGTGCAAATCGAAAGATATATAGGGACTTTGTTTCCCTATTTACCTAAAATAGGATGAAAATATATATGGGAGCTATATATAAATCTGACCCGATTTTGTCGAAACTTAGCACACGTCATTCTAGACTCTATGCAAAATTTCGCGCAAATTGAAAATATATAGTTACTTTGGTGCACCATTTACCTATAATCGGGAGCTATATCTAAATCCGAACCGATTTTTACGAAACTTAACACAGATCATTCTGCACTTAATTCAGTACCCTATGCCAAATGTCGTGCAAATCGAAAGACTTTGGTGCACTATTTACCTTAAATCGGACGAAAATATATATGGGAGCTATATCTAAATCTGAACCGATTTTCTCGAAACTTAGCACACATCATTCTGGACCTAATTCAGTACCCTATGCCAAATTTCGAGCAAATCGAAAGATATATATAAAGATATATATAGGGACTTTGGTGCCCTATTTACCTTAAATCGGATGAAAATATATATGGGAGCTACATATATAAATCTGAACCTATTTTCTCGAAACTTAGCATCATCATTCTAGACACCATTCAGTACTCTATGCCAAATTTCGTGCAAATCGAAATATATATAGGGACTTTGGTGTCCCATTTATCTTAAATCGGACAGAACTATATGTGGGAGCTATATCTAAATCCGTACCGATTTTCAATTTCAAAAGGGTTCGTCGTTGGGCCAAATAAGTGACTTGTGCCAAAATTTCATCCAAATCTGATCATAAATCAGACCTGTACTTTGTATACAATTTAACATCTACAGACGGACGGACGGACATGCATAAATCGACTCAGAAAGTGATTCTATGCATATACTCAAAAGGAACCATGTGTCTATCTCGTTTCCTTTTACCTGTTACAAACATATGCACAAAGACATAATGCCCTGTACCAGAGTGTGGTGAAGGGTATAAAAATCCACGCCTCAGATAGATGCTTAATTTTTTTTTCAAAAAATCCACGCCTCAGGTTAATTTAATCCGAATTCACATATCGCAATATTAAAAAATGTGTGAATTTAACTTGAAGACCCTTGGTCGTATACGTGTTGACGTACATCATACCCCATATATGGATATTCGGACACCATGTAGAATACTTGATGACATATATCATTCACCCCAATCTTTTACATTCCGAAAATAAAGAGAACAGAAAGGAGTTAGAAAGGAGTCAGACAGATGCTTAAAAAATATGTTTAAAAAAATAAACGCCTCAGATGGTCCTTCAGTTTAAAAAAAATCAGGTGGTCCTTAAAAATATTATTTAAAAAATCCATGCCTCAGATGGTCCTTAAAAATATCCTTTAAAAAATCCACGCCTCAGATGGTCCTTAAAAATATTCTTTAAAAAATCCCCGCCTCAGATGGTCCTTAAAAAATCCCCGCCTCAGATAGTCCTCGAAAGCCTTATAAAGAACCTCTCAAATTTATTGTGACAACATTTTCTGGACAAACTGTATCGTATTGATAAATTTTTTGGACTAAGAATTTTTATTAAATTTTCAGGCTCGCAGTGCCAGCATAGCAACATTTGCCATTTGTGGTTTTGCAAATCCCAGTTCCATGGGTATGATGATTGGAATTCTGGGCACCATGGCTCCCAAAAGTCGAGGCCTCATAACATCGGTGGCTTTTCGAGCGTTTGTTGTGGGCAGTATTGTGTGTTTTGTGTCGGCGAGCTTTGCCGGTAAGTTTTTTAGAGAAAGAAGTCCGACTGAGGACTGGAAGAACTTCTTCCTTAAAAAAAAACAGAGTCCGACTGATGTCGGGATTTTTTTCTATAGAAGAAAAGTTTAACTGAGTTAGGGACGATTTTTGTCAAGAAAAAAATTAATTCAAAATCAGACGATATTTTTTTGCAGAAAATAATTAATTGTTTTTGTTATTTTAGGCATTCTAATGCAGGAAGAGGAAGAGAGACGAGTTTATGAGAGGATCCTAAGTATGAACCAGTTAAAAAACATTACAATTGGAGTGATTAAGACATAATAAAGATACTTACATTAATTATACTCACACTTTCAAAAATAAATTATTTCAAATATTTTAATTAAATTTACTCTCAGTTTTTTCTTTTATTTTCCTTTTTTTTGTTGTTCATGTATTTAAAAATGAATTTATTTCAAAATATTTCTTGTTCGTTTTTATTAAATTTTATTCTATATACTTAACATAATTTTACATTTCATTTCAGTTTTTTTTTATAATTCACTTTGTGTTGTAATTTAAATATTTTTTTGTTTTTGTTTCAAAATTTATCGTTAGCCTATAAAAACAATTTTTTGTTGTATTCCTTGTTAACATAGTTTTTTGTTGTAGTTGTAATTTATTACAGTTGTCATCATTTTATCGTTTAGTAGTTCGAAATCAAAGTTTAATGAATTCAAAAGAATAACCAAATAAAAAAAAATCGGAATATTTTCCAAATGATTTGAAGGTCTGTTCTATCCTTCGTTGTTTGTTTGTATGTGTGTGTCTCTAAGAATTGTTGGCATATTTAATACCAATTTTTTTGGTTGTTGTTTTTTTGAAATTAAAATTCCTTTAATTTTTTTTTGTTCGTCTAGAATAAAAAAGAATCAATATTTACTTTATACATACATAGGTTGTTTTTTAGTTTGTTGTTCATTTTCTTTAAATATATTTGTTTTTAAAATATGTACACAATTCAGGGATTTTGTTTAAATTTTGTATATGTTGTTGTTGTTTGTTTTTAGATTTTGCACGATATGCTCCCCATTTGGTTTGTATTTTAGATTTATGTGTGTATGTTTGTGTTTTTTATAATAATAACATGTGTCTATATATCAATGTATTGAACATTTCAAAAAAGTATTTTTTTCAATGGAAAAAGGAAAAGAAATTGACGCCTTAAATAGTCATTGCCTTGGGTAGCCCCTGAAATTAAAAAATCTTCGCCATAGATAGCCCCTGAAAAAAATTAAAAAATCTTCGCCATAGATAGACCCTGAAAAAAAAAATAAACATTCTACGCCTTCGAAGCCTTGAAAAAAATATTCTTTAAAAAATCCACGACTTCTACAGGTCCTTGAAAAAATATTCTTTAAAAAATCCACGACTTCTACAGGTCCTTGAAAAAATATTCTTTAAAAAATCCACGACTTCTACAGAGCCTTGAAAAATATTCTTTAAAAAATCCACACCTTCTATAGGTCCCTGAAAAATATTCTTTAAAAAATCCACGCCTTTTACAGGTCCTTGAAAAAATATTCTTTAAAAAATCCACGACTTCTACAGGTCCTTGAAAAAATATTCTTTAAAAAATCCACGACTTCTACAGGTCCTTGAAAAAATATTCTTTAAAAAATCCACGACTTCTACAGGTCCTTGAAAACATATTCTTTAAAAAATCCACACCTTCTATAGGTCCCTGAAAAATATTCTTTAAAAAATCCACGACTTCTACAGGTCCTTGAAAAAATATTCTTTAAAAAATCCACGACTTCTACAGGTCCTTGAAAAAATATTCTTTAAAAAATCCACACCTTCTATAGGTCCTTAACAAAATATTCTTTAAAAAAAACAAGCCTCTGGTAGGCCTTGAAACAAAATATTCTTTAAAAAACCCACGCCTTGAGGAGACCCTGAAAAATATTCTTTAAAAAATCCAGGCCTTATATAAGGCCTTGAAAAATATTTTTTAAAAAATCCACGCCTTATATAAGGCCGTGAAAAAATATTCTTTAAAAAATCCAGGCCTTATATAAGGCCTTGAAAAAATATTTTTTAAAAAATCCACGCCTTATATAAGGCCTTGAAAAAATATTCTTTAAAAAATCCAGGCCTTATATAAGGCCTTGAAAAATATTTTTTAAAAAATCCACGCCTTATATAAGGCCTTGAAAAAGTCCACGGCTTTTGGATGGAGGTTTGAAAAAATATTCTTTAAAAAATCCACGCCTTATATGAGGCCTTGAAAAAATATTCTTTAAAAAATCCACGCCTTATATGAGGCCTTGAAAAAATATTCTTTAAAAAATCCACGCCTTATATAAAAAGGCCTTGAAAAAATATTCTTTAAAAAATCCACGCCTTATATGAGGCCTTGAAAAAATATTCTTTAAAAAATCCACGCCTTATATGAGGCCTTGAAAAAATATTCTTTAAAAAATCCACGCCTTATATGAGGCCTTGAAAAAATATTCTTTAAAAAATCCACGCCTTATATGAGGCTTTAAAAAAATTTTCTTTAAAAAATATTCTTTAAAAAATCCACGCCTTATAAAAGGCCTTGAACAAATATTCTTTAAAAAATCCACGCCTTATACAAGGCCTTGAAAAATATTCTTTAAAAAATCCACGCCTTATACAAGGCCTTGAAAAATATTCTTTAAAAAATCCACGCCTTATACAAGGCCTTGAAAAAATATTCTTTAAAAAATCCACGCCTTATATAAGGCCTTGAAAAAATATTCTTTAAAAAATCAACGCCTTATATAAGGCCCTGAAAAAATATTCTTTAAAAAATCCACGCCTTGTGGATGGAGGTTTGAAAAAATATTCTTTAAAAAAATCCACGCCTTATATAAGGCCTTGAAAAAATATTCTTTAAAAAATCCACGCCTTATATAAGGCCTTGAAAAAATATTCTTTAAAAAATCCACCCTTGTGGAAGGAGGCTTGAAAAAATATTCTTTAAAAAATCCACGCCTTCTATAGGTCCTTAACAAAATATTCTTTAAAAAATCCACGCCTTATATAAGGCCTTGAAAAATATTTTTTAAAAAATCCACGCCTTATATAAGGCCGTGAAAAAATATTCTTGAAAAAATCCACGCCTTATATAAGGCCTTAAAAAATATTCTTTAAAAAATCCACGCCTTATATAAGGCCTTGAAAAAATATTCTTTAAAAAATCCACGCCTTATATAAGGCCTTGAAAAAATATTCTTTAAAAAATCCACGCCTTATATAAGGCCTTGAAAAATATTTTTTAAAAAATCCACGCCTTATATAAGGCCTTGAAAAAATATTCTTTAAAAAATCCACGCCTTATATAAGGCCTTGAAAAAATATTCTTTAAAAAATCCACGCCTTATATAAGGCCTTGAAAAAATATTCTTTAAAAAATCCACGCCTTATATAAGGCCTTGAAAAAATATTCTTTAAAAAATCCACGCCTTATATAAGGCCTTGAAAAAATATTCTTTAAAAAATCCACTCCTTGTGGAAGGCTTGAAAAACTATTCTTTAAAAAGTCCACTCCTCGTGGAAGGCTTGAAAAACTATTCTTTAAAAAGACCACGCCTTGTGGAAGGCTTGAAAAAAATATTATTTAAAGGGTACAATGAATATTCGCCTTATATTGCTTGAAAAATAAATAAAAACCAGCCTTATACAAGGAAAGTTCTTTAAAAAATCCACGCCTTATACAAGGCCTTGAAAAATATTCTTTAAAAAATACCCTTCACCACTTAGAACAGACACATAATCTTTAGAGGACCATTGAAATGGAATGGGGCGAAACTAAATGTGTGATCTACATAGATATTTGAACCAAGTAAAGAACTCAATGCTGTGTATGCCAATCATATTCTTTTGTGTACCATTTGTATGAAATCGAGCAAAATAATGAATGTGGAGCTATATATACATCTGGACCTAATTGAGCAACCGTGGCATATACATACCGTTTGGTATGCTGCAGCAAAGGGCACTGTTCACAATTTTATCTCGTGTATATGGAACAGACGTAGGCTCCTGGGTGCACCATTTACCAAAAACCGATTTTCACAAAACGTCGTATACAACATTAATAAGGACCTATCTAAATACGTTGTGCAAAATCCGTGGGAGTTTGGTGCCACATTTACCAAAAAAATCGGTATAGGGGAGCTATATCTAAATCTGAAGCGATTTTATCAAATCTTGGTATAAATCAATGTGGACATATTTTAATACGATCTGCAAAATTTTGTCTCAATCGCAAAAATTATGGAAAGTTTTGTGCACCATTTACAAAAAATCGGACGAAACTATATATGTACCGATTTCAACAAAACTTCATAAATATCAAACAGGATTTAATTCAGTACTCTGTGCAAAATTTTGTCTCAATCGGAAAAATATTGGAATTTTGGTGCATCATTTATATAAAATTAGTCGAAACTATATATGGGAGCTATATCTACATCTGAACCGATTTCAACAAAACTTCATGTACATAATTCAGTACGCTGTGCAAATGTTGTCTCAATCGGACAAAAATTACGAGTTTGGTTCACAATTTACCTAAAATCGGACGAAATTATAAATGGGAGCTATCTTAACCGATTACCATAAATTTCGCACACACCAAAATGGTCTTAATCTAGTACCCTGTGCAAAATGTTGTCTCAATCGGACCAATATTGGCAGTATGGTGCTCCATTTACATAAAATCGGACGAAACTCTATATGGGAGCTATATCTAAATCTGAACAGATTCTAACAAAATTTCGTATACATAAGTATGGACCTGATTCAGTGCGCTGTGAAAAATTTTTTTCAATCAAAAAATTTTGGAAATTTGGTGCACCATTTATCTAAAATCGGATGAAACTATATATGGGAGCTGTATCTAAAACTGAACCGATTTCTTCAATTTCAATAGGGTTCGTCCTTGGTCCAAATAAATGAGCTGTACAAAATTTCATCCAATTCGAATCAAAAATGCGACCTGTACACAAAAATACATGGACGGACGGACGGACAGACGAACGGATAGACAGTCGGACATGCATAAATCGACTCAGAAAGTGATTCTATGCATATGCTCAAAAGGAACCATGGGTCTATCTCGATTCCTTTTGCCTGTTACAAACATATGCACAAAGACATAATGAAGGGTATAATGAATAAAAATTTGTTTACAAAATGACCGCAGATGTGCTCCAAACGATACCATTCAAATCTGAATGAAAACGGCCTTAAATTGTATGAAAATTGCGATTTTTATTATTTTTTTGCGACTTCAGCCATTGCTTTGCGATTTCCAATCAGGTGTATCAATAGATGTATATTAAAGAAAATTAGAAATTCAAAGCATACTTTTAGGCGCACATAAGTTTTTTGTTTATCTTTTATTTGAAACCAATACAAAATGTGTGATTTTTCATTACTAGGAGGTAATAGACGACCAGCAGCGCACGGTAGGTATATTTCGGAACATTGTTGAATTCAAATGCAAATAACTCAGCGAAAACGTAGCCGATTTTCATAAAATTTTCACCAATGGTTCGAGGGAATTGTAAAGTTTTATATGCATATTTAAATATACATATATATAAACTTCTGATATATGAGATAAAATTGACAATGAAAGTTAAAAAATATATTTAAAATTAATTTGGTTTTTTGGGGTACTCAAGGGTTAAAATATCGGATGTTCTTACTGGTATTCTCATGCCATTCAGATTTGTCTAAACAGTAGTCATTCTTTATGGGTCGATTGCGGATGGTAACCATAGTTTAGTGGAGTTGCCATTTGCCAAATTTGAATTATGGATGGCAACTGTTGTCAACTTCAGTTGTTTCAAATTGAATTCTTCGGCAACCATTTATTTCTGGTTGCTGTTTAGTCGTGTTTAGCAATAAGGACTGAAATTTGTAGCCTCCCATAATGGTTAAAATTACTACACAAGAATAATTTGAGGTCTTAATTGCCCGGATGAAAACTCACCCAAATGTCAAACAAAAGCCACTGCCGATGATGTCTGGAAGGCCATTTCAGAGGACCCTAACTGACAGAGAATGACAGAGAGTGGCGAACATCTTCTTTTGGGCCCATGATATGTACGTGTCTGTCATTTATACATCAACACCCGGGAACTTTGTTTTCGAATAAAACCAGTAAGGAAAGTTGTAAAGTCGGACGGGGCCGACTATATGATACCCTTCACCACTTTAGGTATATTCAACAGATGAATCCTAACAGACGTGGCATTTTTAAAGAAACAGTAAAATGAAATTGGATCCATAAACATGTCATTCTGCAAACGATACTAAATTTTTCATTTGGTCAGATATAGAAGCTATATCTAAATCTGAACCGATTTTTACGAAACTAAACACACATCATTCTAGACCTAATTCATTACGCTGTGCTAAATTTCGTGCAAACCGAAAGATATTAAGGGACTTTGGTACACTATTTACATTAAATCGGACGAAAATATATATGGGATCTATATCTAACTCTGGACCGATTTTCATTCTAGACCTACATTGAATCGGGCGAACCTATATATGGGAGCTATATCTAAATCTGAACCGATTTTCATGAAACTCAGTACACATCATTTTAGGCCTAATTCATTACGCTGTGCCAAATTTCGTGCAAATTGAAATATAAATAGGGACTTTGGTGGACCATTTACATTGAATCGGGTGAACCTATATATGGGAGCTATATCTAAATCTGAACCGATTTTCATGAAACTCAGCTCACATAATTTTAGGCCTAATTCATTACGCTGTGCCAAATTTCGTGCAAATCGAAAGTTATATAGGGACTTTGGTGCACCATTTATATAAAATCGGACGAAACTATATATGGGAGCTATATCTAAATCTGAACCGATTTTCATGAAACTCAGCACACATCATTCTAGGCCTAATTCATTACGCTGTGCCAAATTTCGTGCAAATCGAAAGATATATAGGGACTTTGGTGCACCATTTATATAAAATCGGACGAAACTATATATGGGAGCTATATCTAAATCTCAACCGATTTTCATGAAACTCAGCACACATCATTCTAGGCCTAATTCATTACGCTGTGCCAAATTTCGTGCAAATCGAAAGATATATAGGGACTTTGGTGCACCATTTATATAAAATCGGACGAAACTATATATGGGAGCTATATCTAAATCTGAACCGATTTTCATGAAACTCAGCACACATCATTCTGGGCCTAATTCATTACGATTTGCCAAATTTCGGAAGATTCGGAAGATATATAGGGACTTTTTACATTAAATCGGACGAATATATATATGGGAGCTATATCTAAATCTGAACCGATTTTTCCCAATTTCAATAGGGTTCGTCCTTGGGCCAAATAAGTGACATATGCCAAATTTCATTCAAATCGGATTATAAATGCGACCTGTACTTTGTTCACAAATGTACATGGACGGACGGACAGACGGACATGCGTAAATCGACTCAGAAAGTGATTCTATGCATATTCTCAAAAGGAACCATGTGTCTATCTCGTTTCCTTTTGCCTGTTACAAAGACATAATACCCTGTACCACAGTGTGGTGAAGGGTATAAAAATGTTAATTCTATCCAAATTTTACACACTTTTTCCTATATTAGACGGACAACATCGGTCAAAACCACCGACATTGTGCGTTGAGCCATGCCAAGATTGAAGTCATTGCCATGTGACTTTTGAAAACGTCTTCTTCTAGTATATCCAAACTTCTAGGCAGAATTTTTAACATTTTCAAAATTATGTTCAATAAAAAAAAAATATACAACTGACACAAAAATTCTTTATTTGTACATTGCCCTCCCTCTCTCTCTCTCTCCATCCATCCTTCTGTCTTACAACTAAATCTCCCTGATTACTTTTCAAGTATTTTTTTCTTAACCTTTCATTTAGGCAACATTTTTTGTTCATTTCAGCGTGAGGTACATTCGACTCCTTGTAACGTTTTTTTTTTGTCTAAAATTTGGGGAAAAATATATGTTATTAAAATTTTATTAATTATTCTAATTCAAAATGTTTGTTTGTATACATAAATACATATAATTTTTTGCTCTCTCATTTATAACATATAATAGAGATTACTCTTAAATTTTTTTTATATATAGAAAGATAGATTTTTTTGATTAAAAATAAAAAATATAATTTTTATAAAACCATAGTATTTGTTGTTTGTTCTTATTATCTTAGTGAAGCTACAATTTTTTTAGAGACTACTTTAGATCAAAAAAGAATTTTAAGTAGAGATGATGATACTTTCTAAAATAACCTAAAGGAAATTAAATTTAGATTATTTATTTATATATATTATTTATTTAAAAATATAACTAATTTCTATAGTTGTTGTTTATTTTAATAGATAATTTTTTAAAAATTACTTTTGAGGCACATTTTCTTATATATTTTTGTTTTACTTTGTTTAACATACGTTACTTATTTTTCTCTCTTAATATTTAATTTATTTTTTATTTATTTTTTTTGTATTTTTTTATAATGGAAAATATTTGTTTTTATATTTTTAAAAATATATGTGTTATGTTTACTTAAGTCTTAGAATTTAAATTTAATGTTAACATTCACATTTAGTTGAAGAAAAGAAAAAAATAATAATTTTTATTTTATTGGCAAACATTTCTGAAATTAATAAAAAAGAAAAAAAAATCACAAATTTCCAACGATTTTTTTTTTTCTAAATGAAAAATCATTAAAAAGATTTCAATTCCTATTTCAAATTAATAATTATAATTTTTTTATCATTACAAAAAAATTAAAGCAACTTATTTTCCTTGGCATTCACATTTCCGATATTTTCATTAAGAATTGGTTAGGTAATGTTTTTTTTTGTTCTCTTCCTGCTCTCTCCCCTTTGACCACATAATGTTTAACATTTTGCGACAAACGTTCGATTTCTTTGAAACCAATGGAAATCCGCCGCAAGGGATTTCCTTCTAAATCAATTTTTACAATGTGTTCTGTTTATTATTTTCGATGGACTTGGAAGCGGTTATTGGTCTTGGCCTTGGACGTTTTTTCGGCTGCAGTGAATACAAGCGGCCACTGCGTGGTGGTCGGGCATGTTGTTCGGTTAGTGCACTGTTTTGTGTTAATTGGTAACTGGAAAGAAAAGGAGTAACACAAATGTGAGAAAACAACAAGAGAAAAGTCAATTAGTTGGTGAAGAATTTTTCCGATACAAAACAAAAAAAGAAATAGGGAGATTGAAAAAAGCTCACCAACGATTTTTTTCTATAGAAAAAAAGCTCACCAAAATTTGTTTCTATAGAAAAAAGCTCACCAACAATTTTTTTCTATAAAAAAAAGCTCACCAACAATTTTTTTCTATAGAAAAAAAGCTCACAAACAATTTTTTCCTATAGAAAAAGCTCACCAACGAATTTTTTCTATGGAAAACAATTCACCAACGATTTTTTTCTATAGAAAAAAATTCACCAACGATTTTTTTCTATAGAAAAAAATTCACCAACGATTTTTTCTATAGAAAAAAATTCACCAACGATTTTTTTCTATAGAAAAAAATTCACCAACGATTTTTTTCTATAGAAAAAAATTCACCAACGATTTTTTTCTATAGAAAAAAATTCACAAACGATTTTTTTCCATAGAAAAAAAATCGTCGGACCTCAGTTCCGATTTTTTTCCATAGAAAAAAAATCGTCAGCCCAGCTGAGGTGTTTTTTTCCATAGAAAAAAATTCGTCAGCCCAGCTGAGGTGTTTTTTTCCATAGAAAAAAAAATTCGTCAGCCCAGCTGAGGTGTTTTTTTCCATAGAAAAAAAAATTCGTCAGCCCAGCTGAGGTGTTTTTTTCCATAGAAAAAAAAACTCACCAACAATTTTTTTCTATAGAAAAAAACTCACCAACGATTTTTTTCTTATTGGGAAATATATAGTTTTTCCTCTTCTTATTATCGGAAAGATTTCCCCGTATATATCTGCCTTTTAAGCGGAACGCACAACGATATTCAATTTTATAGAATATTTATTAAGAAACAAATTGTTGTTAACAAATTGAAATTCAGAACAAGACAATTTATACAATTAAATTGTTTGATATTTTCAAACTAGAAAATCACAAAGCTTTTCAAAGAAGAATATGTTTGTTGAAATAAATTAAAACAAAGTATTTTCAAACAAAGTGTTTTTCCAACATTTCTATAGAAAAAAACTCACCAACGATTTTTTTCTATAGAAAAAAACTCACCAACGATTTTTTTCTATAGAAAAAAACTCACCAACGATTTTTTTCTATAGAAAAAAAACTCACCAACGTTTTTTTCTATAGAAAAAAAACTCACCGACGATTTTTTTATAGAAAAAAAACTCACCAACGGTTTTTTTCTATAGAAAAAAGTTCAGCAATGAGTTTTTTCTATAGAAAAAATCACACCAACGATTTTTTTCTATAGAAAAAATCACACCAACGATTTTTTTCTATAGAAAAAAACTCACCAACGATTTTTTTCTATAGAAAAAAACTCACCAACGATTTTTTTCTATAGAAAAAAACTCACCAACGATTTTTTTCTATAGAAAAAAACTCACCAACGATTTTTTTCTATAGAAAAAAAACTCACCAACGTTTTTTTCTATAGAAAAAAAACTCACCAACGTTTTTTTCTATAGAAAAAAAACTCACCTACGATATTTTTATAGAAAAAAAACTCACCAACGATTTTTTTCTATAGAAAAAAAAACTCACCAACGATTTTTTTCTGTAGAAAAAAACTCACCAACGATTTTTTTCTATAGAAAAAAAACTCACCAACGTTTTTTTCTATAGAAAAAAAACTCACCTACGATTTTTTTATAGAAAAAAAACTCACCAACGGTTTTTTTCTATAGAAAAAAGTTCAGCAATGAGTTTTTTCTATAGAAAAAATCACACCAATGATTTTTTTCTAGAGAAAAAATCACATCAATGATTTTTTTCTAGAGAAAAAATCACATCAATGACTTTTTTTCTAGAGAAAAAATCACATCAATGATTTTTTTCTAGAGACAAAAAGCTTTTTTTCAATGATTTTTTTCTATAGAAAAAAGCTTACCAGAAAAAAACTCACCAATGATTTTTTTCTATAGAAAAAAACTCACCAACGGTTTTTTCTATAGAAACAACCTCACCAACGGGTTTTTTCTATAGAAAAAAGCTCACCAATGACTTTTCCTGTAGAAAAAAGCTCACCAATAATTTTTTTCTATAAAAAAATTCACCAATAATTTTTTCTATAGAATAAATTTTTACCAACTTTTTTTCTATTTTTTCCGAATAGAAAAAAGCACCAATGATTTTTCCGAATAGAAAAAAAACACCAATGATTTTTTTCCGAATAGAAAAAAAAACACCAAAATTTTTTTTGTATAGAAAAAAGCTTAAGAAAAAAATAAAAAAAAGCTCAAGTGCCCACTTACTTCAGTTCCAGCTTCGCCAAACGTTGTTTCATTTTAGCCTGACTGGCCGTATACTCGGCCAGTAGACGTGCCAGACGCATATTGAGATTTTCCACCGAAACTTCTAACTTTTCAATGCCACTCTCTATGGTGTCATGGACGCGTTGGGAATCTACAAAAAATAAAAACGACGAAGTGAGGAAACCCCACAGACAAAAACACACACACGCACACACATTAATTTAAACATGACAAGGGGAAATAAAAAAAAAAACTTCCACTTACCCGCAAAAACTTGCTCATCCAGCAAACCATCTTTACGCAACAGCTGACAACCCCTTTCCGTCAGGGTGGCCCTTGCCTCTGGGTAGTCGGCCAGTGTTTCCCACAAATCACGTTTAGCCAAACAGAATAAATCGGAATAGCCTAAGGAACGAACATTGGCAGTACGTCTATTACCCGTACGATTGCCAGCAATCTCCAGTACAGACACTTCACCGAATACCGAACCAGCACCAAGGGTGGCAAAGACGGTAACACCATCATCGGCCACCACCGACAATTTACCACGTTTCACAATGTACATCTCTTTGCCGACATCACCTTTGCGGCAAATGTAATCACCCGGACTGAATACCTGCAGTTTGAGCTTCAACACCAAAGCCTCTAGGAGGCCAGGTTCAGTGTCATGGAAAATACGAACTTGTCTCAGGGTGTCCATGTGCACTTGAATGGCAATTTCTGCTTTCAGTTTGTCCGGCAGTGCGGCAAGAACACGTTCCTCATCGAGGGCACCACTCTGTGACCAGGTATAGGCAAACCATCGTATGACGCGTGCCTCCAACTCATGGCCCACTTTGCGGAAGGCCATATATTGTTTAACGCCGTCCATGCGATTTTGGAATTCGACACGGGCCACATTCATATTGGAAATCATGGAACCGATGTTACCTGTGAGGGGAAGGAGAAAAAATTTATAAATAAACAATTTTCTATTGGAAAATAAAAATGTTGAAAAAATATTTAAAAAAAAAACTCCTCTCCTAAAAAATTTAAGTCTGCATTACCCCTCATCTTGGGATGGAAGGATGTCACCCCAACAAAAAGTATAACAAATGGTGATTGAAGAAAATCTTAAAAGCCTGTCGTCGTCATTGGCACACGCGTTGATAATTAATGCTTCTGCCATTAACCACTCCACACATACACACGCACACACACATACAAAATAGTATTAATGACAATAATGTCTTTATGTTCGAACGTCCGGTTAGGTCATAATGGCCGTTTAGATGGCTCATAACAGGCTACTTGACAATAATTCCAAGAGTAAGTAAACAAATTAAAAGGGAGCCGACTCACACTATCACGCAAATGCAGGATGACAAACAGGAAGAGAAGGATATGTAAAAGGGACATCAATATCATTATTATTATTGTTGTAGTTGCTTTGGTTATAACCACCATTATTAGCCATGTTGTCATGTTTGGCAATGCAATCATTCTTTAGTTTAGCCATTGCTCGTTGTTGTCTACTTTTTTATTGTCATTGTCTTGCGTTTTTTTTGTGTCTCTATGCTTTGTTCTTTGCTCTCTTTCAATCTAATTAATATTTTAACGCTAACAAAGAAACAAACGTTTTCCAATCCTCCTCCGATACAAACAATATTGGATATTGTTCGCCTCCGGTCTGAGACAGAATAGTCGCAACAGAATCTATGGATAATTGCTGGCATTTTTTGTGGGTGTTAGGGGAGGTGGTGATGGTCGTGGCAGTTATGCACGAATTGTTGCCATTGTGTCGATTAAATTGTGCAGGAAGTTTTCTTTTTTTGTTTTGAAGTGTGACTTTTAGTTTAAGTAATGAAATTGATGCCATAAATTTATGGATAATATTTTTTTATAACCCTAAAGAGTTTGTAAACGTGTATATGAATTAATAGCGGTAATTCAATTAGGATGAAATAGCGTTTTACAACATCTCGATTTTTATGACAAATGACGTCCTCTTCATTTTAAGTTCCCCTGTGAGAAAGGAGTATTTTCAAGGGCTAATATAAGCAAGGACATTCACAGAAGGCGTGGATTTTTAAAAATATTTTTTTTGAAGATTTCACTGAAGGCTTGGATTTTTAAAAATTATTTTTAAGAAGATTCTTAGGCCTGGAAAAAATATTCTTTAAAAATTCTACTACATCCCTTTAAAAAATGAGACCTCTACAGGTCATGAAAAAATAGTCTTAAAAAAATGTACGCCTCTACAGGCCATAAAAAATATGCTTTAAAGAATCTATGCCTTGGATCCAGGAAAAAATATGCTTTAAAGAATCTATGCCTTGGATCCAGGAAAAAATATTCTTTAAAAAATCTACGCCTTATTGGGGTCCTGGAAAATTTTTCTTTAAAAAATCTACGCCTTATATAGGTCCTGACAAAAATATTCTTTAAAGAACATTTTCTTTAAAAAATCTATGCCTTATATAGGTCCTGTCAGAAATATTCTTTAAAAATCTACGCCTTATATAGGTCCTGTCAAAAATATTCTTTAAAAATCTACGCCTTATATAGGTCCTGACAAAAATATGCTTTAAAGAACATTTTCTTTTAAATTATTGGGGTCCTGGAAAATTTTTCTTTAAAAACTCTACTCCTTATTGGGGTCCTGGAAAAATTTTCTTTAAAAAATCTACGCCTTATTGGTGTCCTGGAAAATTATTCTTTAAAAAATCTACGCCTTATTGGCGTCCTGGAAAATTTTTTTTTAAAAAATCTACGCCTTATTGGCGTCCAGGAAAATATTCATTAAAAAATCTACGCCTTGTAAAGGTCCTGGGAAGAATATTCTTTAAAAAATTTACGCCATATTACAGCCTTGAAACCCATGAAAAAATATGCTTTAAAGAATCTATGCCTTGGATCCAGGGTCCTGGAAATTTTTTCTTTAATAAATCTACGCCTTATTTGGGTCCAGGAAAAAAATATTCATTAAAAAATCTACGTCTTGTATACATCCTATACTTAATTCAGCAAAAAATATATATCGCCTTGAAACCAGCAATTGCATAAAATCGGATGAAAATATATATGTGAGCTATATCCACTTTGGGTATATTTACAAATTTGCACATATCATTCTAGACTTACGTTTTTGTTATATATCAAAATTATGCAAATGAAAAGATTTGAGGGACTTTGGTGCACCAATTATATAAATTTATATTACTTCAGTACTTTCACGAAGCTCAGCAACATAATTCTAACCTTAATTCAGTAACCTATACCGAAATTCGTGCAAATCGAAAGATATATAGGGTCTTTGGTGCACCAAATACATAAAATCAGACGAAAAAATATATGGGAGCTATATCTAAATCTGAACCGATTTTCACGAAACTTTGCACACATCATTCCAGACGCAATTCAATAGCTATGCTAAATTTCGTGCAAATCGAAAGATATATAGGGTCTTTGGCACACCATTTACCTTAAATCGGTCGAAAATATATATGGGAGCTATATCTAAATCTGAACCGATTTTCGGAAAACTTAACACACATCATTCTTGACCTAATTCATTACGTTGTGACAAATTTCGTGCAAATCGAGAGATATATAGGGTCTTTTGTACACCATTTAACTAAAATCGTACGAACATATATATGGGAGCTATATCTAAATCTGAACCGATTTTCACGAAACTTTTCATACATCATTCTAGACGCAATTCAGTACGCTATGTCAAATTTCGTGCAAATCGAAAGATATATAGGGTCTTTGGTACACCATTTACCTTAAATCGGACGAAGATATATATGGGAGATATATGTAAACCTGAACCGATTTTCACGAAACTTTGCACACATCATTCTAGACCTAATTCATTACGTTGTACCAAATTTCGTGCAAATCGAAAGATATATAAGGACTTTGGTGCATCATTTACATTAAATCGGACGAAAATAAATATGGGAGCTTTATCTATATCTGAACCGATTTTCTCCAATTTCAATAGGGTTCGTCCTTGGGCCAAATAAGTGACTTGTGCCAAATTTTATTCGGATCATAATTGGGCCAAATAAGTGACTTGTGCCAAATTTTATTCGGATCATAAATGCGACATGTACTTAGTTTATAATTTAACATGGACAGACAGACGGACGGACGGATGGACGGACATGCATAAATCGACTTAGAAAGTGATTCTATCCATATTCTCAAAAGGAACCATGTGTCCTCTCGTTTCCTTTTGCCTGTTACAAACATATGCACAAAGCCATATTACTCTGTACCAGGGACGTACGCAGAGAAGAAGGCTTATTAGAGCCTTGAAAAAATATTCCTTAAAAATCTACGGCTTGTTAGAGCCTTGAAAAAATATTCTTTAAAAAATCAACGCCTTACTAGAGTCTTGAAAAAATATTTTTTAAAAAATCCACGCCTTGTGTAAGGCTTGAAAATATATTCTTTAAAATTCAACGGCTTGTTAGAGCATTGAAAAAATATTCTTTAAAAAATCAACGCCTTATTGGGATCCTTGAAAAAACATTTTCATAAAATCGTCGCCTCTGTTGGTCCATAAAAAATTTATTTTAAACATTTAGTTTAAATTCTCCTCCAAACAAAACCATCACGAAAACAAACAAATTTCAAACAACCACACACATGTCCCTCCAAAAAAAAAAAAAAATATGCAATAGAGACCCCATCCAACAAAATACACAAAACTTACCCACAATGGTGGCAAATATCAGAACACCAGCCAAAAAGTCAGCAACCACAAACAAATATTCCGCATCATTTTCCGGTGTTGGAGTTTCGCCAATTGTCGTCAATGTCAGTGTTGACCAATAGAAACTGTAAATGTATTGACGCTGCAACGTACTGTTCCGCTCGCCATGCAGATTGTAGACCCAATTGTCGGTACCAAAACCCAAAGCATAACTGATGACGAAATACATACAGGCATTCCAATGGATGAGGACCAAAATGGCCAACACGACTTTACAAATACGAAAGGCATTCGGATAACTGGTGGCAGTTTCGGTGCGATCAAACCATTCCCACATGCGTGGCAGCCGGAGGAGACGATTGAGGCGTACGATCACAGAACAGGGCAGCAGTGTGGGACCACATTTACTCGGTGACCACCATATGTAGGAGATATCCGTGGGCAGCATTGACAGCACATCGATGTACCAGCCTTTGTTGGAGAAATAGTGTCGTCTCAGTTTGTAGGCATCACGCACCAGCAGTCCCTGGTCCAAGTAGCCTAGAGGGGGAGGGAAAATGTTACAAAATTTATTTAACAAAAAAATTAAAATAAAAAATAAATTGTCGATTTACAAAATACAATAATCGTGGCAATGAAATCAAATTTAGTTTTCCTCCTATTTTTATTTTTGGGATTGAAGGGGTGGTGGTTGAAAGCAGGATGCTGTCTTTGTTTGTCTTCTGTCATTATTTTTAGCCATTTTCGTTGTCCTTGAGCTTGCCGCATGACAATGCCTTCATTTTAGTTGTCTTCCAGTGATTAGTGTCGTCGTTGTTCGTCTTGTCTTTTCCAGTTGTATTTGTTGTTGTTTTTTTTCTTTTCTTCAAATATCTAGATAATGACTTTTTATGCCACTGACTGTGCGGAATATTAAATGCAACAATGTTTTGTTTTTTGTTTTGGGGGAAAACTGGCAATATAATGCAGTTTTTGACACAAAGGATAATTTTTGAGTTTGGGAATAGAATTGAAAATCATTTGAAAGGGGAAATTTCGGTTTGAGAATTCTAAAGAAAAAGTTGTCTTTTTCAGTTTCGAACCCCGAAAAAGTAACAAAAAGGACGAAAGCAAGGATATTGGTAAAGGACCTTCGAAAAGAACGGTTTAATTTATACAAATCGACAGGAGAGATACCTCATCCATCCATGGAAGAGATGCCTCTTTTATATATAGTAGAGAGGCATCTTCCAAAAATAGAAGAGAGACCGCTTCCATCCCGAGGGACTACGAATTTTTTCTATAGAAAAAAAGTAGTCCCGAGGTTCTACGATTTTTTTTCTATAGAAAAAAGTAGTCCCGAGGCTCTACGATTTTTTTCTATAGAAAAAAAGTAGTCCCGAGGTTCTACGATTTTTTTTCTATAGAAAAAAGTAGTCCCGAGAGACTACGAATTTTTTTCTATAGAAAAAAAGTAGTCCCGAGAGACTACGATTTTTTTTCTACAGAAAAAAAGTAGTTCCGAGAGACTACGATTTTTTTTCTATAGAAAAAAAAGTAGTCCCGAGGTTCTACGATTTTTTTTTCTATAAAAAAAGTAGTCCCGAGGGTCTACGAATTTTTTTCTATAGAAAAAAGTAGTCCCGAGAGACTACGATTTTTTTTCTATAGAATAAAAGTAGTCCAGAGGTTCTACGATTTTTTTCTATAGAAAAAAAGTAGTCCCGAGGGTCTACGAATTTTTTTCTATAAAAAAAGTCCCGAGAGTCTACGAATTTTTTATAAGAAAAAAAGAAGTCCCGAGGGTCTATAAAGAAGAGAGACATCTTCCAAAAATAGAAGACATTTCTGTTCATAGTGGACGAGTTTGATTTTCCCCCTTTATGTCCTCTCATCTTCACTTGAATTCTCCTGTTTCTCGCACTTTAAAATTTTTCCAATTTTCCCGATTTCCCCGCTATAAAAAAATCTCTTCTCCCACACTTACCTTCATGCATGTGCACCAACGTATCCATCAAATAAATGAAATCACATAAATAGTCGAGGAAATACCAAACCGGTGTTGCACGGTGATTAATTTCCCAAAATACGGCACGGCCCACCACAAATATGATGTTATATAACACAGCTAGGGATACCACTGCCAGCCACTGAAAACAACAACAACAACACAAAAATATATTTGATGAAATGTTAAAAAAAAAAACAAAATATTCCTTCGATGTTGCGGAGCAGTCGGAAGCTTGGTGTTCTCACTTACCCTATAATGTGACTGCAATGATGGATTGACTGACAGTCGATTACACAGCCTACTGGAGCCGCGTATTTCACATGCCGGTCCCGCATCTGCTTCGGCTGAGGTACTTTCATTGGTCGTGCTGACCTGTGTTGAGGCTGGTGTTCTACCGATTTTATCGGCATTTGTGTTATTGGAGAAACGCTCGACAAACCAATCGGGCGGTTTGGCACGATTACGTTTCGTTAGACGTTGACGCAGGGCATTTAGGGTGCGACGCAGTGTTGAGGGTTTGGAATGTTTTGTTTGGTCCTGCAAATAGATAGAAAAGATAGGGAATGTTAAAGATGTTTGTATTTAAAATTTAAAGCGAATTTTTGAAAAATATTTTCAGGGGCCTAAATAAGGTGTGGATTTGTTAAATAATATTTTTTCAGGGGTCTAAATAAGGTGTGGATTTGTTAAAGAATATTTTTTCAGGGACCTAAATAAGGCCTGAATTTTTTAAAGGATATTTTCAGGGGCCTATATAAGGCCTGGATTTTTTTAAAGAATGCTTTTTCAGGGGCCAATATAAGGCCTGGATTTTTTATAGAATACTTTTTCATGCAAATATTTTTTCAGGGACCTATATAAGGCGTGGGTTTTTTAAAGAGTATTTTTTGAAGCATCCATAGAAGGCGTTGATTTTTATACCCTTCACCACACTGTGGTACAGGGTATTATGTCTTTGTGGATATGTTTGTAAAAGGCAAGAGGAAACGAGATAGACATATGGTTCTTTTTCAGAATAGGCATGGAATCACTTTTTAAGTCCGTCCGTCCGACCGTCTGTCTGTCCACGGTAAATTGTAAACATTTAGCCCAGCTCATTCGTTTGGCCCAAGGACGAACCATATTGAAATTGGGAAAAATCGGTTCAGATCTAGATATAGCTCCCTTATAAATTTTCGTCCGATTTAATGTAAATAGTGCACCAAAGTTTCTATATATCCTTCGATTTGCACGAAATTTGGCACAGCGTACTGAATTAAGTCTAGAATGATGTGTGTTAAGTTTCGTGAAAATCGGGTCAGATTTAGATATAGTTCCCATATATATTTTCGTCCGATTTTAGATAATGTAAATGGTGTACTAATGTCCCTATATATCTTCCGATTTGCACGAAATTTGGCATAGCGCATATAATAAGGTCTAGAATGATGTGTGTTAAGTTTCCTGGAAATCGGTCCAGATTTAGATACAGTTCCCATATGTTTTCGTCCGATTTTACGTAAATGGCGCACCAAAGTCCCTTTATATCCTTCGATTTGCACGAAATTTGGCATATTGTTCTGAATTGAATCTAGAATGACGTGTGTCAAGTTTCAAGATAATCAGTTTAAATTTAGATATAGCTTCCATATATAGTTTCGTCCGATTTAAGGTACATGGGGCACTGAAGTCCCAATGTATCTTTCTTAGAATGATGTGTGTTAAGTTTCGTGAAAATCGAGTCAGATTTAGATATAGCTTCCATATATACTTTCGTCCGATTTAAAGAAAATGGTGTACCAAAGTCCCTATATATCTTTCGATTTGCACGAAATTTGGCATAGCGTACAGAATAAGGTTTAGAATGATGTGTGTTAAGTTCCCTGGAAATCGGTCCAGATTTAGATTCAGCTCCCATATATATTTTCGTCCGATTTAATGTAAATGTTGTGCCAAAGTCCCTTTATATCCTTCGATTTGCACGAAATTTGGCACAGCGTACTGAATTAGATCTAGAATGATGTGTGCTAAGTTTCGTGAAAATCGGTTAAGATTTAAATATAGCTTCCATATATATTTTCTTCCGATTAAAGGTAAATGATGTACTAAAGTCCCTATATATCTTCCGATTTGCACGAAATTTGGCACAGCGTACTGAATTAGATCTAGAATGATGTGTGCTAAGTTTCGTGAAAATCGGTTCAGATTTAAATATAGCTCCCATATATATTTTCTTCCGATTAAAGGTAAATGATGTACTAAAGTCCCTATATATCTTCCGATTTGCACGAAATTTGACATAGCGTATTGAATTAGGTCTAGAATGATGTGTGTTAAGTTTCGTGAAAATCGGGTCAGATTTAAATATAGCTCCCATATATATTTTCGTCCGATTTAATGTAAATGGTGCGCAGAGTCCCTATATATCTTCCGATTTGCACGAAATTTGGCATAGCGTACTAAATTAGGTGTAGAATGATGTGTTTTAAGTTTCGAGAAAATCGAATCAGATTTAGATATAGCTCCCATATATATTTTCATCCGATTTAAGGTAAATGGTGCGGCAGAGTCCCTATATATCTTTCGATTTGCTCCAAATATCACACAGCATAACGGATCGGGTCCAGAATGAAGTATGCTGAGTTTCGTAAAAATCGGTTCAGATTTAGATATAGTTCCCATATATATTTTCGCCCGATTTAAGGTAAATGGTGCACCAAAGTCCACATATATATTTCGTACTGAACATAGTATAACCTAGAAGTTAGATATAAATGCTGCACCGCACTCCCCAGGTGGGTCCGATTAGCACAGAATATTGCACAACTTATTGAAGTTATTATGAGATAACGTGTAGCAAGTTTTGTTGAAATCGGTTCAGATTTAGATATAGTTCCTATATATAGTTTCGTCAGATTTTACGTAAAAGGTGCACTAGAGACCCAAAGTTATATAATTTATATAACCTAACATGTGGAAAGTTTTATTGAAATCGATTCAAATTTGCATAGAGCTATCATATAGATTTTCTCCCGATTTTAAGTAAATGATGTACCAAGAACTCAAAATGTGTGCCCGATATTCTGCCACAAGTTTCGATGAAATCTACTTAGATTTCGATATAGCTTTTATAAATATTTTCGTCCGATTTTATGAAAATGGTGCACCAAACTCCTCATGTTTATCAGATGTGTCCAAATAATCAACGGATGTCCGATTGATGTATGCTTTAAATCGATTTACATAATGTTGTCCCATTGTAAGAAGCAACTCTATATCTGACCAAATGAAAAATTTTGTATAGGTTGTAGAAACATATGTTTATGGGCCCAATTTCATTTTACTGATCCTTCAAAAATGCGACGTATGTTGAATATACTCAAAGTGGTGAAGGGTATCATATAGCCGACCCCGTCCGACTTTACTACTTTCCTTACTGGTTTTTTAATATATATAATTTTGCCAAGGACAAGAGTCGATTTTTCAACCAATATATATATATATATATTTTTTTTAAGGATAGTATTATATTTGTTGAGAAGAATTAATTTAGAATATTTACTATTGAGAATTTATGGAGGCATTTATATCCCAAAAAATTGGCTATATTAAAAATAAATATTTTTTCTTAAATTTTTTTATTTTTATTTTGATTTTCACAATTTAAAGATAACAATTTCGTGTTCATTTCATTTAAATCTGCAATATACGGCGAATTATTTCGGAACGTCACGGAATAGATTTTAATGTCATTTAAAAAAAGGAGCACTGATACATGTTTACCGATGACCATAATAATCGCATATCATGCAATACGATTATTACGACAGGATATACAAAATGAACAAATAAAAATATAAAAGTAAGCGATTTTTGTTCACATCAAACTCGGGCATGTTTTTAATGACCTTAGCTAACTTTTACGTACAGGTCTAAATGGGGTTATGAAAGTGGACTCACTTTTTCATAGATCACATATCTAGCACCCCATTAAATTGTTACAATTTCTGTGAAATTATTTTATTTTTATGATTACAACACAGAGTAGTGGAGAGAGAGAGTGAAATGCAGCCATGAGGTTTCAAAATTTCGTATTATATTACATTGTATTACATTTGTGGCTTTCAAATTGCGATACGAAACGTAAAGTGTCTAAGGAACCACATAGGTGTAATGGAACATGGCGTGTGAGTATGTGTGAGTTATTACCATGAAGTAATATCTGAGTAATAAAAAGAAAAAAAATATTTACAAATTAAAATTTAATCCGCTTTAACTTTACCACCTAGGTAACACCAAAGTGGCTACACACAATACATATACATATGTAGAGGTGTGCATATACATGTGTATGTCAGACACAGTTGACAATATTGAATTTGTGATTATATCGCGTTATCTACACCTAAGACGGCCACCAGTCTACAATCAACACATCAATGAATTTAATAGCATCAGTCAGTGTTGAAATTCTCACTCACACACAAACACTCTCACATACACTCTCTGATGCATACTTCATGGCTACGAACTTCGTTCAAGGGAATTCAAGTGAAGACATATTGAAGATAGATTAATGGATGGATGGCTGGCTGGCTGAAAGGACGAATAGATGGATGGATGGCTGGTTGGTTCTTTCGTTCGTTCATTTCAGTTTGGTCTGGTTCGGCTCGTTTGAATGTGTGTGTGTGTGTGTACGTATGCATATACACATATTCACCTAGCCTACTTAGTCACCATGTTAAGTACTTTTATCTCCTTAGAAAACAGACATACGTTTCAGGTTTTCCACTTTGTTTTCCTCACCCCGCCCCTCAGCCACTTCCAATAGGATTTTTCCTCTCCTCGGTAGACATTGTTTTGACTTCTTCTGGTGGGATACAATAGAGTGAGTGTCAACATTCCCACACACATCAATATTCACACGTGCATTTGTCGATGAGACTCCCCGTACCATGGTATGTTATTTGTGTGTGTGTGAGTGTCAGTGTGAATATGTCAGTCCTATTAATTTAATATTTATTTTACTCACACAATTTTCCTTTTTCCTCAACATGCGTGTGTGTGTGCGTATGTCTGTGGCAAGTTAAAGATATCTTGACATTAAGTCCTTGAAGTTGGAAAACTCGGTTTGTTTAACGATATGACATGTCCTTGATTAAATAGCAATCCTTCTTTATGGGACAGATTCGCCAGAAGTTTATGTGATAGTTTACAAAACTGTGTGAGTGTTTATATGTAAGTGTGTGTTTAACATGGTATTGGTTGCAGAGGTCTGCAATGCATTGAACTATTGATTCGAATCTCGGTTGTCAATAGCAAGGTTGGAATATTGATATTTTTATTAATTCAGATACTGGTTAAATTTGTGATGAAATGACAAAGTTCTAGTTTTAGAGATAAAGAATATAAGGCGTGGAGTTTTTAAAGAATATTTTTTCAGGGACCTATAGTGGGCGAGGATTTTTTAAAGAAAATCTTTTTAGGAACCTATAGTAGGCGTGGAGTTTTTAAAGAATATTTTTTCAGAGACCTACATCAGGCGTGGATTTTTTAAAGAATATTTTTTCAGAGACCTACATCAGGCGTGGATTTTTTAAAGAATATTTTTTCAGAGACCTACATCAGGCGTGGATTTTTTAAAGAATATTTTTTCAGAGACCTATATAAGGCGTGGATTTATTAAACAATACTCTTTCAGGGTCTATACGAGGCGTGGATTTTTTAAAGAATATTTTTTAAGGGTCTATACGAGGCGTGGATTTTTTAAAGAATAAATTTTCAGGGTCTATACGAGGCGTGGATTTTTTAAAGAATAAATTTTCAGGGTCTATACGAGGCGTCGATTTTTTAAAGAATAAATTTTCAGGGTCTATACGAGGCGTCGATTTTTTAAAGAATAAATTTTCAGGGTCTATACGAGGCGTCGATTTTTTAAAGAATAAATTTTCAGGGTCTATACGAGGCGTCGATTTTTTAAAGAATAAATTTTCAGGGTCTATACGAGGCGTGGATTTTTTAAAGAATAGTTTTTCAGGGACCACCTATATGGCGTGGATTTTTTAAAGAATATTTTTTCAGGGACGTATATAAGGCGTGGAGTTTTTAAAGAATATTTTTTTCAGGGACCTATATAAGGCGTGGAGTTTTTAAAGAATACACAACAATGTTGTTAGGGTATTATAGCTTTGTGCAGCCCCAATAGTTTGTAACGCCGCGAAATATTGGGCCTAGACCCACCTTTAAGTATACCGATCGTCATATCTCGACTAGCTGAGTCGATCTAGACATATATGTCCGTCCGTCTATTATAATTTGTAAACACGATACAGGACACAGTTATGAACCAATCTTCACGAAATTTTGCATATAGGATGGGTTCTGGCCAATGAAGACCCTTATTGTTTTTGGTAAAGATAATATTTAGGGGATGAAATGGACCAAATACTTAATTTTTGTCCGTTTTTCTGGTCGCTCTAGAGGACGCAATTATTGTCCGAACATCGCGAAATTTTACTGTTTTGAAAAAGATCGCTCATTATTTAGCGGGTCAAATGGACATTGACTTTTGTGTGAAAAATGACAAATTTGGAATCTATATCTATATATATTTACTCCTGAAGGACATAGACCCGAGAAGTTGATTTTATATCCAAGACGAGTGGTTGGCCTTTAAATTGATACCAATTATAATGTCGTATGTACTTCGATGTGGGAGTTTCACTTCAATATTTACACTAGAGGGCGGAAATACAGCCTTGATCCCTTTGAAAATTTCCATGAGGTTCCAGTTATGGTTAAGGAGAACGCCTATTATTTTCGGTAATGATCAGAAAATCATCTTGGGATTAAGTGGACCGAAAATTAAATTTTTTTTGTCTCGATCCATAGGCCACAATGGGAAGCCGAGCATTACAACACAACCCACGGTGAAGGGAATCTGGACAAGTAATTAGATGGACTGTACTGAGTATTAGAAATATTTGTGGACCTCTAGTCGGTCAAGAGGGTTCAAATATCGCGATATATTACTAAGCTCAGAATATAGAACTACAGAAAGTTATATTTTCGTGGAAGTTGTGAAGGGTATGGTATGGTCGGCCCCGTCCGACTATACTGCTCCGCTCACTGTTTTAAAGAATATTTTTAAGCTTCTATAGAAGGCGTCGATTTTTTAAAGAATATTTATTTTTTTTTATTTATTTTCACACAATATTTATTTATAGTTTTTTTTCATCCATTTGCCTTTAATATATTTCCGAATTAATTAAATTACATACAATTACAAAATCGCACACAAACAAGTACAAATATTTACCATTTCATTGTGACCTGTTATGGCAGCAATGTCGATGGCTTGCACCATGTTGACAATGTCTGTTGCAACAATGCTGTTTGTGCTGCTGCTGCTACACGGCAGACAACGATGCTGATGATGTCGATGTCGATGGCGATGATGATGAGTACGATTCAATGACACTTGATTTCATTCAAAATTAATTCAATTGAATTTTTATTCAATACTTAATTGTTTACAGATCACAGGAGATTTCAAAATTTCATTTTGGCGAGCTGAATCAATATTAAGTTAACACCATATATTATTATTATTTTTTTGCCTTCACTTCGTAAAATGTAGGTGGATTGATATTTTATTATTTATTAAAAAAAAATAGTTAAACACTGTTGGGTCAAAAGAGGAACGAACAATTTATTTTAACACTTTTTCCAATACAAAATTTTCATTAATTTTATTTTTCACTTTGTCTAACTGCGTGACCCACTGCACATGCGCCACTTGCCAGTGTGACTCCGATTTTTTGTGTCTTGCTTAAGGTCTGTTTTCAATTAGTTTTGCACTTTTATTGTTGGTTTTATTGTAAGTTTTTATTTTTATTTCTATTTTATGTTTTCCCCACATTGATTGATTCTTAAACTTTAAACACAGAATTTATAAACGAGACACCACGACCACACCATCGCTTCAAACTGTGGTTTGCCCGAGGCCTTTGAGTGATAGAGGAGGATGAGGCGGAGTTGAGGGTGTCACCGTTGTCATTTTACAAATATTTCTCATTTGTCGCGACATTAAAATTCCACAAACGTTTCTCTCAAGTTAGTTCTGTCGTCTTATTTGTCATTGCTTGTTTTTTTCATAAATAAATTTTGTGTTGGCATTTTTGTAACTTTTTTTGAATATTTTTTTTTTTTTGTTAAATTGTTTTTGTATTTTTTACACACTGGCAAAGTTTTTTTTCTGTGAGAAATGGGGTTTTAAATTTTGTTGTAACACTTTTTTTCTTCAAAATTTCCATACAACTTCGATTTTGTTGCGATTTTTTGTTTTGTTCTAGAATTTCTCTTCCCCTTGGCATGGGAATTAAAATGCAGAAGTGCACTCACATATGCGAAGCCTACTTCACTTATATTTTACATGTTGTAGGTTATGTGTCGGACTTGTCTTTTGAGTGCGAATCTTGATAACCTAAATCTGTTTTGATCCGATTTATTGATAATATTTCATATTATCGAGTTGATGGCTTTCGGAATACTAAAGATCGCTTTTTGGCGACAATAATTATCAATTGATTGAAACCATTTGAGAAATATATGGAAATTATTGAATGCTTAAAAGATTGTATTCAGCAAATGAGGAATTTTGTGATTACACTGTTTTACAATTTAGGAGAGGATAATACAACTTTCAACCACACAAGAAATTCATATGTTTATACCCTCCACCATAACTCAAGGCTATAATCGATGTAGATCATAAAAAATATATTTCTTTTTAAGTAGAAAAAATTCAAATTTAGTCATGGATTTTTTTTTGCATGCGGTTCCAGCTCAAATTTGGGCCAAATTGCTCTACAGCGCCCATTTTCCCTATTTTGACTTGAACGTATTCGTGAACTTGATAGAACGAATACGTTTTTTTTTACTTTAGGCAGTTCATTACCAAAATTTCTTGCCAAAAAGTGGCTGTGGCTTCATTCGCGAGCGAATTTTTGCGCACCCTGGATACTACATACAAGAGATGCTAATATATACAATATACTGTAGATAGAATAGACATAGCATCTTTGGAAGACCATTTAGATGGAATCGGGCGAAATCAAAAGTGTGGTATTTCAACTAATTAAAAAAACACATAAACATACCTATCTGAAATCAATGAAAAATTTCATGTCAAACGGCAGAATTGGATTCTTTGGTGTATGGTAGCTACGTGTAAATATGGATCTTCGAGGGCAGTTCGGAAAGTTCTTAGCCTAGCCAAAAAGCGCGTTATAAACAGAAAAATAAAGGAAACTTCCATCTCTGTTATGAACACATGTTAAATTTTGTTTCGATCTGGTAACTCCTTTATATAGAAGCAGGTATTTAAAAATACGTATCCGAATTTTTTTATATCCTTCACCACACTGTGTGGTATAAAATGTCTTTGTGCATATGTTTGTAACAGGCAAAAGGAAACGAGAAAGACACATGGTTCCTTTTGAGAATATGCATAGAATCACTTTCTGAGTCGATTTATGCATGTCCGTCAGTCCTTTCGACCGTCTGTCCGTCTGTAGATGTTAAATTGTAAACAAAGTACAGGTCGCATTTATGATCCAATTTGGATGAAATTTGGCATAGCTCATTTATTTGGCCAAAGGACGGACCCTATTTAAATTCAAGAAAATCGGTTCAGGTTTAGATATAGCTCCCATATATATTTTCGTCGAATTTAAGGTAAATGGTGCACCAAAGTCGCTGAAAATCATTTGATTTGCACGAATTTTGACATAGTGTTTTGAATTAGGTCTAGAATGATGTGTGCTAAGTTTCGTGAAAATCGGTTCAGGTTTAGATGTAGCTCCCATATATATTTTCGTCCGATTTAAGGTAAATGGGGTACCAAAGTTCCTATATATATCTTTCGATTTGCACGAAATTTCGCACAGAATACTAAATTAGGTCCAGAATGATGTGTGCTTAGTTTCGTGAAAATCGGTTCAGATTTAAACAAGCTTCCATACATAGTTTCGTCCGATTTTAGATAAATGGTGCAGCAAAGGCTCTGAAAACCATTCGATGAATTAAGTCTAGAATGATGTGTGCTAAGTTTCGTGAAAATCGGTTCAGAATTAGATATAGCTCCTATACATAGTTTCGCCCGATTTAAGGTAAATGGTGTACCAAAGTCCCTATACTGAATTACTGAGTCCCTACTGAATTAGGTCTAGAACGATGTTTGCTAAGTTTCGTGAAAATCGGTTAAGATTTACACATAGCTTCAATACATAGTTTCGTCCGATTTTAGATAAATGGTGCAGCAAAGGCTCTGAAAACCATTCGATTTGCACGAATTTTGACATAGCGTATTGAATTAAGTCTAGAATGATGTGTACACCTCCTATATATATTTTCGTCCGATTTTCTGTAAATTGTGCACTAAAGATCCATAGCTAGGCCGATTGACAACAACGTACTGAAATTAATATAAATTAATCTTTGGCAAGTTTGTTTCAAATCGGTTCAGATATAGATATATTGTAGCTTCCATATATAATTTCGACTTATTTATGTTAATTGTACACCAAATAATCAATAGGTGTCTGATTGAGATTATATTTTAAACAGTGCAGCATACCGAATAGCTTGTGTGAAGTTTGCTTTAAATCGATTTGCACAAATCTATCCCAATGTGCGCAAGCGACTCTAAACTTGCCCAAATGAAAATTTAGCTTAGGTTCCAGAAAGACATACACATCACATATTTAAATTCGTTCAATTTCATGTCAAAATTCCTTCAAAAAGCGACGTCTTTTCGATATACCCAAAGTGGTGAAGGGTATCATATAGTCGGCCCAGTCCGACTTTACTACTTTCCTTACTGTTTTTTTTTTTTTTTTTTTTTTTTTGGAAATGACGGGTTATTATTTAGGGAATGAAATGGGCCAAAAACTTATTTTTGTTGGTTTTTCTGGTCGCTCCAGACGACGCAATTGTGGCCCAAACATCGAGAATTTTTACATGGAGAAGGGGATCGGGCCAATGAATACACATGCCTGTTTTGATAAAGATCGGCCAATATTTAGCGGGTCAAATGGACCCTGACTTTTGTGTGAAAAATGATAAAATTTGTATTCTTTGGCGTATATATTTACTGCTGAAGGATATAGACCCGAGAAATTGATAATATATCCAAGAGGAGTGGTTGGCCTTAAAATTGATACCAATTATATTGTCGTATGTGCTCGGATGTTGGTGCTACACTTAAATATTTACAGGTGCTTACGTATTCAGTTATTATTTAGTAAATAATTACCACACTGTAGGACGGAAATATAGCGCTGATCGCTTTGACATTTTCCATGAGGTTCCGAGTATGGTCAAGGAGAACGTCTATAATTTTCGGTTATGATCAGATAATAATTTTGAGATGAAGTGGACCAAAACCATAATTATTTTTTGTTTTTTTTTTTCTAGTCGATCAACACAACCCACGGTGAAGGGAATATGGACAAGTAATTAGAAGGACTGTACTGAATATTAGCAATGTTCGGAAAATATGTCAGTCTAAGGAAGAGGTGCTGTTGGCCTCTTATCGGGAAAGAGGGTGTAACTATCACGAAATATTGCCCAGGCTCAGAATAAAACTTAGCAGAAAGTTAGAGTTCCGTGGTAGTTGTGTAGGGTATCGTATTGTCGGCCCCGTCCGACTATACTGCTCCGCTCACTGGTTTAAAAAAAAAATTTTCAGGGATTCATAGAAGGCTTTGATTTTGTAAAGAATATTTTGTTAGGGATCCATAGAAGGTGTGGATTTTTTTAAAGTGTGGATTTCTTAAAGAATGTTTTTTCAGAGGTCCATTGAAGGCGTGGATTTCATAAAGAATGTGTTTTTTCAGAGATCCATAGAAGGCGTGGATTCAAGTACCGACAGAAGGCATGGATTTTTTAAGGAATATTTGTTCAGGGATCCATATAGGGCGTGGATTTTTTAAACAATATTTTTTCAGGGATCCATAGAAGGAGTGTATTCAAGTACCGACAGAAGGCAAGGATTTTTAAAGAATATTTTTTCAGGGATCCATAGAAGGGGCGAATTTTTTAAGAATATTTTTATAGAGAACTATAGAAGGCGAGGTCTTTTTAAAGAATTTTTTTTCAGGGATTCATAGATGTTGTTTAATACCAAACAACATGGTAGTAAATATCTTGAATATTGTTATGCATCCGCAATTTTAGAAATTTAAATTCATAAATTATATTTTTTTTATTTGAATTTAAAATGGTTTGTAAGTTGGTGTATGGTTTTCAATTCGAAATGTATGAATTCAGGTACTTTTTGTTGTTGTTGTGCACAGCATTGCCACTTCATTTGTTT